TTGCACAGCAACAAGCGGCGCAGGAACAGGTGTACCGGCAAGATGTGATCGCGAGCGATCAAAGCATGGAGAACTTGTGGGCGTGCGACGTGTGTGACTTCAAGAACTACGATGGTCACAAAACGTGTATCTTGTGCGGCACCGAGCGCGACTTCACTTTGTATGGAAAGGTACCATCGAAGCGAACAGCGGCGGTCGAGGACGGCAACAAAGCTGCAACGGCAGGGCTTTCCCCCACAAACTTTGTCCTCATGAACGATTCGACGCCGCGCACGATCAAGAAGAATCGCAATTTTGCCAAGCTCCGACTCAACAACCTGAACATTCGGCAAAAGGGAGCGCGGCGGCGACACGACTGGGTTCGCAACGTGGACGAGCAGAGCGGCAACATTGTTTGGGGCCGGAATCGAGACATCCTGGACCACAAGGTGCTCAAGCGCATTGTGGTGAAGGACTCGCTACCTCCCCTTGCGGACGACGGGGACTTTGACCTGCCGATGCTGCGCGACTCGGTGTCGAGCGTGAGCTCGGTCGGCAGTATCGCAAGTGTCGGGTACGTGAGCAAGATGGTGATGACGCCGAGGCACCCCGACGGGCGCATGTCGTTCGAGACGGCGGAGGGCCAGACGGCGTTCCAGACGGTGAACCCGACCGTGTTTTCGTCGGCCGAACTCAAGGACGTGTCCCAGCTCTCGTTCCAGCAAAAGCACGCGTGGTTTGTCCAGTACACGTCGACGATGGAGGTGCCGTGGGAGTACGGGCACATGCTGCTCGAGATCGACCGGGCCAACTTGCTCCACAACTCGTGCGAGCAGTTGCTGTGGGCAACCCACGACCAGCTGCACCAGTCGCTCCGAATCAAGTTTTTGAACGAGCCAGGCGTTGACGCGGGCGGTCTCGAGCGCGAGTGGTTTACGCTCATGACGGAAGAAATTTTTGACGAACGCACGGGGCTCTTTGGCGCGTGCATGGACAACGCGTACATGATCCGCGCCACGTCGAGCGAAGCGTCCGAGGACCATCTCATGGTGGGCGACGCTGGGAGTTGTCGTGCGTCACGTTGTGGTTGTAGTACTTTCAAGCGATCGGGCGCTTTATCGGGCGGGGGCTGTTTGAAGGGATGCTGCTGGACGCCCACTTGGCGCTGCCTCTGTACAAACACATCCTCGGGACGCCCATCACGTTCTCGGACCTCGAGTTTATCGATGTCGAGCTGTACAACAACCTCAAGTGGCTCAAGCAGAACAAGGGCGTCGAGTCGCTCTGCTTGGACTTTAGGTACGCATCGGAGAGAGAGGCTGCGCTCATGGCAACTTGCTAGTGTGAATGTGGCGCAGTACGACAAGGAGCCGCTCACGATCGACCTGTGCCCGAACGGCCGGCACATCGCCGTCACGGACGACAACAAGGACGAATACATCTACCTCCGGTTCAAGTGGATCATGATGACGAGCATTTCGCCGCAGCTGGCATCGCTGATCAAGGGCATCTACAGCGTCATTCCGCTCGAGATGCTGTCTGTGTTTGACCACCAAGAGCTCGAGCTCCTCATGTGCGGCATTCCGGACGTGAATGTGGACGACTGGAAGGCGCACACGACGTACATTGGAAACGAGTGCGACCCCCAAGTGATCGAGTGGTTCTGGGAGGTCGTGACGGGTTTTTCGACCGAGCAGCGCGCACGGCTGCTGCAGTTTACGACCGGGTCGGCGCGGGTGCCAGTCCAGGGATTCAAGACGCTCACGATGAATGACGGCCGCATCTGCTTGTTTGCAATCCAGGGCATTCGAAAGGAAGAGTGCTTGTACCCGCGCGCCCACACATGCTTCAACCGGCTCGACCTCCCCATGTACTCGTCCAAGAAGGACCTCGAGACGGCGCTCACGATGGTCATCAAGATGGAAGTCACGGGCTTTACGATCGAATAGCGTCATTTTTTTAACAAACAGCCATCGTGGTCCATCCCCAGACATGGAACCACACAGTCGTCACGAGCATGCGAACGTTCGACTCGCGCTGATGCGTCTCGGCAGTCATCCCCTTCAATCGCCAGACCTGCTTCCCTCTGGGATTGCACGTAGGCACTCTGAAGCATACAACTCGGTTGTAGCGTAGTCGGCGCTGCTAGTCCAACGTGTACGTCGTGCCATGCTTTCGCTTTGCCGACACCTTTTGCACGAGGGGGCGAGGAAGGAGGACATCCTTTGTCGCTGACTCGCACCTCGATGGAGATGGGCACGCACAGCGAGACTGTGATACTGCCGCCACGACGTTGACGTTCCTCGCCACATGCAATGCCTGCGCCCCTTGTGACGACAACAAGCTGGTCGGGATGCTGTACGTGGACGCAATTAAAACATGACGACCGTGACGACGCCTGCGACTGCCTGTGGCCCACCAAGTGCCACTGGGCAAGGGCATTTGTTAATCGCGCACATCAGAATCTTGGTATTCGACAAAGCGGCAGGCTTGTGCTTTACGAGGTGATGTCGCATGGCATGTTAGTGTGACACCAGCGAGGAAACGGCGCCGCTCACCCGACTGCTTCGTTAGCTTCACCATGGAACTTTCAAGGACTTCCGGATAAAAGCAAGTCGGACGAGGTGGTATCCGGATAACGTAACTTCAGCAGTTGCAAAGGTCAATGGAGACGGAAGGCCACGACAAGGAAGCGGCGTACGAGGCCAAGATGGTGAAGAAGACAGTGCTGGCGCGGCAGCGGAGGAAGATGCGCCGGAAGGAGTTGTTGGGCTCCATGACAGCAGGTAAAGCTTCCGCGGACGTGAATGCTTCAACATCTGAGCGAAATACGTACGCAGAGGAACGCAAGGAGTTTGTGGCTAACGAGGCGCGCGAAGAAGAAGAACGTGTGCGGCGTTTGGCAGAGGCACCTGAAAAAGGACAGCGCATTGCTATTGACTGCGGCTACGACGGTATCATGAGTAACAAGGTACATCGACTGTAGTACGCGCCAACGTCACCTGCCATGCTGGTGCAGGAAGTGAGCAGTTTGTCCAAGCAGATCAAGTTCTGCTACGGCACAATCAAGCGCATGGACAATCCCTTCGCCTTGACCGTGACGGACTGCTCGGAAGGGTCGCGCATTGCATCCGCGTTGAAGCGCTTCAGTGCCGACAAATGGAGCATCAAGCTTGAACCTTCCAACGTCTCGAGCTTGTATCCACAATCCGTACGTCCCATCCATCAACAGGTCCATGGAGACTTCGTGTGCATAGGACCTGGTCTTCTTAACCCCCGATTCCTCGACAACCTTGACCAGTCTCGACTTTTCCAAAGTTTACGTCATCGGCGGCATTGTCGATCGTTCCCGTGTCAAAGTACGACATGCATCTCGTTACCTGAGCTGAACAACATTAGGGCCGCTCGCTTGAAGCCGCCACGGCGCTCGGCGTGGCAACCGCGCGGCTGCCAATCCAAGAGTACGTGCCCGATCGCCACACGGATCACGTGTTGAACGTCAACACGGTGGTCGAGGTAAACAAGTCACGAAAGCATCCATCCATGGGGACGTGTAGATTTTGGCGTCTATTCAAGCAGGGAACGACTGGCCTACAACCTTGGCACAGTGCCTGCCCAAGGTAGATCTCTCTCTCCTCGCCTGTGGTCCTACTCGTTGGCGTAGCGAAAGCAAGCCAGTATGAGTCGGCGTGTGCTAAAGCGTCAAGCGAAAGAGCTCACGACAAGTGATGAAATCCAAGAACGGGACAACAACGACGTCGACGCGAAAGCGGACGACATTGGCGAAGACAACGCATGAGGCTAAGGCCCCCAGAACGCCAGCACTTGGTCCACCGATTCTTCTTCTTTGAACGTTGTCAGGTGCACGCGATTCTCGCGGTCGACGTCGTAGCCGTAGATTGCTGTGGACGGCCGGCTGTTGTACTTGGAGTACATGGAGACAGTATATCCACCCGTGTCATGAATCACAATGTAGTCGCCGACTTGTATCTGGGGCAACCAAACTTGCTTGGCCAGAAAGTCCCCAGAGAAGCAAAGGGGTCCCGCAATGTCTTGGCGCACGAAGGGCCTACGAAGCATCTCCGTTGCAATTCGTTCGTCGCAGCTACTCGTGTTGTACGTACCCGGATCTCAAAGCGCCCGTGGCGTCAAAGACCGACAACACGTGCGGCCACTGGTGTGGAAGGTATGCCGTCCGCAGGAACTGGTTGGCGCCGACATGGACGACTGCGATGTTCTGGCCCTCCCACTGCTTGACGCTTTCGACTTTGGTGAGGGTGATCCCTGCCTTGACGAACACAGACCGCCCAAACTCGGTCACGATCGACACGCGCGTGGAAAAGATGTCGGGCACATGAATTCGCAGCTGGGCGGCGTAGTCTTCGTAGCCGAGATCGGACACACCGTCGTACACAGTGGGCAGGCCGCCACCGATGTCAACCACTTGAACTTGAGGGACGCCAATGTGCGCGTTCACCAACTCGCTGAACTCGACGGCTCTTTTCGCGCCTGCCACGAGCAGGTCCAACGCGCACCCTTGGGATCCGACATGGATGTGGACTCCTTGGAGCCATCGATGGGTCTACCAAGACGCAGTGGCCATGAGCAACGTCGCAAGACTTTGGCGAGACGAACCAAGTAGATTTCGATAAGACGGGCTTGCGTCGAAGGAGTCCAGGGTAGACCGAACTTGCTGGAGCTTGTCGCGGTGCTCGTGGACGCAATGGAGCCTCCACCGACGACAGGATTGATCCGAAGTCCTATCTGGCCGTCGTGGCGACTGCGCTCGCCTTTGTTGGGACCATAAAACTCTGTCAAGATGCACTCGACTTTGGCGATTTCGTCTTCGTTGTCGAGATTGACGTAGCACCCCAATCGGATCGCGGCCGCGAGCTCGGCATACGTCTTGCACGGGGAATCAAAGACAACGGACCGTGGCGGGAAGCCGAGACGGAGCGCGTGGTGGACCTCGGCGAACGACGCGCACTCTGCGCCAAATCCCATCTCTTGCGCAATTCTATTGCAACGCGTGAGTGTCCCTGTCCATAAAACAGTAAAACCTCAAGACACTGCGAATCGGATTCGCCTTGACGGCAATCGCGTGGTTGAAGTGGGCGCCTGGAAATGCAGCATTCAATGACGCCAGGCGCGCCTTGAGGTTCGGAATCGAGATGAGGTCGACAGCATTCAGGCCGTTCAAAGACGACACGGCGTGCTTGACAATTCCTTGGACACTGGAGCCGCGTGTATGATGCTGAGCTTCCTCGACCTGGAGGATGTCCAGTTCCTGAGTAGGAGAGGAGGATTTCCCGATCGTCCTATCATCGCGCCATGGTTTAGGGCAAAGAGCGGAAGGGGCGCAGTGTACGAGGGGTAACTAGAGAGACGCGCCGCAATGAGGTCCTACGTGCGCGTTGTAAATGTGTGTGCTGTTTCGGGGTTACTGTGTTCGTCGACGCACCTGCAACGTCACATGAACGACTTCAGTTGGATCCCACCCCATCTCGCGGCATATCTACACAGGACACGTCCACCAGTCCGTGAAGCTATGCAATGTACGCACGTCTAGCGCGGTGTCCTCCGCTGATTTGGACTCGTTCTGGTACTGGGAGAGGTCCACCGCCCGCACGCGCTCCATCTTCGTCAATTGTTGGAATGGCGAACGCACTTCCATGGAATCGTTTTGATTGGTCAAGCAAGTCCAATCCTCATTTCGAAAGCCATGACGCGGAAACCATCGGGCGCCGCCGTCTTCTTCGGCGCGATTGTGGTCGGGGCTGCGGGCGTGATCTACTACGTGCATGACCTGCAAAAGCGCGAGAAGAAGGTCCACTTCTCCACGACACGCATCCGAGTCTGATCTGTTTGATGTAGGAAATGCGGGCTGGAGTCATCCGCGACATCAAGCGCGATCGGCAGCGTCAACAACAAAGCACCGACTCGACGTAATCCAGCAAAACTTGGACTCTTTCGTTAACTTAAGCGCTGTCGTCACACGCATGTCCTTTCGACATACCGTCCCGTGCAGACGAGATCTTGCAACCACACGTTGCATTGGTCATCAACACACTGCTCGTCGACTCGTTGCTGTTTGAGTTGGGCGGTCTTTGCGAGAACTAGAATTCTCCGGACGTCTTTCACGACGGACGCGGGCCCAGACACGAAGACGGACCCTTGGAGCTCATCCAGGTTGCTCAAAATGGTCGACACCTCCGCGTCGACGGCGTCCTGGATGTAACGATGAGGAGCTTCCGCGTCGATCTCTACTTTGTCCGACGAGCACGCAAGCACGACGCGGAGGTCAAATCTGGATTGCCACAGCTTGACGTGGTTTCCGTACGGCACACAAACTTTGGTCAGACATCCGTAATACAGGACGTGCTTCGCCGTGATTTTGGCTGTGTCCTTAGCACATCGGTCTTCCATGACAGCTCTGACAAGAGCAAAGCCAGCCCCTGTCGCGATGAACGTAACAGGAGCCGATGGCCCGAGTTCGGGCCATGGGACGTCATCGGACGGCACAAGTTCGCTCCGCACCTGCGGAATCTGGATCGGATCCAGCACCGTTTTTGCTTCTTTGCGGGTCAACGCGTCCAGCTCCATGAAACAAGCCCCCAACATACCGTCGGACCGGTCGATGTTTTTGAACGACGTAGCGGCAGGTGGTACGTCAAGGCAAATGTGGATGTTCGTGGGACTGACGAGGTTGGACGAAGCGATCGAAAACTCCCGCGGCAGCATCCGTGGCGCAGTATGGAGAAATGCATCGAGCGACATTTGAACTGAAGGATATTGCCGCAGCAGACCCACAAGCGTCAGCTACGTGGTACATCAATGCACATCCATCAACAGAGCGTTCAGTACCCCTGCAGCCGAGGCATGGTACGCTCTTGAATCGGACGCTAGGTGGGTAAGCGCGGCAGCTTCGCTCGGATCGGTGGCATAGTGAGCTAGCTTCTGCACAAACTCTGGAGGGACCTGTACCGCCAAGCAAGTGAGTGCGTCAATGGATCAAGGAGGTGGTATTCCGCGTACAGAGATGAGCTCGTAGTACTGCCTCAGGACGGTAAAGAGGCGCGTGGGAGATGGGAACGGGTCTTGAAACGACTCCAACCCTGGCAAGAGTGGAATCGGCTGGATCCATCGGTTCTCTGTCGGCCCATGGGAAAAACCAAGGCGCATGGCAAGTGCTGCCACCAACAGCTCTGGATTCAATGGGTAGATGCGAATGACATCCCCTGTCGAGTACACAAACGGTGGTACGGTCATGGCCAAGCACACGTGGAGCATCGCGGGCTTGGGCTCGGAGACGACATAGGCGACTTCGCTTACGATCAAGTTGGGTGGGCTGAAAAAGATCTTCAAGTCAGGCGTGACGGTGAAGGTGTCAATGCGTCGCTTTCGTCGGTCGGGGGCCCGCGGCTCCGCCACGTCAATAACAACGAAACGATGGGTGACTTTTGGGGGCAGGAGGACCGAGTTGGCATGTTTGGCGGCCGCGGCCGAGTGCGTGGCGCCGAGGCCGATCGTTTGAAAAATATCAGCTTCCCAACTCGTAAAGATGTTGCCCAGACCAGAGTGGCAATCCCCCAGACAGCACTGCATAATGCGAGTTGCCCCCAGCTCCTCGAGCTTCGCATCCACCGTTGTGCCAAACTCGTTGAAATTGATGCCGTACTTGGTGTCACCTGACGCAAATACGGCGTACCGAACGGCCCTGAGTCGCCGACTCTTCTTCAGCGTACGAGCGTCTTTTTGATTTTGCAACCAAAAGTAGAAATGGGCGGCGTTGTCTGTCGCGCCGCCACAGGTGTATGTGGACACGATGAAGATCACGAGTGGCTCGGTGCAAAACTGGTCCGGGTCGAAGTTGTACAGGTCTTTCACCGTTGCTTGCATGCCACAGCGGATCGCAGCGTGGTGGAATCTGTTAGCAAGCGCTTCTGTACGACCTGTCTGTGACCCAAAGTAGATGGTCATAGGGAGCTTGGACGGGTCTTCCTTGAAGCTCGTCGCCGAGGTGGAGCTTCTGGGTCTTGGAAGCAATTGCGTCCATCGACGCGACTCAGACTGGGCCAGTTGAGACGTCGGAGTGGGTTGGACCACCGCCGACGATTTCCCTCGCAGCAAGTTGATCATGAAGGTGCCTAGGGTGGGGTCGCATTCGCGTTTGGTGGCTATGAATAGGCCAGCAAGTCTCGAATTCAACCAGTTACAAAACAGTTACGTTTTACGCCTATAGTCAATTCCAGTGAACATAATTGATTTCACCACATAAAATAGCTTGACGTTACTATGGACGTCGGGAGGGTATTTTTTAAATTTAACTTGCATCTTGGAACAACCTGTTGGGAATCGGACGACGGCAGGCAGGATCGACAGATGGGAGGAGTCGCCGGGTCGCTCTTCATGCTGTGGGTGCGCAGTGGCTTCTCGTCAGCCACGGTCGCATCTGCGTTGACATTCTTCCCACCATCGCCGACGTATGGCCTCGTAAAGCAGGCGGACGGGGCCACTGCGGTCGATCATTATATCGACGCCAATGTCCCATTTTCGTCGACGGCCTCTTTGGCCGTGGTTCGCACCAAACGCGGACAGGAAATCCCTTGTACGTCACTCTCCTTTGCATGATTTGAGTTCATTGTCGTGGTTAGGCTTTGTCTTTCGCCATCCCGAAGCCACATTTACGATGATTTACAGTCATGGTAACGCCACGGATTGTGGAGGCATGTTCCTGCGATACCTTTCTCTATCTCGAGTACGATACTCTATCTGCTTGGACGCAACGAGCGCTGAATGTCACCTCCTACGAAGGAGTTGAAGGTGAACGTTGTTGGCTACGACTACACTGGGTATGGTGGCGCGTCAGGATCGCCATCTGAAGCCGACACGTACGCCGACATTACAGCAATATACGACCATGTTGTTGCTCATATCTGCACGTCGTCGGACCCAGCCAAAGAGATTATCCTGTACGGCCAGAGCGGTATGCTTCCATGCAATATTCCACATCAATGTACGGCCATGATGAGTTCGTTCGGCAGTGGGCAGCGGCCCCAGCATCTACTTGGCAACAGAGCGTCCTGTTCGAGGACTGATTGTCCACAGCGGGCTTCTCAGTGGGATGCGCGTGCTCACTTCCAAGTAAGCACCACTGGATCGACCGAACTGCTCCACGTCACACAGCTCACTTCCACGTGATAGTCGGTGCCTGGCTTGCTTAGACATCTACCCCAACGTTGACCGCATTCAAAACGTGACGTGCCGAACTCTCATCATCCACGGCGTCGACGACATGGAGATTCCGATCGCGCATGGCCACGGCCTCCATCAAGCGCTGCCCGTGGCGTCGCAGGCAGAACCGTACTGGGTTCCCGATCGTGGCCACAATGACATCGGGGAGACGGCGACATGTCGACCTGGTTACGTCCAGCACCTGGCCGCGTTCCTCAAGACTCTTTAATGCAACACACACGCCATTAAGTTAGTTATTCTGAAAACCGTTCCGTGAACGGGTTGGGAAATTCGACGCTGCACGTCGACTCCAAGCTGTGCCGATTGAGCAATGGATTTCGCGAGGGCTTGAACTGTCCCGCGTCGTCGTCTTCGTCTTCGTCGTCCACGGGGCGATGGCGAAGGGCGAGCTCGAGTTCCGCGAGCCTTGTCATCGTTTGAGTCAACAGCAGCATCGCTTGGTTGTGCTGCCGCTCTTGCTCGAGCACTCGCGCCTCCAGGAGTCCATTGCGCAGCTCCAGCGCTTTCACGACCTGCACTAAGTGCCGGTCGTCCACCTCCACACTGCAGATGCTCGTGTCTGTGCTGGACAGCGTCGGCCGTTCGCCAAATGATCGAGGACTGGATGCCGATGGTGGAGGTGGAACGACTACACTTTTTGGTCGAGATGGCGTGGCATCTTCGACTTGGTTGTTTGCACTGTGCTGGCATGGCGTGGATGACGGGTCCGAGGCCAGCTTCGGTCGTCGAAGAGATACTGCTGGCGGGGTGGGGGTGGTGGCTTTTCCTGGGGCTGCACATGAGTGATTTGTGGATGGATGTCGGGACTGGATCATGCATTCAGCGCACACACGCTGCTTTTTGTCTGTCTGAGCCGCGACGCGGAGTTTGCCGGCGACGTGGGCCTTGCACAACGGCACGTGGCACATGGCACACATGTACCGCTTTCGAAACATGGTGAACGGCTTGTCGCAAACCCCGCACGCCGTTGCATCGTCTCCAAGATGCCGAGACGTCGTAGATGTCGATGTCGTTTCCTCGCCGTCGTCATCCTCATTGTCGTCATCGACCTCTTGAATTCGCATAGGATCCTCCTGGTCCGCGCTGTCGCCAAACGACGGCTCAAAATGCATCGTGAAGAGCATGCTGTCGCGAAGGCTCTCGCGCATAACTTGGGACTGGCGATACAAGTCGCGCATGGTTGCCTCGTACGCTGGGTCTGACTCTTCGTTCTCATTTTCGTCCTCGCATGCCTCGGGGTGGGCAAATCTGTACTTTTCGTCGGCCTTCTGCAGTATGCGGATGCAATCACGGTCGAGACCACTCATCGTTGCCATCGCAAGTGCGCGTAAGCCGTCTGGCATCTTGACCCAAATGCTATCTGGACACATGGAGCACAGCATGGACAGAACCTCCGATCGAGCGTTCGCTCGTATCGCGACGTGAAGAGGAAGGAGCTGGGAGTCGTTACGGGTCATGCCACCCTCGGGGAATGCGAGCAGGAGCGCCCGAATTGCATCCAACGGGATATTATGTTCCGTGCATGCCCAATGCAACGGAAGCATGCCATACGGGTCGCGCTGTTCAGCAAGTTCTGGAGATCGCGGGAGTCGCTTGATGAGTTCACTCCATTGGCCTTCCTCTGCTAAGCGAATGCCGTCCTTGGTCGACCTCGCGGAGCGCATCACTTGTCAACAACTTTCCAGCAGAAGTGGCACCGGCGTCTCTGCCGCCAACGTGGATTGCGGTGGACCAAGTCACATGGTTCATCTGGCCAGCCAATCAGAACTGCCCACTCTTCCTTGACACAAGATTAAAGTATGACCATACAATTCTCTAGTACATTCTGTAACGGTGGAGAGGCTGCAGTGTAACAAAATTATAAATTATGATTGGCTAATAAGTAGGCGATTAGAGACGGGTCATCGAATTATAGCCAATCAAATTCAAGGTAAATGCTTGCCGCCCGAGGGTCTGGAGCACCCCACATCTCCATTGACACAATGCAGCAAGGCAGAGAAGCGCTGTCGAGGCCAGTGACATGTAAATGGTCTCGTCCGATCTAGTCGAACGGAACAGTGTGCTAGGAAGGGGGATTCGTTCAGACCATGACGCCGACTAGTTGATGTGGTGTAACGGTGGCGTGTCTCTATGGATATGGACGCATGGAGAGTGATCAGAGAGTGTGATGAGAATTCTCTGCCAAGAACTCGAAACGATCAAAATTAAAATATGCAGACTGAGAGTGCCTAAGTGTCGGAGAGAGTATTACTGCTGATCTACATGAGCACCTACTATAGTTGGTATATGAATTCGACTTGAGAGTGAAAGTGAGTGCACTTTTCCGTTTGGAGACTGGAATTCCCGGCATCATGGCGGACGACAACTCCAGTCGAAGGCGATGGCGGCGGAGGAGACGGCGGGCATAACATCACCGTTGACGATAGGTTTCTCCGCACAACCAAGGCGTCATTCGTGCTCCTACCCAAGCGCTTTGGTCGCACGATCAGCCAAACGTAGCCTCCACGGTACCGAAGCGGCCAGATCGTTTCCTCCTCACCTAATACTTGTCAAGCGACTGCTGTACGAAACCATCATCCGTGCCGCTATCGACGGCGCGACGATCACGCACTTGTTCTACATGCAATACAACGTCGGTCGAGACGCCGACAAGACCTGCATTAAGTCGACGTGGTTTGGCCTCAGCATGTGCTTTTCGTTCCCTCAGTTTCTCAGCGTGACGACAAGCAGATGGCGAATCAAACGAACGACTGCGTACACCGACGACGCACCGAGATGGACCGGGTTCGCCGCGATCGCGCCACAGCAAGTCCAGCGCGCATAAGACCATGAAGTGTGCGATGACGTTGGTGTCTTGCTCATCCCCTTTTATGCTGGGGCGCTTGTGACTTTCGTTCAACATCACGATGCCTTGTTTCAAGTGCACGATGGACTCGTTCGTTGCATGCTTGCCAGTTCATTCTTCGCACGACTTGGTGATCAGCTGGGGTTGTCCACAGTCGTCCAGCCCAACATCCAGATGGGCACTTTCACCGCTTCTGTTGACGGGCTCAGTCATGTCATGTTCGTGGCAGCGGATGAGTCAGCCAAGCATTTGCTCAAAACAACAATCGTGTCGCCGTTGCGGCATCTCGTGTCGAAGGTGTCGCGTGGCTCGTGGAGGGAAGTACGTGGCAGCAATTCCAGTGCATTGTCGATGTCGCCCGTGCACTTTCTACGGCATCGCTTTTCGTTCCACCGTCGCGAGCAATTTTGGACTTGGCAGGTATTCCAATCGAAATTGCGCCTACATCACGAAGCGCCTTCCACCGCATTCTGCATGACGTATGCTGATCATGGCTTCGTTTCATTCTGTGATGTGTAGGCAAGGTAAGGACGAGTGAAGAAGCATGAACAATACATTCGTCAAAAACTTGCGCTGGAACCAGCACGTTTCAGAGGAAGCTTCGCCCAGACTCCTGCAGCCATTGAAAGGCAACACTTCAAGTGGATGTTGACGTAAAATCGGCGCCAACTCGGTCCGATCCTTCGAGCTCCGTGGTTGATAATCGACAGGCCACGAAGAAAACATTGCTCGACGCATGTTGCCACGTGCTGTGTCGTGCGCACATGGACCAAGCATTTTCCACGATCGGAAATGTGCGGGAAGCATCTCGCAAGCCGCCAAACAAGTGGGAATGTCGGTGCTGGCAATGTCGACCGATCTATCAGGAGCTGCAAGTGGATGTGTGCACACGCCAGGTCACGTGCGAGTACCTTCCCGACCTCTACGCGCCACAATATCGACTGTTGCTGGATAGTGTCCGAGATGAGATCGAAAATAGCGGCGAATAACAGTACTGCACCGACCCATGCTGCTCAAACTATCGTCGACCGAGGGGAGGTAAGGTGGCGCGCATGTGTAAACCTCTACTACTGACACACACCAAATCACCGACAAGCATGTGAAGCAGCCCTTTGTCGTGCTTGCGTCGGGTTATCGCGTCGACCGTGTGCGGGAAGTGCAATCCGGCCAGTCGGCGCTTTGTTGTTGGACGTATCTGTGCCGTCCATAGCCTCAAGCGGACATGCAAGCTGCATATCCCCGACGGAGGAAGCGATTCGGCACTACGATGTCGTCGATGACGTCCTGTCCACAGACAACTCGAATGAAATTCGCCAACACGAGCTTGCGTTTGCCGACGTCACGATGTGAGTGTTCACCTTTGACACCTCGATAGTGTCAGTCCAAAACACTATCATCACGTCACATCGACCACACCTGGGAGACGTGGCAGTGCCCCAACTCCAAGCTCCACGAATTCCTCGTCCTCGAACTTGCTGTGCACGCAAACTCGCACGACGTGTTGCGAAACGTGAACTGGTCGTACGGGTGAAGGGACTGGGGCATGTCCTCCGTCGCTGCCGCCAAAGGTGTCGGCACAGCACGGGTACTTGAGCAAGTTGATGGTGTTGCGATGGATGGACGGATGGTGCAGCGTTCGACCGAGGCCGACGTCGACTGGAGTGCTGCAAGCTAGAAGACGGGCGGGGCCTCGCGGATCCATCGCCTTTGAGTTTGCGTTGCTGCCGTGCTATTTAATAGTGCTTTTTGGACTGCTTGGCATCTTTGAGGAACTGTTGCAGCGCATTCAACCGGTTGTCAATGTCGACGAACGACTGTAGCGGCAGCCGGTCCTTGTCGCTGTCGTCGCTGTCATCCAAGGGTAGCCGGTGGAGGGCCTTTTTCGACGGCTTGGGGCGTCCTCGTGGCGACGTGTGCCGAGTCCCCTGCACCGGATGCGTCGTTGTGATGGTTTTTTTGGCGGTGGACTGGCGCGGAGATCTTGTGGCCGCGGTGGTCTATGCCATTCGTGAGAGTTCGTCCTAGGCACGATAGACATTACATGTGGGTAATCGCGCACGTTTTGCTGCTTCCCGACCGAGTTGAACACACGTGGCGAGCTCAATCGAGTGTCCTGTGCACAGTGCGTTGGGTTCGTGGCGTCGAGGGGCTCTCGTACGGACCGTTTCTCGTTGACTGGAGGAATTCCGGGGAAGCCGCGACCTCCGCGTCGAAGTGGATCCGCCAGACTGATAGCCCGCAGACGAGTCGGACGAGTACCCACTGGGAGGCTTCCTTGTTGGCCTATCGAGCCCGTCAGGATGACACGGCATGCGCTTGTAGATCCTATACGTATGCGGAGACTGCGACCGGGCTCGAAGTTTCAGCTGGCGCTCGTGCTAGTGAATATAAAGGTCAGTCTGTCCAAATAATGCAATCGAGTGTACATGGTATGCTGTGGGGTCGAATCGCTTAAATTTGGCCTTGTCTTGTTTCCTGTCGAATGGGTTTCCGCCTTCGCTGTCGCTGGACGCAGCGGCAGAACTTGGCCGGCGCGGCTTCTGTGCCAAGCAAAACAAGTTTAGCTAACCAAGTTGCTCGAGAGAGAATTGTTTTCGTCACGGACGGTCGATCCATTCTGCGACGGCGTCGATGTCGCCGTGGCGTTATTCGAACGTGCCACGGACGATTTGGACTGGTTCGACTTGGTCCGTTGGATGGCGAGTTGACGCAGGAGCTCTCGGTTCTTCAGCTGCAGCTCTTGCACGGTCGTCTTGGTCGCGTTGAGTTCATTGGTTGCGTCCTTGAGCTGCTCATGCAACTCTTTCTACACAACATGAACAAGCTGTGGTCCGTTGTGATGCCTTCACGCTGGGGAAAACACATACGACGCGTGAGGCGTGGTCTTCAGTGGCTCTTTCAACATCCCTTTCGAGGTGTCGAATCCGCTGAATGTATTGCGACTCGTCCGCCACGTTGTGTTGGGGCGGAGGTTGCGACCTAAGCGCGGTCAAATCGCTGAATTCAATCGTGGATGGCACACCGAAGAAGGTCCACTTGCGCTTGCAGCCCTTGAATTTCTTTCGACGACTCTTTGCGCAGTTGCTCGTACATGGTGGATAATTCCTTGTTTTCGGCAGTCGCCGCCTGGGAACATGGCGTTAGGGTGCCCAAAATTGTGGACATGTTCGTACGATCAACTCGCTCTTGAGATGAACCACCGACGTCGCGTCGTCCTGCCTGTCATGGGCCTCTTGCAATTGCTGGATGCGCAGGCGCAGCGAAGCGTTTTCATCCCGTATGCTTTCCAGTCGCTTCTCCATTGCACCATCAGAGGTTGAGCGCGCCTCCATGAGTGTCTACGTTCAATCGTGATGTCGATGAAGGGCACACGACGTGCTCGTTTCCACCTGCTTGAGACGGCGAATCGTGCGTTGAAGCATATCGGGGGATGGAGAGTCCACGTAGTTCAATGGAAGTGGGTAATGGACGCGGTCGAACTCGACGGCGTAGGTCAAGATCATGTATCGCTTGTTTTGGAGTGACGTCACAGGATCGGGCGCGTTGGAAGGAGTTCCAGTGGACTTGCCCAGCTTACGCTTTCGGTACAGTTCCTAAGCACGGGATTTTGACGACAGGGTGCATCTCGCGCTGACAAACCAAGTCAGAGTAGGTAAGGAGGTCGATGAAGACTGACTCGCTCTTGTGCTGCAATGCAGACATGAGCATGTTGACGAAGGTGAAGAATCGCTTGAAGTTTCCCGTCTTCTTGGTTAGCTCTTCGATGTCTACGGTCGCAACTGAATGCGCTGTTGTTGCGTGAGTTTCGCCTTACACAGCGCAGGAAAGTGTGCCCCCCATCGATCACTGTCGGCGCCGCCTTTCACACTCTGCTCTTCCACTTGCACATGCAGCTCATCTGATTGTACCCACACGTGCACGTAGTACTCCACGCCGTGGAAGCACATGGTGCCAGACGCTTCCACCCCGCGCTCGTCTTCCATCGTCAGCGTTGAATGTGATTGGGATCTCGGTTCGGGCGGTTCACCAAACCGTCCAGACCGACGTTGAACCAACAGTATCGAACAACATATGGAGTATACTGAATCCAAGTTTAAATTATCCGAGGCGTTTCTTCCATGGTTTCGAAAGGTCGCCGCATTGTGCAAGTCGCGCCGTCAAGAAGAACGACGAGAGGGCTCGACCATGGCGAGTCCGCGGATGCAATGGATATCCCAGCGCATCCTGGAGTCCTTTGAGCCCGCCGTGACGCAAGGTGAAGTCACAGAGTTCTTGGGATCTGCCCCCGTCAAGAAACTCCTCGATGAACTGCTCGCAGGGAAGGAAGCCACCAAGCTCTTCATTCACTTCCAAGTAGACGTACGACGAGCCCCATGTATAATTGCATGCATCTCATGTGCACATGATGTAGCCTACGGACAAAGGGGCTGAAGCAACGCGGATGCGCCTCTCAGCGTCCGCAGGCAACACATTACCTATCCGATCCAAGTGTTGTTACTTTCTTCGCAGCATCGCCGATGGGAAGGCAGTCGACATGACCAAGGTACAGTGCTACTTCCAATGCAGGAACTGTGCACTCAAGGCGACGACGGGTGTAGGGAAGCGATAACACATTGCTGTTTGGCGAACTGGCATCGAATGTCCTTCGAAACCTGGAATCGACCTTGTCGCAACTGTTCACACCATTGTTCAAAGCGCGAGACGACTGGGGCAAAGCCGACTCGGATCTCAAGATCGAGTTCATGAATGAATCGGAAAAGTTCGCCAACGACTTGAAAGAAGCGCTGCACAGCATGGATAGTGGCCTCGAGTTGCGTCGCCCAGACCGCGAGTACGAAAACGCGGGGACGCGGGGCAGTGGGTTGAGTGAGTCTCCGAATGTGATCGCGCACTACGAAGAAGTGTTGAAGGACTGGTGTGACGTTATCTCGACGTACCTCGAAACCAACACGACCGGCGACGGCAGAGCCAACGACGACGAGATCGACGACGATGGCCCGATGGGCGAGCTCGAGTACTGGCGCCGTCGCATGCAGCGACTCACGAGCATTACGGAGCAGCTCAAGACGAACGAGTACAAGGATGTGTTTCTCGTGCTTAGCCGAACATCAAAGAACGTGAGCGACGACACAAAACAACGCATCCAGACGCTGCTTCGGCGGTGGAAGCAGACGGACATCAGCATCACGGAAGCTGCGAACGAAGCCAAGGATAACGTCAAGTACTTGTTTACGTTGGAGAAGTTTATCGTTCCGCTGTATTCTGGCACACCAAGCACCATCATCGACACGCTGCCAGCCTTGATGAACTCGATCAAGATGATTCACTCCATCGCGCGATACTACAACACGTCCGAGCGCATGGCGAGCCTCCTCACCAAGATTACGAACCAAATGATCACCAATTGCAAGAATTGCATCACGGGCGGCGAGACGTTCGAAGTGATGTGGACAAAGGAACCGGAGGAACTTGTGCGCAACTTGGACTCATGCCTGAAGCTGAACGAAGCGTATCAACAGCAATACCGCGCGACCAAGGACAAACTGTTCTCGATGCCCAAAGGCAAGCAATTTGAGTTCAACGAGATGCAGATCTTCGGCAAGTTCGACCTGTTTTGCCGTCGCATGATCAAGCTCATCGACATGTTCACGACAATCCACCAGTTCTCGTCGCTGGGCCAGCACAAGTTGGAAGGGATGGAAGAGCTCATCACAAAGTTTAACAGCGTCATTCGCGAGTTCCGGCTTCGAAACCACGACCTCCTCGACTACCGAAACAACCGGTTCGACCGCGACTATGTCGAATTCAACGTGCGCATCTCGGACTTGGAGGGGCTCCTCCAAAAGTTCATCAACGACTCGTTCGAGAATATCACGTCCATTGAGCACTCGCTCAACCTCCTGCGCAAGTTCCAGACCATCCTCCAGCGCGAGAACCTCAAGTCCGACCTCGACTCGAAATTCAACGTGATCTTTCAGAATTACGGCCTCGAGCTCGAGCACGTTCTCCAGCAGTACGAGCGCCACAAACACAACCCGCCATACCCGCGTAACCTGCCGCCCGTTGCAGGCAATATCACATGGAGCCGCCACTTGCTCAAGAGAATTGAAGAGCCCATGAAGAAGTTCGAGTCGAACCAGAACGTCCTCGCGAGCAAGGACGCGAAGCGGATCATTCGCATGTATAACAAAGTTGCGCGGACGCTCGTCGCGTTCGAGTATATCTGGTACCAGGCATGGGTCCAGTACATCGACACAGCCAAGGCCGGGCTCCAGGCGACTCTCATCATTCGGCATCCCGAAGACAACGTGTTGTACGTGAATTTCGACCCAGAGATCCTTCAGCTGCTTCGAGAAGCCAAGTGCTTGGATCGCATGGGGATCGAGATCCCCGAGTCGGCCAAGATCGTGCTGCTTCAAGAGGAAAAGTTCAAGAATTACTACAACGAGCTCCAGTTCGCGTTGTCCGAGTACGATCGCATTGTGACCAAGGTCATCCCGGTCACAGCCATGTTACTGCGGCCGCACTTCAACGACATGGAATTCAAGTTGCGCCCGGGGATGATCACGCTGACGTGGACCAGCATGAACATCGAAGCGTACCGCAACCACATCCACACGGGCCTTCAGCGGCTCGAGGAGCTCGTGACCAACATCAACGACATCATCGAGAACCGTGTGGAGAAGAACCTGCGCATCGTGAGCAAGACGATGCTGGTGGACCTCCCGATAGACCAGTCGTTCTCGCTGGATGAGTTTGTCTCGATGCAAAGCAACAATATTCGTCGTGCCGGCGCGCTGCTCCAGGGCAAGAACATCGAGATCGAAAACGCCGTCGAGGACTTGCTCAAGATCATCACGCAATATCCACTCGACTCGCACATTGAGACCGTCTCGGCGGAGGAAGCGATGAAGCTCAAGAAGCACTACAATCACTTCATGTACCAAGCGCTGCTGCACTGCACCAAGAACTCGCTCAATTCGATCAAGAAGCGCGTGGCGTCGCGCGCCGGCCAACATTCTCTCACGTTGGAGCGACCCTTCTTCGAAGTCGACGTCCAGCTGAGTATCCCGCGCGTTCAACTCAATCCATCCCTCGATGAAATCCAGCTCGCCATCAACCGCGCGGCACAGACAGTGCTTGCGGCGGCCAAGGAGCTCTACGATTGGGGTCAAAATGATGTGGTGAAGGAAGACCGGACGACGTTCTTTGAGCGCATCACAAAGGACATCGAGATCGTCCGCGTCGTCCTTCTTCTCACAGGCAGCGTCCAAGGGCTACGCAACACCGTCACCGAGTACCTCGAGTCGTTCAAGCAGTACGAGTGGCTATGGATGGAGAACAAGGACATGTCGTACGAGAACTTTTTGAAAAAGAACCCGGAACTGCAGGACTTTGAGCGCAAGCTCAAGTCGTTTGTCCTCATCGACGAAGACATCACTGCGGTCGCATGTACGTACTCTTCGTTGGTGCAACGTGATGCATTTTCTGATGGTGCCACGTGTTGTAGTGGTGCACAACATCGGCGCGCTGAGCCTCAACACGCGCAACATCAAGCTCCAACTCAAGCACGAAAACTCCCAGTGGAAGCTCAAGTACAGCGACAACCTGCACAACCAAGCGCGAAAGAAGATGGAGTCGCTGACCGAGTACTTCCGATCGACGATGGGCAGGCTCAACCGGAAGGTCGTCGACTTGGACTCGCTCCGGTTCGTCATGAATTTGCTCAAGGAGGTCCGCGCTCGAGAAAGCGGGATCAACATGGAGATAAATCCGGTCCTCGACATGTACGAAATGCTCGAGTACTACCTCCCCGAAGGCTTTATGGAGAAGGAAGAGATGGACCAAAAGTCTGTCTTGCGCAGCAACTGGCGCAAGCTGATCCACCACGCCGAGACGAGAACGGACGAACTGAGCAAGACCCAAGCTGGCTTCAAGCGAGGGCTCTTGCGCGATATCAAGGAATTCATCGTCGACGTCAAGCACTTCCGCGAGGATTTCTTGGCGAATGGCCCCATGGTGATGGGCATCAGTGCCGCTGAAGCCGTCGAACGGTTGAATCGGTACAAAGAAGAGTACAAGATCCGCGAGCGCAAGCAGGACCTGTACACGTCCGGAGAAGAGCTGTTTGCACTGCCCAAGACAAGCTATCCCGAATTGGACATGACGAAGAAGGAACTTCAACTCCAAGACAAGTTGTTTGGGCTGTACGTGGACGTGTTGAGTACGTTGGAGGAGTGGAAGAGCATTCCGTGGGTCCAAGTCGCCAACAACATCCAAGCGATGACGGAAAAGGTCGACGGATTCTCGAACCGGTGCAAGAAGATGCCAGCCAAGCTTCGTGAATGGGAAGCGTACACCGTCCTGAAGAAGATGATTGACGACTTTACCGACATCTTGCCGCTGCTGCAGGAACTGAGCAAGGCGTCGATCAAGCCGCGCCATTGGGAAGCCGTCATGGAAAAGACGAGCACGACGTTTGACGTGAATGCGGCCGACTTCAAGCTCCAAGCCCTCATGGACGCCAACATTGTCGCGTACAAAGTCGAAATTGAAGAGATCACGGACGGCGCCGACAAGCAGTTGAAGATCGAAATCGCGCTGGGCGAAATCGAAGAGCACTGGAGTACGAAAGACTTTGAGTTCAACGACTGGAAGAATCGCGCCGTTCCCGTGCTTAAGGGAGTCGTTCCAGTCGTCGAAGAGCTCGAGGAGGCCCAAATGAACTTGCAAACGATGCTCAGCATGCGCCACGTCCTCCCGTTCAAGGAAAATGCCCAACAAAAGCTTGAAACCCTTAGCGATACGTCCGAGACACTGGAGCGGTGGATTAAGGTCCAGATGCTGTGGTGCTCGCTCGAGTCGGTCTTCACGGGCGGGGATATCGCCAAGCAAATGCCTGTCGAGGCGAAGAAGTTTCAAAAGATCGACAAAGACTGGGCCAAGATCATGACCAAGTCGGTCGAAATCAAAAACGTCGTGCAGTGTTGTGCGAGCGAACTGCTCAAGTCGTGCTTGCCGACCATGTACGCCGAGTTGGAGAAGTGCCAAAAATCCCTCGAAGGGTACCTCGAACAGAAGCGCAACAAGTTTCCCCGGTTCTACTTTGTGTCGAACCCTGGCCTGCTCATGATTCTCTCCCAAGGAAGCGATCCGCTCAGCATGAACGAGCACTACGAAAAGGTGTTTGACTCGATCGAGAAGGTCATTCACGACAAGAAGGACAAGACTCTCATCCACACGATGACTTCGGCCGGCGACGAAGTCCGGTTCTCGTCTGTGGTAAAGGCCCAGGGGAATATCGAGGACTGGCTCGCGTCCCTCTTGCTGTCGATGCAGCTTACGATGAAGGACATTTGCCGCCGGTGTGCGTCGGACGTCGGCGCGATGAGCGCTGACATCAAACGCATGCGCGAATTTGTCGATCGGTATGTGGCCCAGTTCGCGCTGCTCGGGATTCAAATGATGTGGACGGCGGACGTCCAGTCGGCGCTGGAGCAATGCCGAACCAAGAAGAACTCGATGAAAGACATGAGCCAAAAGCAGCTTCAAGTGTTAACAGAGCTGTCCTCTTGGTGTCTCCAAGACCTCGGATCCAAGCAAAATCGCGTGAAAATCGAAACCCTCGTGACCATCCACGTTCATCAACGCGACGTCATGAGCGACTTGGCCCTCTTGCACAAGCAGAAAAAGATTTCCGACGCCAACGACTTTGAATGGCTCAAGCAAGCGCGCATGTACTGGCGGCCCAACAACTCGGACGAGTTCACGTCCGACGGCGCGTGCGTTGTTAGCATCACAGACGTCGACTTCAACTACCAGTTTGAGTACCTCGGGTCCAAGGAGCGCCTAGTCGTGACCCCGCTAACTGATCGATGCTACATCACGCTGGCCCAAGCGCTAGGCATGTACTTTGGTGGCGCTCCGGCCGGGCCTGCCGGGACCGGCAAAACAGAGACGGTCAAAGATCTCGGGCGAACGCTCGGCATTTACGTAGTCGTCACCAACTGCACAGATCAGCAAAAGTACACCGATTGTGCCAAGATCTTCAAAGGACTGTGCCAAGGCGGTCTGTGGGGCTGCTTTGACGAGTTTAATCGAATCCAGTTGCCCGTGCTGAGTGTCGTGGCGCAGCAAGTGCTTGCGATTCAAAACGCCAAGAAGACAGCAACCAAGTACTTTCAATTCCCGGGTGATCCGCAAAATATCCTGCTCAGCCCCGTGTGCGGGTTCTTCATCACCATGAACCCTGGGTACGCCGGACGACAGGAGCTGCCGGAGAACCTGAAGGCGCTTTTCCGCGGCGTTGCCATGATGGTGCCGGATTTCGAAATCATCATGAAGGTCAAGCTCTGTTCTGTGGGGTACCTCGAGTACCAGGAACTCGCCAAGAAGTTTTTCATCTTGTACTCGACGTGCAAAGAACAACTCAGTGCCCAAAAACACTACGATTGGGGTCTTCGCAACATTCTAGCCGTGTTGCGGTCCGCTGGAAAAATCAAACGCGACAACCGCAACGATCTCGAAGCCAAGCTGCTTTTCCAAACGCTGCGAGACATGAACTTGTCCAAGCTCGTGGCGCAGGACGTCCCGCTGTTCTTGTCGCTCTTGCAGGACTTGTTTCCGACGATTCCTCCGCCACCAAAAGGAGTGTACCCGGAGCTGGAAGCGGTCATTTTGGCGGAAATCGATAAGCAAGGGCTGGTCAACCACCCCGGGTGGCTCAATAAGGTCATCCAGCTCTACGAAACGCAGCTCGTGCGCCACGGTATCATGTTGGTCGGGCCCACGGGCGGTGGCAAGTCGCGGATCTTCGAAGTATTACAACAAGCGCTCACGATCACGACAAACATCAACCACAAGCAATCGCGGCTCAATCCCAAAGCGATTCGCGCCGCCGAAATGTACGGCGAAGTGGACCCGATGTCCGGCGAGTGGACGACGGGCGTGTTTGCCGCCATGTGGTCCAAGTACAACCAAAAGAGCAACAAGTTCAACATGTGGATGATCTGCGATGGCCCTGTCGATGCCATTTGGATCGAAGATCTCAACACCGTCCTAGACGACAACAAGATCCTAACGCTCGCCAACGGCGACCGCATGCCCATGACAGACAACGTCAAGCTGATGTTTGAGGTCGAAACCCTCGTCAACGCCTCGCCCGCGACCGTGTCCCGGGCCGGGATTGTGTTTGTGTCCGATACAGACTTGGACTGGGCGCCCGTCGTCGAGGCGTGGATCCGAAAGCGCCCAGCATCCCACCAAGACACGCTGCGCCAGTTGTTCCTCAAGTACATGGGCGAGAACACTCCGCTCTTGTGCGGCATTGCGTTCGATTTCCTCAATCGAAACACGTCTGGCGTCATGTCCGTTTCCCGCGTCGGTCAAGCGTCGCGGTTGTACAACCTCATGACAGGGCTCCTCCAGGGCGACCACGGCACGTACCTGTCGGAAGACCCAGCGATTCTCCCCAAGCACTTGGAAAAACTCTTCTTGTACTGCATGACGTGGAGTGTCGGCGGGCTCCTCGAGCCGGACGACCGCATCAAGTTCGACGAGTGGCTGCGCAAAATCGACGACAACGGCCTCATGCCCAAGTGCGATCCGGGAAACTACTGCTACGAATACTACGTGGACGCAGCGACGTACGAGTGGAAGCTGTGGCGTCCACCCAAGTGGGAGTACCCCAAAGGCGACAAGCTCGACTTTTCCAACTTGCTCGTGCCAACCATGGACTCGGTTCGGACGCTGTACTTGATCGAGAACCTGCACAAGCAGAAGAAGCCCGTCCTCATGGTGGGTGGTCTCGGGACAGCCAAGTCGTCGTGTGCGTTGATGTACTTCAACGGGCTCAACCCCGACACGATGATGGTGAAGCGCGTCAACTTTAGTAGCGCCACGACCGCATTCATGTTCCAGACAGCGGTGGAGAGCGAGCTCGACAAGCGCGGCGGAAAGAGCTTCGGGCCGCCGAACGGGAAAAAAATGACTGTGTTCTTGGATGACCTGAGCATGCCGCTCGTGAATGCGTGGGGGGACCAGCCCACGCTCGAGATCGTCCGGCTCATCATCGAGTGCAGTGGCTTTTGCTTCTTGAGCAAAGACCGCCGCGGCGATTTCAAAGTGTGCGAAGATTTGCAGTACGTTGGCGCGATGGGCCATCCTGGCGGCGGCCGCAACGACATTCCAAACCGGTTGAAGCGGCAGTTCTTTTTGTTCAACTTGGTTTTGCCGTCGTTGACGTCGATCGACGACATTTACGGTCAAATGTTGGCTGGCCGGTTCACGCCCGACATTTACACAAAGGAGGCGATTGCCATGAGCGGCAAGCTAACCCGCGCCACGATCGACCTGTGGAACTTCATGAAGGCCAAGCTCCTTCCCACGCCCGCGAAATTTCACTACATTTTCAACATGCGCGAACTGTCGCGAGTGTTTCAAGGCGTCCTGCTCACGCCGGCCGAAACGTTTGCCACGGGCGGTGGGTTCCGCGTGAGCCAAGGCAAGATGGAAAAGATCGACCAGGGTCAACTGGTCCTCATGGTGTGGAAGCACGAGTGCGAGCGCGTCTTTAGCGACAAGCTGACCAACTACAAGGACAAAGACGTGTACCAAAACTACATGAAGGACCTGCTCAAGGCCCACTTTGGCGACGACCTCGAGCAGAAAGTCCGCGTTCCGTTTTACATGGTCAACTTCTTGCGCGACCCCGCCGAGAACGAAGAAGGTGTTGTGGATGACGTCGTGCCCAAGGTGTACGAACCGGGCGGAACGCTCGAGGAAGTTCGCGTCCGCGTCAACGAATTCCTGAGCAAGTACAACACGGACTACCCCCAGCGCATGATGCGGCTCGTGCTGTTTGACGACGCGCTCGGGCACTTGCTACGGTTGTCGCGTCTGCTTGAAATGCCACGCGGGTCGGTCCTGCTCGTGGGGGTCGGTGGGTCCGGCAAGCAGTCGCTGACGCGACTCGCGGCCTACATGGCGCAGTCGACGGCGTTCCAGATTACGCTCACGAAAACGTACAACACCAACTCGTTCATGGACGACTTGCGCGTGCTGTACAAGAATGCCGGCCATCTGAAAAAGTCGACCACGTTCTTGTTCACGGATTCGGAAATCAAGAACGAAATCTTTTTGGAATTGATCAACTCGGTCCTGATGACGGGCGAAGTCGCGGGGCTGTTTGCGAAAGACGAAATGATGGCGATGACGGCCGACCTGCGCAACTCGTTTGTGAAAGATCGCCCCGGCCTTCCAGACACCCAAGCGAATTTGAAGCAGTACTTTATCGACGGCGTGCGCGACAATTTGCACGTTGTGCTGTGTATGTCGCCACTGAACGCCAAGTTTGCCGAACGGGCACGCAAGTTCCCGGGGCTCATTTCTGGCCCCACGATCGATTGGTTTTTGACGTGGCCGGAAGATGCCTTGATTGCAGTGTCCAAGGGATTTGTCCTGGACTACCCGATGGAGTGCGACAGCACGACTCGGCTGGCGCTGATGACGCACATGGGCATGGTGCACCGCATCGTGACCGACCTGTGCGACGAGTACTTTCAAAAGATGCGCCGACGTGTGTACCAAACGCCCAAGTCGTACTTGAGTTTCATCGAGTCGTACAAGAAGATGTACAGCATCAAGATCGAAGAGATCAAGGTCAAGGAGCAGCGGGTGAACCTTGGGCTCAAAAAGTTGATTCAAGGCGCTGAGGACGTCCGCGCCATGTCGATCGTGCTTGCCGACGAACAGGTCAAGCTTCAAAAGGCCACGGAAGAGACAAACGCAATGTTGCAGTCCCTGCAAGTGTCGTCGGCGGAGGCGTACAAAGAAGGCGAGCAAGTGTCCCAAATCAAGTCCAAGTGCGAAGAAGATGCGGTCCGCATCGGCGCGGAAAAGGCGGCGTGCGAAACGGATCTGGCCAAAGCCAAGCCATTCGTCGAAGAAGCCGAGACCGCGATCGACTCGATCAAGCCTGCCCACATTGGGGAGATCAAAAAGCTCGCCAAACCTGCCGACATCATTCGCCTCGTGTTCGACGGCGTCTTGATTTTGTTTCAGAGTCAGCTGGCGGTCGTCAAGCAAGCCAAGCTGAACGTGGCCAAGCAGGACATTGACTTTATCGAGACGTCGTTCTCGCCGTACGCCCAGGTCGTGATGGGGGACTCCAACTTTCTCAAGAACGTCCAAACGTTCGGCGCGATCGGAAAAGATCAAATCAACGAGGAAACCATCGAGCTGTTGTGCCCGTACATGGAGCTGGAAGGCTTCTTGCCCGCGGTGGCCAAGAACGCTTCGCTTGCCGCGGAAGGGCTTTGCACGTGGGTGCGCGCCATGAAGTTTTACCACGAAGCATCCAAGGTCGTCAAGCCAAAACTGGAAGCGCTCATGATTGCGGAAGGACAAATGGAAGCTGCCAACAAAGCGTTGGCCCAGGCCGAGCTTCGCTTGTCCAAGTGCAAAGAGCGCCTGAACGAGCTCCAGCAAATGTTTGAAGCGCAAATGTCCGAGAAGAAGCGCATCGAAGACGGCGCGAACGCTCTCGCGCGAAAGATGCAACAGGCGTCCGACTTGATCAACGGGCTTGCCGGCGAACGCGTGCGTTGGACGGACGACTCGAACAACTTTGCAGACCTGAAGCGCCGCATGGTCGGCGACTGCGCCGTCGCATGTGCATTTGTGAGCTATTGTGGGCCGTTCAATCAAGACTTCCGGCACTACATGGTCGCAAGCAAGTTCATTCCCGACTGCGAACTGCGCAACGTGCCTGTCACGTCCGACTTGGATGTGATCAACTTTCTCGTGGACATTGGAACGATTGGGGACTGGAACATCCAGGGACTGCCCACGGATTCCCTCTCGATTCAAAACGGAATCATGGTGACGAGGTCTTCGCGCTACCCGCTACTTGTGGACCCCCAAGGCCAAGCGCTGTCATGGATCAAAAATCGCGAAGCCTTGCGCATGCCCACGTACGGATCGACCACACTGAATCACCCCAAGCTCAAGGATCAACTGGAGTACTGCATGGGCGAAGGCCGGGCACTCGTGATCACGGGCGTTGAAGAGGACATCGACCCGATGATGGATCCCGTGCTCGAGCGCCAGATCATCGTCAAGGGGCGGTCGCTGTCAATTAATGTGTCGGACAAGAACATGGAATTCAACCCGGCGTTCAGCATGTACTTTATCACGCGCCTGCCAAACCCGCACTTTGGCCCGGAATTGCAAGCCAAAACGACCGTGATCGACTTTACGGTGACGATCAAGGGGTTGGAAGAGCAGCTGCTCGGCCGCGTGATTGGGAAGGAGCAGAAGGCCCTGGAGGAGCAATTGGCCCAGGTGCTGGAAGACGTCAACATGAACACCAAGTCGTTGCTTGCCCTGGACGCGTCCTTGCTCGAACGATTGACATCCAATACGGGCAACTTGCTCGAGGACGAAGAGCTCATTGGAGTGCTGGCCAACACGAAAGAAAAGGCGGCAGAAGTCAAGGACAAGTTGATTGCGGCAGCCGACACGCGAAAAAGCATCAACGAAAAGCGCGAGCAGTTCCGTCCGGTCGCGACCCGTGGGTCCGTGCTCTACTTTACCATTGTCGAGATGTCGCTGGTCAACTGCATGTACCAGACGTCGCTGACACAATTCCTGGCGCTCTTTATGAAGTCAATGGATGTGGCAGAGAAGGCGGCGCTCGCGTCCAAGCGCGTCGCCAACATCATTGAAACCATGACGTACATCAGCTATCGATACATCAATCGAGGGCTGTACGAGCGCGACAAGCTCACGTTCATTTTACTGCTCACGATGAAGATCCTCGTGACCGACAACCTGCTGACACGTGAAGAAGTTACGCTGCTCATTCGCGGCGGGGCCGCGCTCGACATCAACACGGTGCGAAGGAAACCCTTCTCGTGGATATCCAACGAAGCCTGGCTCAACGTGATTGAGCTGAGCCAGTCGTGCAAGTTCTTCACGTCGCTCCCACACGATATGAGCTCGAACGAAGCCATGTGGCGCCGGTGGTACGAAGACAACGAGCCAGAGAATGCCATGATCCCAGACTACGAGAACCGCATTGCCGAGAACGAGCAGATTGGCCCGTACTTGAAGCTCCTCCTCGTGCGCGCGTTGCGAATGGATCGGACGATCCTGTGTACAAAAGAATTTATTCGCAACACGCAGCAGATGGGCCTCAAGTACGTCGAGCCCGTGACGGACACGATCGACTCGATCTTCAACGAGATGAAAGCAGACACGCCCGTCATCTTTTTGCTCTCGATCGGCGCCGACCCGACGGAAAGCATCGAACAGCTCGCACGCAAGAAGAAGAACCCGTCGCCGGCCGTCGTTTCGATGGGGGAAGGCCAAGAGCCCGTGGCCCTCAAGGCCATCAACGCTGCCGTTGTGAACGGAACGTGGGTGCTGCTGCAAAACTGCGAACTCGGCCTCGAACTCATGGAGCAAATGGAAGAAGTGATCTTCAAGTTGAGCGAAACCATGGACCCAAACTTCCGCCTCTTCCTCACGGCCCTCCCAAGCGAGCAGTTTCCGTTGGGGCTGCTCCAAATGTCGACCAAAGTGACCAACGAACCGCCGCAGGGGCTCCATGCCGGCCTCCTGCGGTCGTTCACGGTTATGGTGGACCAGGAAAAGCTCGAGCGCGTCGAAACCGTGCAGTGGCGGCAGCTGCTCTTCGACCTGTGTTTCTTGCACTCGGTTGTGATCGAGCGCAAGAAGTTTGGCCCGTTGGGGTGGTGCATTCCGTACGAGTACAACAACGGCGACTTGTCGGCGTGCACGATCTTTTTGGAAAAGCACTTGTACAACGGCCCGATTTCGTGGCCGACGCTCCAGTACATGGTGTCGGAAGTGCAGTACGGCGGCAAAATCACCGACAACTTGGACCGGCGCATGTTCAATTATTACTGCGAGTGGTGCATCCAGAGCGACGCGTGCAGCTCCACGTTTAGCTACAACCCCGGCGAGCCCATTCTGCGCATCCCCAACGATTTCAACTACCGCATCCCGGTCGCCGAGTCCATCGACGACTATCGTAACTTTTGCCACAGTTTGCCAGACGTGGACTCGCCCGAGATCTTTGGGCTCCACCCGAACGCTGATCTCACGTACCGCGTGAAAGAAGTCAACCTCTTGCTGGGTACGTTGGGCGAGACCCAGCCCAAGGGCGGTGGCGGGTCCTCGGGCGTCAGTCGCGAGGACGTTGTGTGTGAAAAAGCCAAGGAACTGTCTGACCGGCTGCCAGAAGACTATATCGAAGACGACTACAAGGCGAAGATCCAACGCCTCGGCGGACTCACGATCCCGCTCAACATTTTCCTGTACCAAGAAATCCAGCGCCTCCAACGCGTCATTTCCAAGGTGCGCACGATGCTGTCGCAGCTCCAAATGGCGATTCGAGGTGAAGTCGTAATGACGGAAGAGCTCAGCTGGACTCTGAATGCGATTTTCGATGCCAAAGTCCCGCCGTCGTGGCTGCGGACGTCGGTCGGCGACGAGTTTTCGTGGATCTTGCCAACGTTGGGTCTCTGGTTCTCGTCGCTCCTGTCGCGGGACGAGCAAAGTCGCACGTGGCTCAACACGCGGCGGCCCAATTGTTTCTGGCTCACGGGATTTTTCAACCCGCAAGGCATGCTCACCGCCATGAAGCAAGAAGTCACACGGAAGCACAGCAAGACAGACAAGTGGGCGCTCGACGATGTCGTGTACCACACCGAAGTCACAACATTTGAGCGCGCCGAACAAGTGCGAACACCCCCCGCGGAAGGAGTGCTCATCTACGGCCTCTTCTTGGACGGTGCGACGTGGAGCAAGGCCGACGGGACGCTGGTCGAGTCGGAGCCCAAGAAGCTGTTTACGTCGCTGCCCGTGCTGCACGTAAACAGCATGTCCAAGGAACTCGAGCTCAAGTCGAGGAAGGAACTGTACGGGTCCATTGGCCCGTTTGAATGCCCTTGCTACAAGTACCCCATGCGCACGGATCGGTACATCATCTTTATGGTGACGATGAAGTGTCCGCAGAATCGGCCGCCGCGGCACTGGGGCTTGCGCGGCGTTGCTTTGCTCTGCAACACAGAGTAGAAGTGCAAATATAGAGAGTATGTACCACATGGAGCACACGCGTGGGTAGATACATCGAGTAGGTTACTTGTCGTTAGGATTGGAGACAGCTTGCGCTGCGACGACTGTGTTCTGCAAGTGCATTTGGATCGCAGCGAACGGGTTCGCCTGGAATGACGGGTGCGAGTGAACTGCTTTGAGATGACCGAGTTCGTGGATCGCCAGTCGCTTCTTCTGCTTGCCCGTGAGTTTCGTTGGTGCTTTCGGAGCGGCGTCTGTCGCTGTCGTGGACGACATCGTTTCCGAAAATAGCGATTGCTGGAGGTCGTCCAGGTCGCCAAACATCCCGTCGGACTCTTTCTTCGCTTCCTTCTTCTTCTGGAGAATCGAGCGTTCGACCATGCCCATCTTCTTGTTGAACGCATCGCGTCGTTTCTGCCGTTTGCGCTGGCCTCGACTCAGCGCACTGATGGCGGCATCTTCCTTGTCCTCCACAGGTGCATCTTCTTCGTCGCCAGCAGCATCTTTTGCTTTCTTTACTACTGGCACGGCCGGCTGATGCTGGCGATACGACTTGGCTTTGCGGACTTTGCCCATGGCGAGTGTGCTCTTGCCGGCGACAAGTTGAAGCGTCCACGTCGCCCACCAACCAGCGAGAATCCGGATAATCAACCTAAACTAGGAAGTAGCCTTATTTAGGAGTCCTGAACGAGATATATCGGATACGGGCCCTTGGTTTCCGAACGGGCTGGTAGACACCTGCACGTCATTCGCGGGTCACGTCATGGTGACTACGCCGCACAGCCGACGGGCCGCTGCCGCTGACAGGTCTGGTCTGGTATGTTGGCACGGACATTTTTGGCGTACAAGCAAGACTTTTGAGGCATGGAAGGGCACCCCCACGTTGGCGTAGTTTCGAGTGCTCGGCGATACATATTGCATGAAACATGAACATGCTCAATGCGCTGAATGTGTCCACGCGATCCATACGAAGACGGGTGAAATTGAGGTTAGGAGCGAAGACTTCCATGACCTAAGCGTTCTTGGCCAATTCCTGGCGCAGTTGGTTGCAAAAGTCGTCATCAGCTTCGTCGACGTCCCAGTCGTCTTGCCACTGGAGTTTGATTTGCGCTTCCTTTTCTTCTTGGGCCGCACCCCACGTGTGTTCTTCGAATTCTTCAAATTCGTCGTCTTCTTCGACAATATGGATGATTTGCTTGGCCTCGGCGTTCGCAGGAGCGGCCGGGGGTGCGGCGGCGGCGGGTGCTTTGCTGCTCATTGTTCGGTTGGGAAAGTATGAGAGAGATCCAACTATCTGTAAATTCAATTGGATATAATTTCACTGTTCGTACCAATCACTTCTTGTTAAGAGGCACTGCTTCGCCAATCATTGGTGTTTAGAATTATTTTACATCCAATCAAAATGATTCGAATGATCTTCCCACAAGAACATTTCCTGGCAATCTTGACTATCCTGCAGAGCTTCTTGCCCGTGGCAGGCAAGCGCCACCTTCACACTTCCCATCAAAAGATCTAGCACAAGGCTCCATGCTGCAGCGCGCGCTCGCCAGTCCATTCTTCACAGCGTTTCAACGTCGTAGTTCCGGTATGGTCTTCCTCAGCACGTCTCGACGGATTCCCCACAAGTTCTTGTCCACGGACCAACTGTCTCCCGAACAATTCCAGCACCTCCTGGACACTGCCATCGACTACAAGAAGCGAAATGTGGAAGAGACTATCCTGAAAAGCGAAACCCTGCTCATGATCTTCCAAAAGCGCTCCACCCGCACGCGATTGAGCTCGGAAATCGGCATGCAACGGTTGGGCGGCCGCGCGATATTCTTGTCGTCCGATGACATTCAACTTGGTGTGAACGAATCCCTTAAGGATTCGGCCCGTGTGATGAGCCGTTTTGGTACTGTCCTGCTCGCTCGCGTTTATGGCCACGACGACGTCAAACAACTGGCCGCGGAAAGCTCGATCCCAGTGATCAACGCCCTTTCCGACAAGTTCCACCCGCTCCAAGCCCTGGCAGACTATATGACGATTCAGGAACACTTTGGATCGGCGAAGGGACTGACCGTCTCGTGGGTTGGTGATGGCAACAACGTCCTCCATGACTACATGTTGGCTGCTCCGCTTGTCGGTAAGCTCTCTCATGCCAAGCTTCTTCCAATTGAGGCGACTCGTACTCACGGACACCGTTAGGGGCAAACATTCAAATCGCGACACCTCAAGGGTACGAACCCGATGCGGACGTGGTCAAGAAGACGGTGCAGCTCGCCAAGGTACACTCTCAGCGCACGGATGAGATGTTTTGTGACGAGTGACTGTAGGCGGCGGGCACGACGGTGACGCTGACAAATGACCCGCTAGAAGCAGTTCAAGGCGCACATGTCGTTGCGACGGATACGTGGATTAGCATGGGTCAAGAAGAAGAGGCAAAGAACCGAATTGCGGCCTTTGCGGGGTATCAAGTGACGAAAGCCATGCTGAAGCATGCGTCGTCCAACCACATCTTTCTGCATTGCCTGCCTCGACATCCAGAGGAAGTCGACGATGAGGTATATTTGCATGATGCATCTTTGCGACGGGTGCTCAAGGAAGGATATGTCCCCAGGTGTTTTACTCGGATCGATCCCTCGTCTTCGACGAAGCAGAGAACCGCATGTGGACAATCATGGCTGTCCTCGCCAACATCGTCAAGTAGTCCAGTTGATCGCGTGTGGTTAGAGAGGCATCACCCTGGAATCACTCATGGCTTCCGCCACCTCATGTCCGTCGACTGCGTCGACGATGCGCACGACGCGTTCGGAAAACATCGCTGGAGTGAGTTATATTGAACCACGGTATAATATAATTCACTATTTTTACACAATTGTACTACTAGTAGTAATTTATTGTTATAATGTCTAGTAGGGGTGCGTAATTTTTATAATGACATTTTGTGGAAAACGGAAAATTGTTTCATCAGAAATCCCCAAATATTTGGCAAATTACATGAAAGGTTTGACAGGAATGTGAACCGTGTTCGAAACAAACGTTCGTGTCGTGGATGGCGTGCCGAGACTGCCAGACGAAAGCGTGCCACTTGTGCCGGCGCTGCATCACCGCGCACTGCACATGTGGCCCTGTTCTAGTCAATCCCATCTGCCTGGAATCGAAAGCATGTGACTGTATCACTCTATCACGGTGTGGTCGCTGTAGAGGCTGTAAACCAACCAAACGTCGCGCCATCTACCATTGCAACTGCGCGCAGCATGCACTTGGCAACTGCTTGTGCGATTCCATCCTCGTACCAGAAGACAATGCGCACGACAACTTGATGCAGAAACGACGGGTCCGGCGGCGATTCAGCCTCCCGAGTGTGGATAACGTGTACAGCGCCCGCCATTCCAAGCAAGATCTGTTTGAGTCGTCGGCCATGTACAGCCTGTTGCGCACGAAAGGTGGTAAAATTCTATCACACACAGACAGAGACGGCCGCCGCGGCGCTCACACGATGTCCTACTTGGCCTCGCTCGAGCGCGATCGCTCCAAGGCCACCGAGAAAAAAGCGTTGCGAGCCAAGGCCCCCGAATACTTTGACCGTGCGATGGACAACGCGACGTATACAGCTGAAGTAGAATCCCGCATGCCGTCGGATGGCATCGTGGACTATCTCGTGTACACGGGTAGTTTGAAGGTGGCGAACGTGCCCGAGCTGCTTGGTACGATGGACTCGTCAGCGGCGGTCGCGGCGGCCATCGTCGTTGAAGAGTTCATCCGCCAGGAAGTCGAAGCCTTTGTCGAGCAGAAACAGCGTAAGGACGCCCGTACAACTAGTTCAAGTTTGATATGCGGTTGTAGAGGTACCGTTGGTGGACGAAGAGGCCTTGGTGGGGTGCATCCACGAGCTGCTCAACGGAGCCAGGCCCACGGCATCGCTGGCAGACTCAGTCACGAACGAATTGCATCGCGTGTTTGGAAAAGATGCGCTGAGTGCGTACGATGTCAAGAAGATGGTCGAGGACGAGCTCGCGTGTGCCACCGCCGACGACGACAACGAAGAGCGTGCGCAACCCGAATCGATTCAAACATGGAAGGCAAGTCGAGTCGCAAAGGGCATCCAAGAGCTGGCGCAGGGGGCTGTCCACAGCGAAGACGGCATATACGTCACCCTGGTGCATGGACGCCCGTCCTACTGGTTCTCGGCCGAGGTGCCGGACCACGGGATTGTGACCAGCGAAGGGTATTCTTCATATTCCCAAGCGTGGAATACTAAACTCGAGTTGGAAGCACGGGTCGATGCGTATAATCAAGGAGAGACCGCCACGAAAGATGGCGATGATATGGCCGACGACGAGAACGTGGGCGGCGCCAAGGAGGTCGTCGAGGCTGTGCATCACATCCAGGGTGTGGTTGTGCCGCTCAAGACGTACTTTCCCAACGATCAATACATGCATCGCGTGCTGATGCGCATTGCTCTGCCGATCCCCGAAACCCCCGCGACCCTGGCAGAACGAATGAAGAGGCGCCTGTGGAAAAAGATCGAGCGCGCCCGCGACGAGCAGGAGCGCAAAAAACAACAAAAACAGCAGGAAACCGAAACGATGGAGCACTGGCTGCGGCGATGCGTGGCGGAAGGCCGGTGTCCGCACTGCAGTGGCCCTTGCGACCACATCGACGATTCGACAGCGACCTGCCAGTTGTGGAGCCACTTCCAAGCCAAGCTTGCGTCGGTTGACGACCGACACCGCTCCTTTGAAGACGTCGCGATCGAGTGGTTTGACGAACGGCGGGATGACGCGTTTGATGTGTAGACATCAATGGCTCGTTAATGTACCATGTCCCCTATCAATCCTTCGCATCCTTCGTGTATGTCGCGAGGTGGGCTGTGGATGAAATGCCGCGGCATATCTCATGCGACCTAACTCCCTAGGTCGCCGACGTCGCGGCTATTGTCGCCAATGCATGAACTGAAGAGGTGGACGTGGCGGGGCGTTGTCGTGATGTAGCATTCGATTAGGGTTATGACGTGCTTAGACGCGGCCCCGATTTTGCTTCTTCAAACAGAAGTTGACGATCATGGCCATACGCTTGTTCAAGTCGCGGATCTCGGACTCGGCTTTCTTGCGAATGCGGCGCTGCCACTTCTTTTCGTGGGCGAATCGTTGGTCGAGCTGGGTCATGACCCCGTCGTCATGCAACGTGCGGTTGATCGTCTTCACAAAGTACTCAGGGTCTTGGTTGTACCCGACTTGGTACCACAACGACCGGGTTTGCGCTGGCTTGGCAAGGGCGGGCGCGGCGACCGCGCGGCGAACGAACGTTTGCAGCATCGCCACCAACGAAATGCGCATCGCTCGGGAACGGACCATCCGGATATACAGTTCCTTGATCCGGATCGCTTCTCCGTCGGCACTATCCGGATACGTCGAAAGGTCGCGACGTTTCGAGCCCCGACGACCAAGCAGTTGCGAGTTGGCCCGACGGAAAGAACGAGCCGGCCGCGATGGGAGATGCTGCGGAAGGGTCGGGAAACAACAAGAAGGAGATCCAGCCCGCCAAGTTCATCGAGCTCCGCGTGGCGACCGCGTTCGGGGGTGGGCCCAAGTTTCTGGCCAAGTACGAGACCGAGCCAAACGAGTACGTGCCGATTTGCGCTAGCTTCTGTGTCGTGGCAATTCGATCGTATTGACCATCATGTAGGATCTGCATCAAGGAGTTCATCGAGAACGAAGATCTGACGTGTCTGCTCTTCTCGGGCGACAACATAATAGCATCGACCAAGATGCCAGGGTCCCTCCAGCGCGGCAAAACCATTAGCTTTCACAAAATGCATAAATGCGTCCTCACCCCCAAGAACATTTTGAGCGACGTCCTTGTGAGCGAACTCGGCACGAGCACACTCGAGCATCTCGAGAAATTGGTGTCCGAGATCTACTTGCCCATCTTTTCCAACCCGACCAACCAAGACGGTTGGGGCGAAGTCGCGTCCAAGGAGGTTGTGGACAAGTTTCATTCGTACATGGCGACGGTGTCCATCATCTCGGGGGCTATCAAGGGCGAGACGTGCCTGCCGCTCCCGCCTGTCGACGGCAACTCGGCCAACCTCAAGAACAAGATCTCGCTGTTGGAAGGATCCATCGTTACCTGGACCAAGCAAATCAAGAATGTGCTCAAGCAGGACCCGGAGGAGCTGCTCAAGCAAGGGCTAAACCCCACACCAGACGCCGAGATTGAGTTTTGGAAGCTGAAGGCGGCGAATTTGAACTCGATTTTCGGCCAGCTCCAAAGCAAGCGCGTGCGCAAAATTTTGACGGCGCTCGATCGCAGCAAGAGTACATACTGCACCACCTTTGCGCGGCTGTGCAAGGAAGTGTTTACGGCGCGCATCGAAGCAAATGACAACACAAAGTACCTCAGGACGCTCGAAGAGTGGTTCCACCGACTCAATAACGACGAGGACTTTCCAAACCTGACTGAAGTGTTCAAGCCCATGCTGCACATCATTTTGCTCATCTGGAAAAACTCCAAGCACTACAACACGCCCGCCCGCCTCGTCGTCCTCATCCGAGAGATATGCAACTCGCTCATCAACCAAGCCCGGCGATACCTGAGCGGCGAAATGATCTTTGGCTTGATCGACCAGGACGAAGCGGGGCAGGCTGTTGAGCAGCTCAAGACAACGCTCCAAGTGTGTACTACATTCAAGAGCATCTACTTCGACTACAAAGCGACCGCAAACGCCGAATGCCCGAGCAATCCGTGGCGCATCCAAAACAACGCGCTGTTTGTTCGACTCGACTCGTTCCTGGAGCGGTGCCACGATATCCTGGACCTGACCCAAACGATCGTTCAGTTTAGTAAACTGAGCAAGATGGAAGTCGGCGGCACCAAGGGCAAGACGCTCACGATGAGTGTGCAGCAGATCCACCACGACTTTACGGACGCCGTCAACACGTTCAAGAAGGTCTCGCATGACATTATGGACGTCGGTGCGACGAAATTTGACGACAACTTTTATGAATTTCGGTGCAAAATCAAAGAGCTCGAGCGGCGGCTCGGGTCGGTTCTGACACAGGGCTTTGACGACTGCTCGACTGTGTTTGGCCGATTCAAGCTCCTCGATTCGTTTGAGGGTCTGCTCAATCGCCCGATCATTCAAGACGAGCTCGAGAAGAAGCACGTGGCGCTGGTCCAAGCATACGGCCAGGACCTCAAGCACGTCCAGGAACTGTTCCTGCACAGCCGGGATTCGCCACCAATCTCTTGGAACTTGCCGCCCATCTCGGGCGCGCTCACGTGGTGCCGCGGGCTCATCGAACGCATCGAACACCCGATGAAGAAACTCAAGGAGCTCAACCACAACGTGATGGAGCGAGAAGAGGCCAAGGAAGTGTACAAAGTGTACGGCACCGTCCTTGCGTCCCTCCAAGAGTACGAGAACCAAAAGGTCGAAGAGTGGAGCCGCGACGTGGAGGCGAGCTCCCAGGCCAAGCTGAAGCTCCCGCTCATCGTGCGCAACCCCCACACCCGCGTCCTCAAAGTAAACTTCGACCCGGCGCTCGAGAAGCTCTTGCGCGAAGTCCGGTACCTAAAATGCCTCGGGCTGGACGTGCCGCAGTCGGCGCTTCAGATCTTCCAGAAGGAAGAAGTGTTCCGCAAGTACAAGGGAGATTTAATGTACATCGTGGACCCGTACAACTCGATGATCGAAGGCCTCCACCCGGTCGAGGAGCCCCTCGTGCGCAAGCACATCAACAACATCGATGCGAGTGTGGGTCGTGGCATCGAAGAGCTCAACTGGAAGAGCAACGGCGTCGAGACATTTATCGAGGACTGCCGCAAGTGTGTCGAGAGCGCCAACGAAGTTGTGACAAACCTCAAGGAGAACTTGACAACAATCGAAACAACACTGACGACGTGGAACCAGCCGCTGCTCGAACGCCAGGCCAAGCCGATCGCAGCCAACGAGCACGAACGCTTGCACAAGAGCTCGATTGCGCAGCGCACACTCAAGATCCGCGAAGGCGCATCCGAGATTCACCGGCGACTCAAGCAGTCCAACGCTGGCATTGCTGGCGTCAACTCGGCGCAGTGGAAAGCGTATGTCGACTACGTCAACAACATCGTGGTCGGCGGCGTCGCGCGCGTGATTTGCTCGAGCCTCGAATTCCTCGCCAAGCAACTCGAGCCGAATCAAACCCCGGCGATCGCCGCGCCGGTCAAGGACGACAAGGAGTCGAAGAAGGAATCCAAGGACGCCGGCGCCGCCACAAGGCTGCCCATGCTCGAAATCAAACTCGACTTGATCTCGAACCGCGTCCAGTTCAACCCGTGCCTGACCGAGAACAACGGGAAAGGACTCCGCGATACGATTCAGATGTGGATCAACTCGTTTTTCAACGTCGCGACCGCCGTGCGACGCCTCGATTCGGACGGCGGCGGCACGTACCTCAAGGAAATGCACAGCGACATGAACATTTGCATGCAGCTCGCCACGATCAGCGAATACCTCCAGGAGAACGAGGACCAGCTGAACGCGTTCAAGAAAAAATACGACAACTACTCGTACCTGTGGGAGGCCAACATGGACGACGTGTTTGCCGCGTTCTTGCAGGGCGCGCAGTACGTGAGCAGCTACGGCGCCACCATGCTCAACCTGACGCGGTTCAACGAAGAAATCACCAAATATTCGCGCGTGTCAAACGAGATCGCCAACTTAACGACGCCGTCCGACGTGGGATGGCTCCGAGTCAATTCGCAGCCGATCAAGACGGCCATGGTGTCATGGGTGAGCAAGTGGGTGTATCAATACACAACGTACTTGTACCAGCACGTCGTGACCAAGCTGAGTTCGCTGCACAAGTTTATGGAAGTCGTTCTCAAGGGCCTGGAAGAGGAAGTTGTCGAGAAGAACAAGGAGGCGCTGATGCGCGTGATGACGCATATTCGAGACGTCCGCAAGCAGATTGACGCGACGAACGAAATGTTTGATCCGCTGCGGCAGGCCGTCCACCTCCTCAAGACGCACGGGGTGAACGTCGACGAGTACAAAATTGCCGACCAGACGATCCAGGATTACCTGGAAGCGGCGCCGCTGCAGTGGGAAGGCATCGTGAACAAAACGTTCAAGAAGAAGGAAGAGATCATGCCGCTCCAGATGGCCGAAGTCGAATCGATCAAGGGCGACTTGGAGTCGTTTTACCTCGACATGCGCAAATTTCGCAACGATTTCCGCGCGCATGCGCCGTTCACGTTCTCGGGCACGCCGGACGAAGCGTACAAAAAGATCGACGACTACGCGGTCCGCCTCGCGGAAAAGGTCAAGCAGGCGAAGCAGTTCAACGAGCTCGAGGAACTGTTTGAGCTCCAGGTGAGCAAGTACCAAGAGACTACGGACACGCAGTACGAGCTGCAGCAGCTCAAAAAGGTGTGGGACCTCAAAGACTTTGCGCTCAACACGTTCAGCGACTGGAAGCGCGCGCTGTGGGTCAAAATCGACACGGAAGGGATGGAAGCATTCACGCGCAACTTTATGAAGCAGATGAAGATGGAAAGCAACGAGCACCAGATCATCAAACAATGGCAGACGTACAAAGACACGGAGCAAATGGCAAAGAACATGTCGACGATCTTGCCATTGATCAACGATTTGCACTCGGAGGCGATGCAAGATCGGCACTGGAAGGCGCTGTCCGCGCTGTGCAAGGTGAAAGCGATCGATCCAAAGGACCCCAAGTTCAGCTTTGCCGACCTCCTCAAGTTGGAGCTCCACTTGCATGTGGACGACGTTGGCGAGATCGTCGAGACGGCCAACAAAGAACAGAAGATCGAGAAGAAGCTCACGATGATTGAGGAACTGTGGCGCGGCCTCACCCTCGATTATGTTCCGCACAAGGACTCTGGCACGTTCGTCATCAAGCCGTCCGAAGTCGTCGTCGAATCCCTCGAGAGCAATCAGCTCGAGCTGCAAACGATGGTCGGGATGGGCAAATTCGTCGAGTTTTTCAAAGAGCGCGTGCTGACGAGCCAAAAGAGTCTCGGCCACGTCGAAGAAGTGTTGAAAGAATGGGTCAGTGTTTCCAAGCAGTGGGCATCGCTCGAGAGCATCTTTCTGAGCTCCCCCGACATCCGCAACCAGCTGCCCGATGACACACGGACGTTCGAGAGCATCGACTCCAACTTTAAGGACCTCATGAAGAACGCCGTGTGCGAGCCAAACGTAGTGATGGCGTGTACGGTTGAAAACCGCCTCGAGAGTCTCAAGGAAATGACCGCGATGCTCGAAAAGTGCCAAAAGTCCCTCAACGAGTACCTGGACAAGAAGAAGAAGATTTTCCCCCGCTTCTACTTTGTCTCGAACGTCGCGCTCCTCGACATTCTGTCCAACGGAAACAACCCGAAGAAGATCATGCCGTTCTTGGGCGACTGCTACGATTCGCTCACAAACTTGATCTTTGAAGACGGAAGCCCGAACACGGCGCACACGATGATTGCCAAGGACAAGGAACAAGTGAAACTCCCCAAGATCTTTGTCATGGCGGGGGCGGTCGAGTGCTGGCTGAATGACCTGACCGAGGCCATGCGGTACTGCATCAAGAAGGAAATGCACGACTCGATCGAGACAGCCGCCAACTGGGACGTTGAAAAGCCGCGCCACTTGTGGCTCTTTGACTACTCGGCCCAAGTCGTACTCAATTCGACGCAGATCTACTGGACAGAGGAGACCGAGATGGCGCTGGAAGAGTTTGAAAACGGCCAGGAAGACTCGGTCAAGCGGTACCTGGCCACGTGCAACCAGCGCCTCGAGCACCTGATCAACCTCGTGCTGGGGGAGCTGAAGAAGGGCGACCGATGCAAAATCATCGCGTTGATCACGCTCGATGTGCATTCCCGCGACGTTGTCAAGAAACTCGTCGACGAAAAGGTCGAAGGGCCGCTGAGTTTTCTGTGGCAGCAGCAGCTCCGCTTTATTTGGCGACAGGAAACGATGGACGTCGACATCCGCATCACGGACTTTCGGTCCAAGTACTCGTACGAGTGGATCGGCAACACGGGGCGCCTCGTCATCACGCCGCTGACAGATCGATGCTACATCACGCTCACGATGGCGCTGCGGCTTTTCCTCGGTGGGGCGCCCGCCGGACCTGCTGGCACGGGCAAAACGGAAACCACAAAGGATCTCGCCCGCGCCATGGCGCTGTGTTGCTACGTCTTCAACTGCTCGGACCAAATGAATTACCAGACGATGGCCGACATTTTCCGGGGGCTGTGCCAGACCGGAACATGGGGCTGCTTTGACGAGTTCAATCGCATCAACATCGAAGTGCTGTCGGTGGTGGCGACGCAGGTCAAGTGTGTGCAGGACGCGATTGTATTCAACGCAGTGCCGGCCAACCGCGAGGAAAAGTACCGCCACATCGCCGCGGGAACGCCGCCCGTGGTTGTCGGCGAGTTTGAGTTTATGGGAGCATCCGACCGCATCACGCTGATCCCGACCTGCGGCTTCTTCATCACGATGAACCCGGGGTACGCCGGTCGCACGGAACTGCCAGAGAACTTGAAGGTCCTCTTCCGGTCATGCGCCATGATTCGGCCCGACTTGCGGCCCATCTGCGAAAACATGTTGATGAGTGAAGGGTTTCAGCAGGCGCGGACGCTCGCGATCAAGTTTGTCACGCTGTACCAGCTCAGCTCGGAGCTCCTGAGTAAACAGTTCCACTACGATTGGGGCCTCCGTGCCGTCAAGTCGGTGCTCCGCGTCGCCGGCATTCTCAAGCGCGCCGAGCCCGACGTCGAGGAAGATAAAGTCCTCATGCGGGCGCTGCGTGATTTCAACACGCCCAAGATCCCGCACGTCGACACGTCCATCTTTTTGCGGCTCATCAACGATCTCTTTATTGGCGTCGAAGTCGCGCCCAAGGTCAACAACGAACTGCGCGAGAAAACCGTGATTGTGTGCAAGCAAAACAACCTGCAGTCGGACGAGTCGGTCATTCTCAAAGTGTGCCAGCTCCAGGAACTCATCGACGTCCGGCACTCGGTCATGCTGCTCGGATCGGCCGGCTGCGCCAAGACCACAACGTGGCAAACTCTCGCCAAGTGCTGGAACCTGAACAAGGACAAAAAGATTTGTGTTTATGAGACACTCAACCCAAAGGCGGTCACGTCGGACGAGTTGTACGGGTACATGACGCTGTCCAAAGACTGGAAGGACGGTGTCATCTCGATCATCATGCGCGGGATGGCCAAAAACTACGCGGAGCAAGGGTTTTACGAAAGCCAGAGCTACAAGTGGGTCGTGCTCGACGGCGACATTGACGCCGTGTGGATCGAGAGCATGAACACTGTCATGGACGACAACAAAGTTCTCACGCTCGTGTCGAACGAGCGCATTCCGCTCTCGGACGCGATGCGCATGATCTTTGAGATCAACTCGCTCAAGAACGCTACGCCCGCGACCGTGTCCCGCGCCGGCATTCTCTTCATCAACGAAATCGACATTGGGTGGCGGCCGTTCATGGAGTCGTGGGTCGCGCGCCGGGAAGACGAGATCGAACGCACGTACCTCCCCGGCCTTTTTGACAAGTACATCGAAGCGACGAGCGAAATGACGCGCAAGGGATTCAAGCAAGTGTCGCCCGTGCGCATTATCAACCAAGTGAGCACGATCTGCTACCTCCTCGAGGGCCTCTTTACCGAGATCCCACCCGAAAAGAAAACACAGGAAGTCATCGAGTACGTGTTTGTGTTTTGCGCAACGTGGGCGTTTGGCGGGCCGTTCATCGTGGACAAGAGCGTCGACTACCGCAAGAACTTTAGCGAGCTCTGGATGGCCACATTCACGACAGTCAAGTACCCCAAGGAAGGCACGTGCTTTGACTACTTTTACAACTACGACACGAACGAGTTCGACCACTGGAGTACAAAGGTGCCCAAGTACGTCCCGGCGCCGATCGGGAATGGCGCGGCCGACACGCCGTTTTCCAACATCGTGATCAGCACCATCGACTCGATCCGCCTCACGCGGCTCGTGTCTGTGTTGGTGAATCGGCAGCGGCCGGTGCTGCTCGTCGGTGGGGCTGGCACCGGCAAGACCACGATCCTCAAGAGCTTCCTCCGTAGCCTCGACGAGGACATGCTGCACACGTGCATCAACATGAACTACTACACGGATTCGTTCAAACTCCAACAGCAGCTCGAGCAAGTTATCGACAAGCGCAGCGGGCGCATGTTTGGCCCGCCCGCGACGAAGCGGCTCATCTACTTTATCGACGATTTGAACTTGCCCTACATTGAAACGTACGGGACGCAAAACTCGCTCGCGCTCATGCGACAGCACATGGACTATAAGACGTTCTTTGACCGCGTCGACCTGGGTTTCCGCAAAGAGATTGTCGATGTGCAGTACCTGTCCGCGATGAACCCGACCGCCGGCTCGTTCATCATCGACGAGCGGCTGCAGCGGCACTACGCGCTTTTTGCGTGCATGATGCCAAGCAAAGACGACCTCAAGACCATCTACAACAGCATCTTGAAGGGCCACTTTGGGTTTGGGTTTTCACCGACGTTGGTTAACGCAAGCGACAACTTTGTCGCGGTCAGCATCGCGGCGCACGAAGACATTTGCAACAAATTTTTGCCGAGCGCGACCAAATTCGTGTACAACTGGAACATGCGCGAGCTCAGCAACATCTTTCAAGGCCTTGTCCGCGCCAAGGGCGACTTTTACCCGACCGTCGAGTCGTTTGCGCGGCTTTGGATCCACGAGTGCACTCGCGTGTTTTGCGACCGCATGATCAACAACGAGGACGTTGACAAGTTTACGGAACGCATGCGCGAGATCAGCAAAAAGTTTCTCCCTGACGTCGACCAGGAGAAGCTCTTCCCGAAGCCATCGTCTGGCGACGACAGCGATGGCGCCGGCATCGTGAACATTTTTACATCGTTCGCCACGCCCGTGGCCGGCAGCGATACGCCGTACCTCCCGATCGTGTCGATGAAGCAGCTCAACAAGGTCCTGTCTGACCAACTCGACGACTACAACCAAAAGTACTCGATGATGAATTTGGAACTGTTTGACAACGCGATGGAGCACGTGGCGCGCATTTGCCGCATCATCGGGAGTCCCGGTGGCAACGCCATGCTGATCGGGGTCGGCGGGTCCGGCAAACAGTCGCTCAGTCGCCTCGCGTCGCACATTGCTGGCTTTGACGTTCGGCAGCTGAGCGTCACGTCCAACTTTAAGATCGAGGACTTGAAGGAAAGTTTGGCCGAGATGTTTAAAGCGTCCGGCGTCGCCGGTCTGCCGATTGTGTTTTTGATCACGGACTCGCAGATCGTGAACGAGCGCTTCCTCGTATACATCAACGACATGCTGAGCTCGGGATGGATCCCGGACCTGTTTGCAAAAGATGAAATCGACGGCCTCCTCAACGGCCTGCGCACCGAAGCCAAGTCGCAAGGAGTCCCCGACACGCCGGAAACCCTCATGGACTTTTTACTCCTCCGCATCCGACTCAACTTTCGCATCATCATGTGCTTCTCGCCAGTCGGCGCGGTCTTCCGCGTGCGCGCGCGCCGCTTCCCTGGGCTCGTCAACTGCACCGTCATCGATTGGTTCCACCCGTGGCCGCGGGAGGCCCTCGTACGTGTGGCCACGAGTTTCCTGGAGAAAGTCGACGACTTGGGCGACGCCGCGCTCAAGAAGAGCATTGCCAACCACATGGCCGACGTCCACATCAGCGTGACCGACATGAGTAAAAAGTACTTTGAAACGCAGCGTCGGTACAACTACGTTACGCCCAAGAGTTTTCTCGAGCTCATTAGCTTTTACGAGATCCTGCTTGGCCAGAAGAAACAAGAAATCCAGCGCCAGATCACGCGCCTCGACGACGGGCTGAGCACGCTGCGGAAAACATCGGCGGACGTGGCTGAACTCCAAGTCGACTTGAAGCAAACGATGCTGATTGTGGCGGAAAAACAAGCGTCGACGGACCTGTTGCTCGAGCAGATGGGCAAAGAAAAAGCCGGCGCCGAGATCCAGCAGGAAAATGCCAACAAAGAAAAGGTCAAGGCCGAAGCCGCGAGCGCATCTGCCCAGGAGCTATCGACGCAAGCCGAGAAGGAACTCGGCGCGGCAAAACCTGCCATGGACGCTGCTGCCGCCGCCGTCGATTGTTTGTCAAAAGCTGCGATCCAAGAACTCAAGTCGTTGCCCAAACCTCCCGCCGGCGTCGACCTCGTTACGAAAGCGTGCTTGATTCTGGTCGAGAAGGAGTACAAGAACCATAAATGGGACCGCGCCAAGAAGATGATGAATAATCCCGGCGCGTTCCTCGACAGTTTGAAGGTATTTCGCGGCGAAGACATCCCGGAGGCCGACATTGGGCGCGTCGAGCCCATGATTGCCGACCCCGAGTTCACGGCGGAGAAGATGGCGTCCAAGTCGGCGGCCGCCGCAAATTTGTGTTCGTGGGTCGTGAACATTTATACATTCAATCGGATTTACGTACGCGTCAAGCCGCTCATGGACTCGCTCGAGTCGTCTCGAAAGAAGAAAGAAGAGGCAGAAGAGACGCTGGCCAAAGCGATGAGCCAAGTCGCTGAAGTTCAGCGGCGGTTGGAAGTGCTCGAGGACACGCTCCGGCAAGCCACAGAGGAGAAACTCCAGGTCGAACTGATGAAGCAAAATTGCGAGAATCGGCTCGTGTTGGCAGGAAAGCTCGTAAACGGCCTCGCGAGTGAAAACGAACGGTGGGGAGTCGAGATCGGCCAGCTCCGCAACAATGCAGTCATGGTGGTTGGGAATTCGCTGCTCGCTGCCGCGTTTGTGTCGTACATTGGCGCATTTGACCAACAGTTCCGAAAGGATTTGTGGTTCACGACGTGGGTGCCGGACTTGGTGTCCAAGGCAATTCCGTTGACAGAAGGGATCGATCCCCTCAGCATGCTCACGAACGAAGGAAAGAATGCCAAAATGATGAGCGAGGGTTTGCCTGCCGATCGCATTTCGATCGAAAACGGATCGATCATCACCAACTGCAAGCGGTGGCCGCTCATCATTGACCCGCAGCTGCAAGGGATCAAGTGGCTCCGCGAAAAGGAAAAGCATCGCGAGTTGGTCGTGATCCAGCTCACGCAAAACCAGTGGCTTCGCAAGATGGAGACCGCCATCGTGAATGGCCACGTTGTCATTGTCGAGAACATCGGGGAAGAGATCGACGCGACTCTCGACCCGGTGCTAGCCCGCGCCGTCTACCGCAAGGGCTCGAGCGCCAACCTGTACCTCAAATTCTCGGGCGAAGAGGTCCAGTACGAGCCGTCGTTCTTCATGTACTTGCAGACGAAGCTGAGCAACCCGCACTACAAGCCCGAGATTGCTGCGCAGTGCACGCTTATCAACTTTATTGCGACCGAGAGCGGGCTCGAAGATCAGCTCCTGCAGAAGGCCGTCAACAAGGAGCAGCCCGAGCTGGAGAAGCAAAAGCAGGAACTCGTGCTGGCGTTCCAAAAGTTCAAAATCGACCTGGTCGAACTCGAAGATCAGCTACTGGAACGACTTGCTAACGCCCCCGATGACATCCTGAGCGACGTTCCTCTGATCGAGTCGCTGGAAGAAACAAAGAAGAAGGCGACGGACATTGCGATCTCGGTCAAGAAGAACCAGGAAACCGAGATCGTTATCAACAACACGCGAGAGCTGTACCGCCCGGTCGCGGCGGAAGGCGCGATGCTGTACTTTTTGCTCACGACGTTGTGTGCAATCGACCACATGTATCGGTACTCGCTCGACTCGTTCGTCACATTCTTTTTTGCATCCATCGACCGTGCGACGCCCGCCGAGAAGCAGTCCGATCGTGTGCTGAACCTGCGCGAGTCGCTTCGGATCACAGTCTTCACGTGGGTGTCTCGAGGGCTCTTTGAGTCGCACAAGCTCATCTTCCTCAGCCAGCTCACATTCAACCTCATGAAGCGCGGTATCCTTGGCGAGGAAGTTCGCATCGCCGACACGTACATGCAATTCTTGTTGCGTGGCCCCAAGAAGACGGGGTCCGCCGACAGCGATGCAAATCCCATCGACTGGCTCCCGAACGCGCAATGGTATTCGATCCAGGCGCTCGCGACGCTGGAAGAGTTCAACAAGATGCCGCAGGACCTGAAAGAAGCGTCGTCGCGGTTCCGGGAATGGTACAACCATGTGACCCCCGAGAGCGAAAAGTTGCCGCTGGACTGGGCTGGTCTCGACCGCACGCCGTTCTTGAAGCTCCTCGTCGTGCGGTGCTTGCGCCCGGATCGAATGACGTCGGCCGTGTCCGAGTTCATTCGGCACGTCCTCCCGAACGGATCCATGTACTGCGACTGCGACTCGTCGCTCAACTCGACGCAAGTGATGGACAACAGCTACCTTGACTCGACGCCGACGACGCCGCTCTACTTTATTCTGTCCCCTGGGGCGGATGTCGTCGCCGGGCTAGACAAGCTCGCCGTCAAGTACGGGTTCGAACGAGGGGTGTCGTACCACAACGTGTCGATGGGCCAAGGGCAGGACGTGTTTGCGATGGATCGGCTCGAAGTCGCGCATCGAAACGGGCATTGGGTCATCTTGAACAACATCCACTTGATGCCGAGGTGGCTCATCACGCTCGAGAAGAAGCTGGACGAGTTTGCGCTGGAAGGAAGCCACAAGAACTTTCGCCTCTTTTTGACGTCGGACCCGTCGAATGCGATTCCCATCGGCGTCCTCAATCGATGCATCAAACTCACCAACGAGCCACCGAGCGGCCTCAAAGCCAACTTGAAGCGTGCGTTTGTGAGCTTTCCGAAAGAGTACATTGAAGAAGCCGAAGGCAAGGTCAAGTCGATTCTCTTTGGGCTGTGCCACTTCCACGCTGTCATGATGGAGCGCAAGATGTATGGCCCCCTTGGATTCAACATGATGTACCCGTTCTCGCTCGGCGACTTGCGCGACAGTGCAATCTGTTTGACCAACTACCTCGAAAACTCGGCGGGCGGCAAGATCCCGTGGGCCGATCTCAAGTATATCTTCGGCGAAATTATGTACGGCGGCCACATTGTGAACGACTTTGACCGGCTCCTGGCCAACACCTACCTCGACTTCTACATGCGCGACGAGCTCCTGGACGAGATGGAGATGTTTCCTTTTGTCGGGGACGAGAAGGGCCCGTCCTTCATGTCCCTCGCGCCATCGTCGTACGACAAGTACCTCGAGCACATTGAGACGGAGCTCAAGTCGGACTCGCCGCTCGCATTTGGGCTCCACCCGAACGCCGAAATCGACTTTCGCACGACGCAAAGCGAAAGTTTGTTTCGAACGTTGATGGAACTCCAGCCGCGTGATGCGGCGGCAGGCGACGCGGCGTCCAGTCCGATGGAGATTGCTCGGACGGCGCTTGAAATGATCATGGGGCGCATTGGGGAAAAGAAGTTTGAAGTGGACGACATCACGAGGTCGCTGGAAGAGATCGGGCCGTACCAAAACGTGTTTTTGCAAGAGTGCGACGCGCTCAACGTGCTCTTACAGGAAATCTCGCGATCGCTCAACGAGCTCCAGCTTGGTTTCCTCGGTGAACTTACCATGAGCGACGCGATGGAAAGCGTCCAGGAAGCGCTCTTCCTCGACCGCGTCCCCAAGACATGGGAAAAGCTCGCGTTCCCGTCCATGCGGGCGCTCGGCGGATGGCTCGTCAACCTGGAGCAGCGACTGGCGCAGCTCGACGAGTGGACGCAAAACCCGAGCGACATCCCCAAAGTCACGTGGCTCAGTGGCATGGTCAACCCCCAGTCGTTTTTGACCGCGATCATGCAAGTGACCGCCCAAAAGTGCCAGCTCGAACTCGACAAGCTCGTGATCCAGACCGACGTGATCAAGCGCAAGAGCACTGAAGTCGACGCACCTTCCCGCGATGGCGCGTACATCCACGGTCTGTTTCTCATGGGCGCGCGGTGGGATTCCAACAACACGACCGTGGACAAGTCGTTCCCGAAAGAGATGTTTTGCGCCATGCCCGTCGTCAATTGCAAAGCGATTCAGGCCGACAAGCTCGACCTCAAGGGATCGTACCTCTGCCCGTGCTACAAGACCGAATTCCGAGGCCCGACATATGTCTTCTCCGCCCAGCTCAAGACGAAATCCCCACCGGCGCGGTGGGTGCTGGCCGGCGTCGCCCTCATCATGGATGTCCCAGTTGTCTAGCCAATGCCACGTCGGCGCTTGTAACATAAATATTCTATTCGCTCGACGCGTCCTACTGCAGCAGCAACTCGACGACGTGCATGTGGCCGTTCGCCGTTGCCAGCCTCACGGCCTCGGCACGGTGCCACGTCGTTTGGATGTTGTGCATAAGATATCGCACGATGCTCAAGTGCCCATGGGCGGCGGCGCCAGTCAGGGCAAAGCTGGTGCATGGGGCTTCGACGTGCTCGGCTAAATACCGCACGATCCGTTCGTGGCCGTTCATGGCGGCGCGATCGATAGCTGCCCGCGTGCACCCTTCTCGTCGATGCGTGTGAAGGTACTGGACAACGTCGAAGTGGCCATTTTCGCTCGCCTGATCCATTGCGACAGACGTACAAGGATGGCCGGTCTCGTGGAGGAATTGCACAATGTTCAAATGCCCTCCCCATGCTGCCGCATCCATCACGCTCGGATTGTTTCGTTCGTCTATCACGTCCAGCAAGTGCTTCAAAACGGCAACGTGGCCGCAGGAGGCTGCCGCTTCGAGAGTCAAACTCAACTGGATTGGCGAGTGCAAGTAGGACGTGCCCAGCAGCCGACGGAGGATCCCGAGGTGACCAGTTCGACCGGCCAACGGCAGGTGCCATGCTTGACTCATGCTGTCGTACCCGTTGTCGCAGAGAAAATCGACCATGTCCATTCGTTGCATGTGCAGAGCACCACGCATCGCGTCGGAGGTACAGCCCTCCGTGCGATGGTGCTGCAGCCACATCGCGACGTCGAGGTGACCGTTTCGCACCGCAGCATTCATGGCAAATGTCGAGCAGCCCTCGCTTCGGTTGGTGTGTAGCCACTGCACGATGTCCAAGTGGCCGTTCGCTGCGGCCAGATCCATCGCGTTCCTTGTGCATCCTTCGGATCGATGGTGTTGCAGCCACTCGACAACGTCCAAATGACCATTTGCAGCGGCTAATTCCATCGCCGCCACAGAGCATCCCTCGGTTCGATGCGCGTGGAGCCATCGAACAACGTTCAAGTGTCCATTCCCGGCAGCGTGGTCCATGGCTGCGTCGGTGCAACCTTCAACGCGATGGAGATGTAGCCATTCCACGACATGAAGATGCCCACCTGCTGCCGCTTCGTTCATTGCGTCAGTCGTGCATCCTTCAATTCGGTGTTGGTGAAGCCACCGTACCACTTCCAAGTGGCCATTAGACGCTGCAAAGTCCATCGCGGCCTCCGCGCAACACTCATCATCTTCCCATGCCATGTGTAGGCGTTGCACGAGGTGGAGATATCCGCACGACGCAGCGTCCTCCATGGACCATTCGTTGGTCGTATCGATGAACTCACTGATGATGGCAAGGACAGAGTCGTCGTCGATCGCGGCGCGGCAAGCAACGTCGACGCACGTCAAGTTCATCCTTGGACGCGACATGATGCAAAATGGTTCAGCGACAGCCCGACGCTTCTGATTGGTGGAAACTAATTTCTACCAAATGGGGTCGTTTGATTGGTTCATTTCCTCGGCCGAGAGGGCATTAAGAAAAGCCATACGATGCAATTCGATGAGTGCCATGGCACTACGCGCTTCGGACGCCACGACCGGCGGCAATGACGACGGAAGAGGGCGCTGCATTGTCGTGTACGTTCAGTTGTTTGGTCATGCCGCTTGATACGAGCTCCATCTCCAACGCATCGACGATGATGCGATGCCGGTTCAACTTGGCGGAGTTGATCGCGTCTTGAATCGGCCAGTTCGCTTGAGGGTACTTGTTCAGTAAAAAATTTACAATGGTGCCGTGTCCACTGGCTGCTGCCGCGGTCAACGCCTGACCGGTGCACGTGGCAGAGCTAGCGGAGAGAAGTCGAAGGACGTCGAAGTGGCCATTGGCTGCCGCGTTATCCATGGCGTGTGTCGTGCATCCTTCTTGTCGGTGATGCAACAGAAACGCAACAATCTCTGTGCATCCGTGCTCGCTGGCTTTGTCCAACGCACGCGTGGTGCAGGTCTGACCGTGCTCGTGGAGGAATGACACAATGTCCAAGAATCCGTTGCCGGCAGCGTGATCGATGGCGCTGGGGCTGGCGTGACCAACACATTGAAACAGAAACCAAACGACTTTCAAGTGGCCATACCGAGCAGCAACATCAAGTGCCGACACGATGCTATCTTGGGTATCTGAAGTGAAAGGAGTTGGTTGGAATGAGACGAAGTGCTTGACGATGTCGAGGTGGCCGCACTTTGCAGCGTAGTGAAGGTACAGGTGGCAGTGCGTTGCGTCGTAGTAGTCGTGGGCGATGAGAAACTGGACGACTTGAAGGAACCCGTACTTGATCGCGCCTTTTATCGCTTCTTCGGAGCACCTCTCCAGTCGGTGCTCGTGCAACCACTCGACAACATGGAGGAAGCCGTGAGCGGCGGCATGATTCATCGCTTTCACAGTACACCCGTCTGTGCGGAATTGGTGCAACCACTGCACAACATCCAAATGTCCATGGCTGGCGGCACCATCCATGGCAGCGACACTTGCACCTTCTGATCGATTCGTGTGGAGCCACTTCACGATCTCCAAGTTTCCACGACTGGCGGCGCCGTCCATTGCATTTGTAGTACACCCTTCCTGTCGATGCTCGTGAAGCCACGTGACGACATGGATGTGACCATTTGTTGCAGCTCTGTCCATCGCAGCCTCTGTGCATCCTTCTGGGGTATTGGCATGAAGCCACTGGACAACGTGAAGGTGTCCGTACTCCGCTGCCATGTCCATGGCACCCTCCGTCAAGTAGAGAATCTTGTCCATCGCGAGCACGGACTGAATGTACTCGAGGTCTCCATGGCCCGCTGCATCCTCGATGCTGTCATAGTGCTGCATATTTCCGTCGTATCTTGATCACTGCCGTTGTGATCTGGCGACTGCATCTTTTGAAGTGGGGCGAGTCATGACCACCATACAAACATCAAGTGTGGCTAGCACAAACATTTAAGCCAGAATTAGCCAATCAATGCTTTGTATCCTCCAAATGAACCAATGAATCGACGATACTTGACTAACCAACAGCCAATCATTCCCAGTGAAATCATTCGGCAGCTCCTGCGGCGAATGAATGTCTGTCGTACTGCCTTCATGGAGCGTCGACCACCTCGTTATATGCCGTCACGGCGTGGGTATGGATGCGCAAGTTGTCGAGCCTCCCCAGGAGAATGCTAAAAGCAATTGATTGTACCACAGAAATGAACATATCGACCTACATTGGTAGTCAAGAGTTTCTACCTGCGAAGCGATGGAAGCAATGCCAAATGCTCGCGAATGTACGAAGAACTCAGTGTGCTTGCGTCCGTTCGACGGCACACGTATATGTTGAGCGGAAGCAGCCCGCGTTCGACTCGAATCGCGTTAATCTTGACAGCCCCCAGCTGAGTCTCTGTCGATACGACAATGGCAGTGATGTCGGGGGACGTGATCGCAGGACCGAACGGATCGTCGATGGTGATGATGGAGGGGTTCACATGAGGGTGTACATCCGCGAGGAAGGAATGGACTCGTGCCTTGCGCTCGCCAATGGACTCGATGAGGTGACCCAACCTTTTCTTCTCTAGCATATGCGGCGCCGTGACGCCAACGAGCATCGCGTTGTCCGCCAACGCTGCCCCGAACGAAAGTAGTTTCTTGTGCCCGTTGTGCAGGTGGTCAAACGTCCCACCGATGACAACGAGAGGTTCCTTTCCCAGTTGCCGGGTTGGATCTTCAAGGTAGATAAAAGTAGATGGATTGACGCTGTCGTCGACAGCTTCCTTCAAGGGGTAGAATGCAACGAGAGAGGAGGACGCAGCACGGCCGCCATTGAGCGACGCCACGTCCATGTCTTCGTATGCAAACACAGCAATCAGATCGGGTAAAGCAATGATTTCCTTCCACGATCGATCGGAGCTGGAGACGACGCGGATGTCCAAGTCCAGTTTGTTCTGGACGCTTGCAGCGTTCCACAGAAGATTGTAGAGCTCGCCCACGTACCGCAGACGCTCGCTGGTGGATGATGTCACGTCCTTTGTGGCATCCACAAACACATACAGCTTGGAGTCCACTTTTGCCACTGCTTTCTCCACCAACACATCATTCCGGAGGATTTGGAGGAAGTCGTCATGGGGATTCTGAATATATAGCACACCGACTGGAATGCCTGGCGCAGGACGAGACAATGCTGCCTGCTTCCTCACTGCTTTTCGGATCTGAAGAACGGAGTAGACGCATACAGCAGCGGCAGTAGCGGCACATACAGCTGTCGCGTTTGCCCATTGTCCGCTCGGTCGCATCGGAGTCCCTGTGGTGACCACGTTGAGTTGTGAGATATCTCAAGAAATTGACCAATCCTGTCCCTCTATTTCCACATTTTACCCAATCATATTGGCTTATAAAACACCTTGAAGATTGTATACAAGGTATATCAAGTCTTTCAAAGAAATGGCGCCTGTTCACCACCTTCGACGTCCATAGGTGTGCGCTGCGTCGGGGCCATTGGATGCACAGGATACGGTCCGAAATGCCACATCTGGTGTAGGTCTCCAGAGAGGGATGCCGCGATGGCGATGCCGCCAAGAGTGCATGGCACTAGGTACAACAAGGCCGGCTGCCCCATCTCCATGTACAAAACGGCGAGGTTGGCAGCAAAGAGACCGACGCAATAGCCGACGCAGGTAACAGCGTAATACCTGTGAACGACTACATCCGTTCGCTTGTACTGCACTTCGCGGGAGTAGTCGAAGCGTAGTGCAAAGCTGAGCAAGAGGCCGGGTAGCACGATGTCGCCTAGGCCAAGCATGGCTTGTCCGCCGCGCCAGTCGTGCAATCTCGGGAATAGCAATAGCATTGGGAGTGGTTCAGGGTCTAGACACGCCTTCAACGACGGGTACCGTTCGCAAAAGTCCACACCGGGATATCCCGCTTTGGAACTGGCACTCTGTCCACCCGTCGCGACATCAACCATGACAGATCGTCCAAAAATGAGCGGCGTGACAAAGACGAAGAAGATGTCGTAGAAGAAGGCAAGTACGAGTAAAACCGACGCCACTTGGAGGGTTGGGAGGCGAATGGTCCGAAGGAACACAAAGCAGAGGGCGATGCCGAAGGCGTCCTGAAGGAACCAAAACTCCGAACGATCGAGGTACCACATCACGACAAGCGCCGTGGTGGTGGCAGCGGCGACGACGTCGGGGATCGGCAAAGGGCCAATTATGGATGGACAACGAAGGACATAGCGGCGGCGAAGACAGCACAGCAGCGTGCGAAAGATAGGCTGGGTCACAAGGATGGTAAAGGTCGAGAGGGTCGACAGGCCAAACATGATCGAGAGCAGTGGACCGACGTGGACGAAGTAGAGAAAGGTCAGGAATAGCCCTGCAAACAGGATGAATGCGACTGCATGGCGAAACGACACGTCGAGAACGTCATCATCTTCGTCATGTTCACGGCAGTCATCGTCGGCATGTGCGTGCGACTTGGAGTTCAATGTATTTTGCCGCTCCATGGAAGCCGCGTAGTAAGCACCCCCGATGGCCGTAATGATACCAAGCGCCCACAGCACGATGGACGCTACGTCAACAAGAGGGACGGGGCGCTGGAAAAGCGTTCCTTGAAGATGCGTTGGTGAAGTTTCAAGGAGGCGTGTGAGGTTCTCGCCTTCACCGACAGTCGTAAACACGACTGGAAGAGACAACGACGCGTTCTTGAGGAGGGTGGCGTTGACCCCCATCAGCAAATGCGTATCCCACATGCAGCACACTTGGAAGCCAAGGCTGTGCGACTGGAAGCCAGTTGGAAGGCAGATGTGAGACACACATCGAGGGTCTTGCGCACATGTGGAATCGTCAGGGACTAGCCAAGGCTGTGTGGGATGCAAATTTGGAAGGTACGACTCTCCATGGAGGCAATCGGTTGCGAAGGACATTGGGGGGGTCGATGATGCGTCGGACAAGTTGCTGTATCCACCGGAAGCTGTGCGGTTCCGGTCGACAACGTACACGGTCTCACGAGTATTTCGAATGATTAAACCGGCAGCACCCGCGTTGGATGCATGGATTGCTTTGTCCAAGAAAGAGCAGTTGCCTCGGTTCACTACCACATACGTTCCTTTGTATGTCGATGGCAAAGCCGAGCATCCATCCGTGGTGAGTTGAACAAGATGCACTGGATTGGAAGCGTTCTTCGGCAAATGAGGCCCCCATCCCGATTGGGAGCTCGGCGCCACGAGCATGTCTGTCACGTTGTTAGCATCGGTAGACACTCTTAGGATTCCCGCTGGAATGACGGCACTTGCATGTTGACAGAGCACGAAGAGCACCGGAAGAAGGCGCAAGATGTGGTGCATCGTTGACCTGGTCAATCCAATTGATCTGCGAAACCCCTCGACATATCCGGAAAACCGGATAAATTGAATTTATCCGGATTTACTGCTCATATTTTGCTTCCGCCACCACACACCGGTTGTCCCGCCGCCTCCCCCCGACAGACTAGGCATGGTACACCGCTCGATTGGACGAAGCAAGGTTGTCTAACAACATGCCATTGTGCACTTAGCTGTTCTACTCGTTCTTCAAGACCTTGATCGGAAAGGAAGTTGCCGTGGAGCTGAAGAACGATGTCGCGTTGGTTGGGACATTGCATTCCGTCGACCAATACCTCAACATAAAACTCACCGACGTCAGCGTCGTGGAAGAGAACAAATACCCGCAATTGGTATCTCCTTGATGCAGTGGAGCTTTGGGAACCTCATGCAGTGACGTAGATGAACATGAAGAATTGCTTCATTCGAGGGTCCGTCGTACGGTACATTCAAATTGCCAAGGCCGACGTGGACACGGAACTGCTCCAAGACGCGGCTCGAAGAGAAGGAAGTGCAAACCGAGCAAGCATTGCCCGAGCGTAGCCATCTTATTGAGTAAGCAAGAAACAACGATTGAGGAATTCGCTTAGATACTGGCGGCATTTTTGCTCGGCGATTATCTACCACCACAACTTGCCAGGCATGTATTTGTCGATGAGTCCTTGGTAGTAAGGCCAAAGTGCCGACACGTCCGGGCGTTTGTCGGCCTTCGTGTACAAGTCAAACTTGTTGAATTCGAGCACCCACTCCAACAACGCGTCATCGCCGGGCGCCATCAGATGCGTGTATTCCTTCTTGTTGTGCCATGGGTAGCACGAATGATAACGGATCATGGCAAGCCCTTCTTCAGGAATCGTGGCGCCGTTGAACACGAGCATCTGGTACATGTATTCGTCGTGGCCCCACGCAAATTTGAGGTTTGCAAATCCGCATTTTGGTTCGTAGATGCCGAATGGGGTGTTGTATGCAGGGTTCTGCATGTCCGGGTTGAGCGCGTTGAATTCGGGAAACACGGTCGTGTCGGGGATGGCACACCCGACGACCCACGTGTCGCCACCAAGAGACCACTGGTCACCGTCGGCAGTCCCTTCCTGTCCATCTTCAGGTTTGCCCCACATGTACTGGATCTTCCCCATGTCGTGGAGCAGTCCAACAAGCTGGAACCAATCCGGGTGACCGGCCGCTCGGATCGCCTCCGCGGTTTGGAGCATGTGCTCCAAGTTGGGCAGAGAAGAGTCCGGGTCCGACGAGTCGACATATCCCTTGAGCGATTCGAAAGCTTCCCACACTGTCATTTGAACGCGGTCAAACTTGCCCCAGAAGGATTGCATCTTCTCATGGAACTCCATGGTTTGATTTTCACGCATGAGTCGATAGTGTCGCTGCACCATAGCTTGGCGGTTGCTGTCCTTGTAGTTTCGGAATTCCTCAATAGCTTTTCCAGCGGTGACTGTCTTGTGCTCATGGGGGAATGAGATTGACGCAGCTGTAGTGCTTCGGTTGGCAGCGGTGATCGTCATCATACAAATGGGCTAGCTAGCGGCACGCGCGGGCAAATCGTGAAATGAGCCGCCCTGCCGCCACGCGTGGAGGTCGGTCATTGTCTGGACGGCGGTTGCCGAAGATATGGGCATGATATTTTTAGCAGCAGAACAGGTCGGCAGAACATCGCCAAAACGAGTATTGGGAATTCTTGGCAAACCAGGCCAGGTCTCAAATTCCACCAAATTGGAGCTTTTCATTGGTCCGATTCATCTAGTCGTCCCCAAATTTCTCGTGAAATTGGGATATTGTCCAAACCCCACACTATGTTCTTCGATTGTGATGGTTGAAGTACATGTTGTCACACCTTCTTCGGCAAGACAGCCTGGCACGACCGACGCCACCAGCCATTCTCGCTGGCCCAAGTCTCGTCAACACAACGCCGTCCCATGCACCAGCTCCAGCATGTTACAACTGCGCCGTGGGCCATGCCAATTGTGCTGCTGCGACTTACACAGCGAAGGTACGACGAAACCGAACACGAAATCCCGATGGTGGAGTTTCGTGCTATAGGCGCGCAACTGGTCCGTTTCTGTCACCTCTGGAGTCGCTTTCAATCTCCTGGCAATGCATTCAAGACGTTGTTCGCAGCCATGTTCATGCTATCGAGTGGTTGAAGGTTTCATCCAACGTTTTTGCCCACGCAAGTGCGAGTACGACGTCTCGAGAAGCATGCAATACGACCATGCGTGTCCTTGACAACCCAACGATTCATGCGGAGAAGCCAAAGATGGGACTTGGCGTCTCTACCGCCGCGGATGTAGGTAGCCCATGCCATGGCATGTCGACATGCCAATCCCGCACGAGAAAACTGAGTTTTGAATTTTGACCAATCAAACGACATGGCGCGAAAAAGGGGATTTCGAAATCGGGAGGCCGCCGCCTTAGGATGATCGCATGCTTGTACACCAAGCACAAGACGCAGAAGAAGAAGACGTACCATGATGGCCATGTCGTCCGATCTTCGACGAAGATTACACTCCAGAATGACCAAGGAATGACCATCGACTCGATGCCGCAGACGGACACTGAGTGGACTCGTAATTTCCCGCACTTCGACTTTCCCAAGTACGTGATGTGTGTGACCTGTCCCAATCGCTGACGGTCGTAGGTTCCTCGTGGACATTGACGAGGACGCATACTCCGACAACCACGTCCCTGGAACCGGCACTCCACATGTGACGGCACCCGAGACTTCGGGCAGCAGCTGTGGAAGGACAGGGAGTAATCTGGTAAAGTATGTCCCTCAGCGAAGCAAGTTTCAACCGCCCAAACGAAAGCACGAAATTGAGTACGACGCTCCAAGCACAAGCAAAAACGCAGCTGACTTTACACGGACCTTCTCATTTAACAAGTCGAACATCACAAGTACCCCATCGGCGCCAAAGGTCGGACATCTTACACCGTCGCCAACAATTCGTGCACCCGCAGCAACCCCCCAAGTTACTCCGCCTGCTATCATGTCAAAGAAGTGTCGATACGAGAAGAACGTCGACGACGCGCCGTGTCCAGAAGTTGTGAAGAATGGTATCGCTCGTGTCGTCGAACGATGTGCACCAAGCGATATCGCGAGCGAACTGTCGAACTTCGTCGGCTGCGAATGGCCAGACTTGCCGAAACCAGTTTGTCGAACTTGTACGTATCCCTCACCGATGGTTGCGTTGATTGCCAATGTAGATGATGAAGTTAGACGATTGTTGGGATGTCCCGAGCCCAAGTGATTCCGTCGCGGAGGGTCAAGACTGCAAGAAAGACGACGTTTATTTAATAGATAGTACAATGCCTTAAAGCGTTGGTAAAATGGATAAGAAGATCCAAGAACCTACTTGTGCCGCGCTGGGTGAGGATCATTTTTTGCGATAAGCAGCTCCACCGAGTCCTTGGACTGTGTAATCAAATGCTTCGACAATCCAGCCTTCTCGTTGTCTGGAATCGGCGAGTACCCTTGCTGGAACAGGAGAAAGTTTTGACGCAGGCGAATGGCGATGTAGATAATGAGCACGACCACGAGCACAAGGACCACTTCGGCCGCCACCATCTTGCCGCCTGACACGAGCTTTTCAAGTGCGACTGCACATCGTTCATCCGGTTGAAGGCATATCCGGAAGTGATTGGCCTTTATCCGGAATTTTCGGATACCTACGAATCTCGATGTGTTTGGTGGTCACAAAACGAATCGTCATGTTGCGCCGCGCCGTTCAGACCTCGCGCAAGGCTGTGCAAGCAGGTGCGTCGCAATTCAATGCGCTGTCCTTGGTGAATGAATACGGCTCGTTTGGTGTGCATAGCCTGCAAGAAAGCCGCGCCGATTGCGTCCATGCACGTGATGGCTCGTTTCCATACCTGTGTACCCATGGCTCGTCGTGGATTCATGGACACCAGTGCCTCAGCAGGTGTTCGCTTCATGTCGTCGAACGCCACGCGCCCCGTGAAGCTTGGTGATCAAGTGTCCGTCCTCATTGAAGGACGCTTGTCCAACGGTGACATCTTTGACGAGAAGGACACGACTCCTCAAAAGTTCATCGTTGGCGACTCCGACGTCATCCCGGGGTTGGAAGAAGGTCTGTTGGGCATGGTCAAGGGTCAAACAAAGGTCATTATTATTCCCCCTGAGCTTGCGTTCGGACCTGCGGGCGATACCGACAACCACGTGCGCATTCCCAAGTCGGAACTAAACTTGCTGTACGCTATGTTACCTGATCAACTGCCTTACGACCCCATGCCTTATACTGTCGTCTAGGCCAAGTGAAGAAGCAGATTTGCAAATTGGCAACTACATCGGGTTGGACAACGAAGGCGATATGGCCAAGATCATCGACATGGACATGGACTCGATTGTTGTCGACACGAGCCACGAGGTCTGTGTGAAACGAGCATACAGGGCTATCTTGTGCAGTGGTGGCTTAGACGTCTCGAGTGTAGTTGGCCGGCGAAACCCTGCACTTGTCGGTCGAATTGGTCGGCCACACTCCGCTCGAAGAGCTGAGTCCCAGTGAACGCCTCGTTGTGCCGCATGAAATCTCCCCCGGTGACGAAGAGACGTACCCTGAACCCGGTAAGAAAAGTTCTAGAACACGAACAATCTCTGACCTGCGTCTTGGCGAAGGTGACACATTGGCCGTGCATTACGAAGGCTTCTTGACCGACGGAACCATGTTCGATTCATCCCGCAAGCGTGGCAAACCCTTTGAATTCATCATCGGGTCTGGCTTGGTACGATATGTAGCCAGTCTTATTGTGTCCTCGTTTCAGAATGAATGAGGAATATTGTGGGTAGGTGATCAAAGGCTGGGACGAAGGCATGCTCAACATGAGCAAGGGTGAAAAGGCCAGGTTGTACATCCCGGCGGCCAAAGGATACGGTGACCACGGCGCGCCGCCTGCAATCCCCCCGAACGCCGACTTGATCTTTGAAGTCGAGCTCATCCAAATCAAGAAGCGCCACTAAACTGTACATGCCATCATTCATCCACACCTACCGCATTTTGTACTATTAGGAAAGTACTAATAGACTACTACGTAGTACTACTAAAGTTGTACTTCTCCACATACTAGTATTACTACTACTGGTAGTACTACTATGTATTCATCCAGAAGGTTCGGATTCCTGTTACAACTGAACGATCCGGTTACCGAGGTGAAACGGCTAAAGCGATAAAATTGCGACCTTGGCCGATGATGGGATCTCCGTCGACGACTGATCTGCGCAGTGATTCAAGCGAACTTCAAGCGCATGCATCCTACGTAGCTTTACACGATGTGTCGCCGAAATCATCGATGCATGAGCACCAATGGACGGTGGCGCGCAAGGCACACCCGCGGGTCGACATAGCGGTCGATGTGTCTATCGACACGTCGATGCAGCACTCCGGTGCTTTGCACAGCCCACCGCTCAAGGCACAAACGCGACTCGTCAACCAAGAGCGAACGCTACCTTCCAAAAGCAATGAAATCCGCACGTCGTACTTCATGTGGTGGAATTTCATACCAATCTTCCTCTTCGACACGTTTCGCAAGATGGCGAACGTCTACTTCCTTGTTATCGGACTCCTCCAAACGATTCCGCCCATATCTCCGACCAACGGCGTGCCGCTTCAGTTCCTCCCGCTCTCCATCGTCGTCATAATCGATGGTATCTTTGCCGCCATCGAAGACTACCACCGCCACCGAGCTGACCACGCGATCAACGTCACGTTGTGTCAACAATACAACGTCTCCAAGCGGGCTTTCGAGACGCTTGCTTGGAAAGACTTGGAAGTTGGCGATCTCGTGCAATTGAACGACAATGAAGTCGCCCCCGCGGACCTTGTCGTCCTTGCCGCAGAAGGTATACTGGTCAACACGATGAATTTTGATGATGAGTGGATATGTGCTAGGTCAAGTGGCGGGATGCTACGTTGAGACCAAGAGTCTTGACGGCGAAACCAACTTGAAACTGCGCGAGACGCTCCTCCAAGACATGCTTTCGGTTCCTGAGCCCGACATTGGCAATTTCTTGACAGGGCTCAGGTTCGAGCACGACGCCCCGACCCCAAACATCCACGATCACCGAGGAACGGTCCTCTGCAGCGCCCCAGGTACACCGCGGCCCCGTCCGAGCAGCTCTGTGCAATGTCTCGTCGCAGTCGTAGACGTTGCCGTGACGTTGCCCATTCGAGTGCAGCACACCGTGTGGCGAGGATGCAAGATCCGCAACACCACGCGGATCTGGGGCGTTGTCGCTTACGTACGAATCACGTGAACAAGTTGCGCCATGCTGACATACCACGGCGGTAGGTCGGGGTAGACACGAAAATCATGCAAGGAGCGCAGAAGCGCGGGGGGTTGAAGCAGTCAGCGATCGAAAATGTCACGTGCGTTCTATCATCGCGTGATCGGCGATGCCATTGTGACTTGTAGAGAAGCCCAAGTGCTGGTGCTCGTGGCGATGCTTGTGGTGTTGTGCGTCATCGGGGCATCGGCCGATGTCATTTGGATAAGCCCGACACTTCCTTCGTATTTGGGGCCGTCGGCCCCCCCCAGTCCCTTCATCACGTCGTTTTTCTACTACCTTACCACGATGGCAGCCATCGTGCCCATCTCTCTCTACGTGTCCATCACGGCAGTGAAGCATCTGCAAGGGTGCGACCTGTTCAAGTGGCTCGGTGACCCCCCAACCTCTGTAGGTGCTTGATGTCGTGGGACTTGGCCATGTTCGACGACGGGCGCAAGCTGCCAATGCAAGCGCGAAATAGCTCCCTGAATGAGCAGCTTGGGTGAGTCGAACGCACTGGCATGTTCATTCGGCCAACTCGACAGGATTAGGCATATCACGCACATCTTTTCAGACAAAACCGGCACGTTGACATGCAACAAAATGGAATTTCGCAAATGCAGCATTCGCGGAGCATCGTACGAGGTTGCGCAAGAGACCAGCGCCGCGGGGCGGCCCTCCGACTCAACGCACTCCACCCATGACGGATGCTACGAAGTTGAGAGAGTTCAAGCACCGTCGAATGTCGACGTAGAAGGCAGACGCCTATATGCAGACATGGACGGTGGTAGCGGTCCAGGTAGAATGCCATCCGCACGGCTCACTTCCAGCCAAGTGTAGATCAAGCAAAGGCGATTCATGCATTCTTCACGCACTTGGCCCTGTCGCACTGCGTCATGATCGATGCCAACCACGCGTTCGCTGCGTCGTCGCCGGATGATCTAGCGCTGGTGCGTGCTGCCAAGTTGTTTGGCTTTGTCTTTGCCGAGCGCACGCGTGGGTCCATCCTGCTTCACCTGCCGAAAGGCGGCAGGACGGAAGAGTATTGGCACCAGAAAGACAAAAACACTCTGGCTGATTTACGTGAACGACGTAGGTATCACGTCCTGGCAGTGTTTGAGTTTACAAGCGCTCGCAAGCGCATGTCGGTGGTCGTGAAGGCCAACGATGCCGACGACTATGTCCATGTGCTGTGCAAAGGCGCCGACTCCATGTTACGCCCTCGACTCCGCAACGATGCATGGATCGATGCCACACAGACGCAGCTTCAATCGTTCGCCTCCGAAGGTCTCCGCACCCTGGTCATAGGTAAGGCGATGAGCACACGTCTATGTTGTGGCTCACTTCTTGAGGCTAGCGTCCAAGCAAGTGGCGCTGGACACATGGACACGCTTCGATTCCGAATATCAACAGGCCCAACTGCATGATCCAGGTCTGGTGGAGCGACTGCAAGACGCCATGGAGCAAGACTTGACCCTCTTGGGTATGGCTTCCCGTTCGTGTCGGCTGCTTTTCATCGAGGCGGTAGGGGCGACGGGGATTGAAGACCGCCTGCAGGAAGACGTGAAGGAGGCCCTCCACTTGCTCGGCAAGGCCGGCATGGCGGTGTGGATCTTGACGGGGGACATGGAAGAGACCGCTATGAACGTCGCATTTGGCTGCTCTCTCTTGACCAACGACGTCGAGAGGTTCGGACCGCGTGGGTCTCGCCTGCAATTACCACTTGAAACAGGTTCATGATCAATGCCAAGACGTGCCCCACGCGCGTCTGCGTCCTGCGCCAGCTGGACGAATTGTATCGTCGGATCATTGCTAGCTTGCAAGTCCACGATATCGCTGTCGTGATCGACGGCGCGTCCCTGGCGCTGCTTTTCCATGGTAGTTGTATCTCGCGATGTATATCGCCCTGACGAAGTGAAGCAGACGCTGACGACGTCCCCAGCGACCTGTCCACCGACGCGTTGCACTTTCTCCGAGTCGCGTTGCTATGCCGTACCGTGATAGCCTGTCGGTGCTCTCCAACGCAAAAGGCTCAGTTGGTGGAGCTCACGCGGCGACACTGCCCCGACGCGCGGACGTTGGCTATTGGAGACGGCGCGAACGACGTTCCCATGCTTCGAGCCGCCCACATCGGCGTTGGGATAGCAGGCGAGGCATGGCACGCCCGAGTGAGGCTCGTTTTCACGCGCGCGGCGGCGTAGGAAGGCCGCCAAGCAGCAAACTCGAGTGATTTTGCCATCGGGCAGTTTCGATTCCTCGCCCGGCTCGTGCTCGTCCATGGCCGATGGAACTACAACCGCATCGCGCCCTTGATTCTCTTTACGTACTACAAGAACATTGTGTACTGCATGTCGCTGTTCTGGTACATGCTCGCGCCGTCAGCGTACTCGGGCACGTTAGTCTACGCCGTGTTCATTCAGCAAGGGTGCGTGCGTGCGTGTGTGGCTGTGGTGCGTCGAAAACACTTGGTCGTAGGTACAACTTGTTTTTCACCGCGCTTCCCGTGATTGCGCTCGCAGTTCTCGACCAAGACGTGCCTGCTCATGTTTGCATGACAATTCCCCAGCTCTATACCATCACCCACCGAAAGCTGTTGAATCATGCACGGTCTGGCTTACACTTGGTTTGGCCCTCCATGACCTCACGCTGCATGGAAGCAGATTTTGGACTTGGATCGCGATGGGACTTGTCGACTCGGTGGTGCTGCTCTACATGATGACGCTGTCGGCGAGTTTGGTTGATTCAACTGGCGCCACGACGACTCTCTTAACCCTGGGAGACATGGGCTGGACAGCGCTTTGCTTGTACATGAACGTAAGGGGATGGCGAGCGCACAAATGTCACTTTCATGGCGCCGCTTCTAGGTTCGCATCATGGCGCTCGTGTCCACGTGGAATGTCTTGATGGTTGGGTCCGTTGCCGTCAGCGTAGCATTTCTGTTTGGCTTTCAAATTGCCATCGATATCCTCGGGCTTCAAGATCCAACATGGGAGGCTCCGTTCTCGTGGCTGCTGTGCTTCCCACCGACGTGGTTGATTCAATTCCTCGTACGAGCGTTCACGACCTTTCGTGGTTTCACTCGTTTTTGATTTTCTCGAGGTGGTCGCACCACTGGCGCTGGCACACGTGTGGGCTGCTGCGCTCCAACGCACGTTTCGCCCGACGGTCCTCGATTTAGCTCAGCTCGCGACCCATGTCGAGGTATGCGGCCCATCATGCCCTGTTGCTTGCTCTCATGAGCTCCGAACTTCGGCCAGCCCACACTTGACGAGCTCAAGGGGATCGAATATCCACACCCCAAGTGGATCCTGCCGCATCTGCACCAACTCCATGACACTGTTGAGACAGACATGGAGGTGGCTTGCGCCGAGGACATGCAGCAGCTAGGCCGGCACCACGGGTTTGCCTATGCCCAACCAGTCAAGTTCCTTCGACGGCTCATGCACAGAGTACGACCACCTCAACATCTGCCGAGATAACACTCGGATGGAGCAGGGGAGCCCGGTCCAGGCGAAGCCCCGCCCTCGATGGAACACAGAGTTCGTTCAGTTTGTGCTGGCCACGGATGCTGTCGTGTACGAGAACGAGCGATACCAACCGTTCGTTGGGTTTGGCCACTCCTTTCCTGGCCACTTGCTCCCGTCCGACCGCGGGCACTGGAGTGATGCGAGTGGGGGCGTGTCAACCAACCAAGCCATTCCGACCGCATTGCTCAGGGTCGACACCAGCGGCGCCCAGAGCGACGACGACGGATGGGAGTATGCGATGGACTTTACTCAGTTTCCAACCACGACGTGTCATCGACGCCTGGCGTTTGTGCGCAGGCGGCGGTGGGTTCTTCGAGCCCCACGTAGCTTCGACTCAGCATAGCGCAGTCGTCATCCGAAGCAGCTCGTAGTGTATTTCTACACAAAACGTGTTTATTGTATGCCGCTGCTGCGCTTTCGGATCTCTTCCCACGTCGTAGGTGGCGGCCCCGCTTCCGCCGGCGGCCCAGACGCCACGAGTCCAGGGCTTGCCTTCGTGCTTGTGGGAAAACCAAACACATTTTTTGATGGCTTGGACGTTGGCGGCGGGAACTGTTCAACGGACAACGGACTCGGAAGGTTGGCATCGGAAAAGCGGCCGGCCTGGGACTCACTACTCGACGACGACGATGCCGCCGCCTCCCATGAGAGCTGTCGGTGGCTTAGGTCGTGCACCTTTTCCTGTCTTTTGGAGTCCTCCCATGCATTCCTACGCGTATCTTAGGTTGGAAGTGTGCCCACGTGACATGGCACGTACTGGAGGGAGTCCGAGTTGCTGGAGAGGTTGCCCATGCGGCGATACGCTTCCTTCAAGATGATGCTCTGCGGCATTTCACGCTCGATGCTAGGCATGAGAATGGAATTAGCTCACATGTATGTAGATATTTACATTGCTCGGGCAGTCTTGGCAAAATCTGACTGATCGTCGGGGATGCTGAGGATGTCAACGAAGAACTCTTCCCGAATGGACATGATGCCGTACACCGCTCCAACGATGGCGCCCGACCCTTAGCAGTCATGAGGAACCAGCCATGAACGCAAAGATTCAGTGGACTTACCGCCGAGGAAAGCGCCAAAGATCTTGTTGTTGGACCGCATGCCCTTCCAAGCCCCAAGTCCAACCACACTGCCAAACGCTCCGCCCATCAGCGCTCGGGTCTTTCCAATTGCAATATGCTTCAGTGCTACAGCCTTCTCCGCTGGGCCATCCATCATAATCTTCTCCTTTGGATCCAAGCCCTTGCTCATGGCTCGGATCACATGCGGCAACTCGCGCCTGATGGCCGCGCTCTGGTCGTCCGCGCTCATTTCCAGCTGTGAAACCGTGGTATCCGGATGACAAATTATCCGTACGCGAATGTTTGGACGGATTTATCGCTCTGGATCGAGCGATGGCGACCGCCACAGGGGAGGAAGCAAGCGTGGCGGAGCTGCAGGAGCGCCTGGTGACGTTCAATGGGCAGCTAGAAACGATCCAGCTGCTCTTAACGACAGACCCGGACAATCAAGAGCTGATTGGAATCGCGGCCGACTTGAAGGAGGTGATCAAACTCACACAGGGCATGGTCAACCACCACCTCAGTTCATGCGTCGACAGCCGGCATACTGCCGATACCGGGGCAGCGTTTCCTGTTGGAACATACGTGGAGGTCTTACGCGAAGGACAGTGGTTCCCAGGTACGACGTCAGTCATCCCATTCTGTCACAACAAAGACAAGGACAAAGACGACTGAATGCGGTTATCCGCAGGGGTGGTCGAAGGCATCAAGCGCGCGCCAGGTGGCGGGAACACATTCACAATCCATCTACTGGGGCTAAAAGTCAAGCAGGATGTGGACTTGACGTCCCTTCGGGCAATTGACACCGGATCCGCGCCCCTGCTGCATGGGATCGACGTTGGCGTTTCGTGCATGGTTCGGTCGTCCTGCACATTCTTTGCTCACGCGGAAGTTGATGTCAGGCAAAATACTACGTCGATGGCGTGTATTACAAAGCAGTCATCAAGGAGGTGACATCCCATGGCGTGATGGTGCTCTTCGAGGGATACGGCAACCTGGAGGAAGTGCCGGAGGCATACCTTCGCCCGGTCGAGACCAAGGCCGCAACGAACACTGCCCCCGTGGCAGAAGCTCCCAAGAAAGACGACATGTCGCTCATTGCGATCCCAGCTAGCTTGGCCATTTTGCCGACAGATTCCGAAGCCGAGCGAGATCGCAAGCGAAAGCGGTGGATTCCACTCGACGTCGAGATCACTTGGCTCAGCTTTGTCGTAGGATTCGTGCAATCAAGTCGCTGAACAGGCACAAAGCGATCGACATTGAACGTAACACCAAGCAGAACGACTGGGCCAAGTTCCAGGCCAAAGCGAGCAAGAAGCGGGTGATCGGCGTGATCTCGAACCCCAAGAAGAGCAGCATCTTCGCCTCGCCCGCGACGGTTGACGGCCGCGTTGGCGTCATCGGCAGCGACCAAAAGATGACGCGTTTCGAAGACTCGCGCAAGAAGTTCAAGCTCGTCGAGCAGCCCGACACCGACCAGAGTTAAGTGACAGAATCAAATGCACATTCGTCTCCACCAAACGATGGATGCGTCAACGCGCAACGGCACAAACTGTGCGCCGTGCCTCCAGTCTCCGTTGCGTTCGGTTCGAATGGATGGACAGAAGCGATCTGCTACGAATACGTACCTCGTTCCGTTGGGCTCCAAGTGGAGCTGGCGATAGAGCCTAGGTCGCCCCGTTGTGCTTCATTTGTCGTCGCTCCGCAAGCGTCGAGCATGCGATTCCTCCACGGGTCTTCAACCTAACGTGTAACTGGATTTTCTTTAGCGAAACGTCGCATTGATGTCGACGGATGTCGAGGGCATCTGTCACCCACCGAGTCCGCTGCGCCTGAGCGAAATCAAAGCGGATCGAGTGCTGCGGCGCCAAGCGCCATCGTCTGCCAGCGTTGAATCGCTGCAAGCTGAACTCGACAGCTGCCTCACGAGCAACGAAAAGGTGAATGGATTCAAACCGTGCCCAGTTAAATTGGTTGCAGGAGTACGTCGACAGCGTTGTGAGGCAAAAAGCCGCCGAGTTCTCCAGGGAAGTTGCCATCAAACGGCGCTTGCGAACTGCGACCAAGGCATCGCTCTTGGGCCAGCTCCCATTGAACGCTACCGGTCCTGTGCCACACACTCCATCGACCCCTTTTCTTGCAACACTCCGACGGGTACCATCTCCATGGCAACCCTGGCCGGTCTTGCGCTTAAATGAACATCAGGCCACGTCTGCGAGCGCTCTTCCCCGCTCCAAACTAACCCCACCTTCCTCCGACGTCCGCCGTCCCCTAAATCCATCCAAGCGCCGTGACGATTCCATTCTAGCATCGTCTTCCAATACATCGTCACCAGGGCAGTTCAGTCTCGTTGGCCTGGCCGGCGGCGTCAACGACGCAGCGCTTCCATCTGCTGACGTTCCACCGCACCACACGGGTTTGCAGCTCGAACACATGCTCACCCGCGAGATGCATGCGCAAAAGCACCGCCACGCCATGGAGCATTTCGCCATCAAGGTCCAGATTGCACCAGTTGCACGAATGTTATTTGAACGGCCACTCTTAGCTCGAAGCTGAGGCGGCGGCGTGGTAGCGCAAGTACGCCGACGCCGTCATCGAGTCGATGCGGTCGAGCGCGCTGGAAGCGGAAGTGGAGACGTTGAAGACGGCAAACGCACAGCTCACTCACGACGTGCGCGCTGCCAAGACGAAACTCAACGACATGACGTGCCAGCTCCATACCGCCGAGTCGGCATTCGATACAAACCAACGACAGATTCAAGCCTTGGCCATGGACGCATTGGACCAGACTCGGCTGACCAAGTAGTCTTTGTTCTCGAAGTGTGTCGCATTCACGCATGGCTTCACCGTAGCAACGAGTTTGAGGAGCGCTTGATTCAAGAGCAGCCCACGAGTGCCGAACTGCGGGATATGGTCCACCACTGCATGCGGCAGATGGAGGAAATGTCGAGGAAGGAGCTCGTAGCAATGGAGAAGCTGCCAGATCCGGCCGGCGCCGACAGGACGAGAAATGCCCGGCGGCATGGCATTCGACAGCGAGGTAATCAGCCGAACTAAAATTGTGTGGTTGGACGGGAGCGATGTAGAGCCATTCGTGGTTCCGCGTGTCCGCGGCACGGACGACTACATGCAAACGTGTCCATGGCAATTTTATCGAGGCCTGTTCGGCCCGTTGAGCAAAGAAACCACGTGGCCAGTCGAGTTCCAAGAACGGCTATGGCAATCTCGGTCGGATGCGGCAGTCCATCATCGGTGGATGGAAGCCGTAATGGCCAACTGCAGTCTCCCCGACGACCAGCTTGCGCTCTGGCCATCCACGGCTGTCCTGGAGACAACGAATGCGCTCTGGGTCGACAAATCGCTCGATGATACCCGGCACGCGTCGTTGAACCAGCCCACGCAGAGCCTGCCCAAGTTTACCTGGTGCTGGTTCCTCCAGCGATTCCGAAGCCGACCTGTTGCAGCAGCCCAGCTCTATCTCTACACCGTCGGTCTCATCGAACACAAGAAATCGCATCCCCGTGTTGAGGTGATGGCGGCGCTCCTTGGATTGACGGGGGTCAAGATGTACCTCTCGCGACTCGCCGACTGTGTCTTCAGCGTTGTTGGGGCGCTAATTCCACTGCCGACGCTGGCAGGAGTTCTTGCGACGTCGCTTGTGAAGCTTGCCATGTTTGACTTGACAGCGATTGAAGGTGCGTTAGCCGAAGTATTTGTGACGGCCGATCGAGTGGGCAGTGCGTTTGCCAGTCAACTTCCTCGCAGCCATCCATTCAACCGTGTTCTCGTGTCGAGTGAGTCGCACGGCCGATTGACGGAGATTTTGGGGGCCGAAGCGTCGAAAGCAAGTCTCTTGGTGCGAACATCGTCGGCGGTGTGGACCGACGACGGCGCGATCAATACATCAAGAAGCTCCTTGCACACGGCGCGGACGACCGCTTCGTCGCGCACGACAGGCACGCCTTCCCTGACACTGGCCTCGTCGCACCGCCACCAGAGCCTTCGCGGCAAAAGGTACGCCCCCCCAGCCATCCCTTTTCCATGACGTACTTTGAGAAAGGTCCAACTACAGCTCGAAGTTATCCTGCGGTTGGCTGTGCACATCTGGCTTCACCAGGCAACCCAAGACATGGATAGCATGGTGGCCGCCCTTCAGCACGAAGACTCGCCCGAGGCGCTGGACGTCCACGAGTTCAAGGCAGCGGTATCGCTCGTCTCGTCCGTGGCACTGTAAACGAACTCTCTAGTGTGGCGCGCACTTTCCTCGCGAATTCACCGATCGCGAGATCATCGACATGTTTGAAACGGTACGATGTCGGCGACGATGGATGGCTACAATCGCATGCTCTAGGCGTCGCAGCACCAAGCGTACTCGAACCAAGATGCCCAAGTGAAGAACGTCGAGCTCTACTACCTTGTTCGCGTGCTCCTTTCACTCGGATATACACGCCCGACCGCGGCAGAGCAACGCCACCAATAGCTTAATCGGACGATTGCCGCGATCGTGGTCTCCGTGCGACGGACGGGCGCTTGGACTTGGAACTGACCGTGGTGTGAGTACATCGTGCATGCGGCGAGGATCGTACGGGGGACGGCTACACGTGGGTTGGGCCCACAGCGAGGCTTGTTTATGCGCTAGGAAGTACTGTTGCGGGCCCACGATGCAGCCGGGGCGACAGAGTCGGCACCACGCAATAGCTTCGTTCGCTGTAAAGTGATAGTGCTGTCGGCCATGTCAGAGTTGTGCATGCTAGCGATGCGTCTGGTACCTTGATGATGTAGGCGGCGATGACAGTGCCAGTGCGGCCGAGCCCTGCCTTGCAATGCACAGCCACAGCGCCTCGCTCGCGCTCGCAGATCTGGCGCACCCATGTTAGCACGGGTGACGATGGCACACCACAAACGTTGATAAACTTGTCCAAGATGCCGTCGGTGGGCGTACTCCCGTCGGGAAAGATCAAGTCCACCTACAGCAGCACCACTGACCGCGCGTCGTCATGGGCGAGAGGTTGTACGTGGTGGATGCCTGCATGGACAAACTTTTTCCGGTCGTAGCACTGCTCGTTCAGTCGAACTACCCCAGCCACTGTTCTCAAACCGATCAAGTCGCAGCGCTCACCGACGGTCGAGACCTTGGTCGCGCTGTCAGCAGCCACACCATTCCTGTCGTTCCCATTGAGAACGTACCCCCATCTCGTGAAATAGCTTGCTATAGTCTTGGGCCCGCAACGTAAACTTGCCTGGCGCAAACTCGTATCGCTCCGCGAGCGGGCCACTACGCCCAAGTTGACGAAACGACGAGTGGATTCAGTCCATGCACACACCTGAATGCGAGAAGCTTGCCAGGCACCATCCACGTCATATCTCCATGCTCTACCATGGCCATGCGCTCGAACTCGGCGACATCAAACCTGCGCACGGCACCGTCACATGCGCACGGATTCGAGATGACACGAACGAGTCGATGGCCCACAACTTGGTTTGAATCGCCTAGCCAAACATGTGAGCTGCTGCTGCTGCTCTCGCGCACGAGTGGACCTTGACCACGGCCGACGCACAATCTTCCACTGAGATGCCGTACGTGCATACCCCATGCGCCGCATCTCGGAACGGCGGAAGGTCGAGCGAGTCGAATGGGCGACTTGCCTCTTGCGCACCTTTGCCTCGAATCAAGACAGCGTACAGAGCGAGTAACGCTGCTGCATTCGCCGTGTGGTGCCTGTCGCGCCGCCTGCATGGACGACGACCGGTGGGCTCGCAGTGGCATCGACGCATGCCTTACTTGGTGAAGCAGACGACTCGACCTGTCGACGCGAACACGTTCAGGCGGAGGCAAAACCGAACTGTCTACAGTCGAGTTGAGTTCGAGGGAGTGACGGAAGTGCGGACCTGCGCCAGGTTGAGCGGTCCAAAGTCGGCGAAGAAGCGCGTATACCGGATGACGTTGTCTTTGTCGTCGCTGCAGTTCACCCACACTTCCCCTGCATCCGATCAAGCACCAAGACGACGTGTCCGGCGGTACCATCGGTGTGCGGCGGCGATCCATCGTCGCCAAGAACTGCCAAGGCGACACCTACAAGAAGCCGCAGATAAAGGGATGGCCCCCCCGTGGGCAGAGCGACCGCACCGTCCACAACGGAGATGGCGGTCATGTCTGCGAGTGAAACGACGTGCAGTTTCATAAAAAAATGTCCCGGACGTCGTTCGACGATGCGGTGGCCACCATGGCATACGACGAAATCGTCCAGAGCATGCGTCGCCACTGGGACGACAGGCACGTCATTGTGGAAGGTTTGATGGCGCTTCAGCAATGTATCGATCGAAAGGGTACATTGTATGGATCGCGAGGCATCTGAACGTGTATACGCAGGCGGGGATGACGATGCCAAAAAGTTGGGTGTGGCTGGAGCATGCGAAGTTGTTCTCGACGCCATGGCGTCCACCATGCAAAGCGAAGAAGTGCAGCTCTACGGCAGCCAGGCTTTTCGCTTCTTGGCACGGGCGCCGCGGAATATTTTGCGCTTGGAAACGAAACGAGGGCTCGATCAACTCATGCAGACCTTGGTTCGGTCCGTTCGCGCCATGGCCTGCCATGATGCATCCATCGTAGATTCACTACATGGCAGTTCCTCGTGTCGTTCGAGAGGTCCTGTGGGCGCTGGCCACTCTCGTCGCGGCCAGCCAACCCTCTGGTCTGCGCTTCCTGGAGACTTTGGACGGCGCCCAACTCGTCCTCAAGACGCTCCAACGACACCAGGGCAACTTGGATATTCAGCACCATGGATGTCAGTGTGTTCTGTCGATAGCCATACGATTTCGATCGCGATTTCGAGAGGTTTCAACACAGGAATCGATCCTCCTGACTGATGCTAAGACTAGGACGCGGTCGTGGGCCTTGGCAGCCACATGATCGGGTTGCTCGTGCGGGGCAACGTGCCCCAGTCCCTCGTCGTGATCTGCCTCAAGTTTATCACTGCCGTCACCGATAAAGGTGCAACCTCCCAACGACGCCAACACTTCCTTTTGCGTAGAGTCGGCCGCACATTTGTTTGCCGACGCTGCCTGGTTTCGTTGCGTGTTCATCGCGCACGTAGACGATGACGTTGTCGTCGATGAAGTCGTGTTTCTGTACATGTCGCTGTGCCACGTGTCGCCGGCGCATGCGGTTGAGGTGCGTGCATGTCGGACGGAGATGTCATCGTGACATGCCATGCAGTTGTCCGCGGGCGGCGGTCTGGAATGCGTCCACGAAGCGATCGTGACATATCACGGCCAACGAAAGGAATGCACGGTGTACCAGTTGCTGCGCCTGGTGCATCACGTGTTGGCGCTGTCCGCCACCCACGACGCCCTCGTGCCCACGGTGCTCGAGTGCCAATCGAGTTTCATGGCGCATGCCAAGATCCAGATCGAAATATGCTGCATCGTGCGGCTGGCGTTGCCGTCGGCGCCGACACACCTGTGGACGACACAACTGAATATGTTGGACACCGTGGCGCGATGCCATCCGACCGACTCGATCTTGCAACGAGAGTGCAAGTACGCGAGAGCCGCATTGTTGCTGGCCATCCAAACGGATGGCGGACACCGGTTCGATTAAAGAGCAAAACTATGGATGTCGTCCAAGTGATTCAAATCCTTGACGTCCACCCGTGTGTTGGACGCTGTGAAGATCTGGATGTCGCTAAGCCGGACATCGTCCGGCACAGTAGCCGGGGTCATGCATCCGACGGGTTCGGTCGATGTGGACGATGCCACGGCCTTCACCACGTCATTCCGCAGCTGGCCATCGTCCGAGCTCTTCCGCCACGAGGGGTGTGCCGGCGATGTCGTCCCTTTACTGTTGTTGTCCCGGCACTCGTCGCTGGAGGATGGAGTCGATACCTGTTGGCCACCCATTCGTTCAAAATCCATCGATTCGTGTGGTAGGTACCAAGAGGCTGTCCATCTTGGCTTGTAGCGCGGCAATGTCGTTCGGGTTGAGATTGTCCAGGGATTCTTTCGAGAAGAATGAACCGACGCTCTCGCGAGTCTTGGATCGACGCGCCAGGACCTCCACCTGCGACGCGCGCAGATCGTCGTGCAGTGAAACGCGGCCTTCAGACGACCGCCGCACGTTCGAACCCCTCTGAATCACATCTCCACGTCAGCATCAACTCATGAAAGGTATGCACACACCACGATCGATACGCCCTGTGCCGTTAACAAGTCTTGCAATTGCTTGATCTGTTCCTTGAGTTCTTTGCGGCGTTCGAGGGCGACCTTGACCGCCGCAGCATTGCCCCGACTCGACTCCCGCACGATGTCGCTGACCGCGCCGTGCATATCCCGTCGCAGAGTCTCCAAGCGGCGAACGGGGTCGTGAGCCATGCCTGCATTGTCGGCGGCAGACTCGTCGACGTCGCGAAGCACGCTGCGGTCAAACACGGCTGTGTGACGTGGCAGCGTGCCGTCCACTAAAGAGCACACAATTGCCACGACAGAGTCCGCGACGCTCGAGAATGTGGTAGAATGTCGTACGAAGATGGACATCTGCTGTGGCGGAGGTGGCAGCGGGGGGCTGTTGTTTGCGGGGCTGGCTGGTTGAATGGTCTTGGACTACGAGTTCGAGTCGATGTAGATCGGTGTCGCTGCCAGCAAGGGGCTCCATGGGATGTTGCGGTGGTGTGAAGTCCGCAATGTCTCCATCTTCGTCCCTACGGCCATCACGTGAATGATCACGCCCGATGATTTCGCCAAATGAACCCGAGGATGGGGATGCTTGTGTCAAAGCTCCCGTGGGAGTGGCTGTGCGCGTCCGTGTGTCGAGTCGCCGCGGCGACTGGGGTCGGCGACGCAGAGATCCCTGGGGCTGCAAAGCGTTGGTGGACTTGGGACCGCAGGTGAATCTGCGGTGTCGACGATGTGGCAGGAGACCCGATCGTTGTGGACGGAGGCTGGATGAACTTGATCGTGGGGCCATCGGGATTCCATTTAACGATACAAGCGATACAAAAGACTGACGTGGGGGTGACGGCCGACTCGGTGTACTCAACCGTGCACGCATTGCACAGCACGGCGCTGCACATCATGCACTGGCGCCGGTTCTTCGGTGTCAGCGGTCGAAACTGGAACTTGAATGGGGCATCGCACGACTCGCATTGCCGCCTGGCCTTGGTCGACGCGAGCGGTGTCTGGGCACCGCCACGGCGCAGACGAGGAGCTCCAACGCGCCGCAACTTTTCGCAGAGGAGAAATTTGTTCAGTTCGCCCATCCAGTGCAGCCACGACGATACGGTCGCTCGGTGGAGTTTGTTCGCGCCACGCACGTCGCCGCCCTTGAAATCGACCTTGAAGACAGACACAACGTCAATGATTCCTGGCGTCGACGAGTTTTCGAGCAGGACAAAGCCCGAGCGGTAGATCCCGCCACGAACGAAGCGGTATGCCGAGTGGATCGACGTCTCAAAGGATGGTGGGGCGCCTGGATAGTCGAGCGAGTGCAGCGCTATCACAACACCTCGAGTTTCAATGTCTTGGAAGCGTTCGCGGGACTACATGACGCGTGAGCGAAGGAGGTGCAAATGGAAAAGGGCAGCATACATGCAGCACAACGAAGTCACGGTGGACCATCCCGTCCACGCATTGAACTGCCATCCACTTGATGGACGTCTCGCCATCAACGCGAAGCAGTGTCTGGCTCCCAAGCAAGTCATCCACGAACGTTGTAGGGCCTCGTCGCTCGGGGTCGGGCACAATCTGTGGAATGACGAGGGCGTCTGCGACTTCAGCCAGCGTCCCATAGATGCTTGCGACGCCACATACGTTGATCAAATCGTCCCCGCTGCTCTTGTCCCTGATCTGGTACAGCTCCATGTTGTTGTCCGCGTCAAGACGATCCCATGTGGGCTTGGTTGATGGCAACGAGTACGCGAGCCGCCTCAAGAATCGCCGCGACTGCTCTGCGATGGCTTGGAGCTGTACGCGCTCTTCGCGTGATGGAAATGAGGATGTATTGGACGGCAGGCGGGGAAGCTTGATGGGGTCGCCAATACGTCGAGCGCCATCGCCGCCGCGTGCGAGGGTCATTCGCTCCAAATGGTCACGGCAGGGGAACATCCAGGGCGATGTCAAACATTCAGTTTGAACGGGAAATCCTTCGATTGTACAAGATCAATACGTACATGAAGTGGAAATGGAATATACATTGTACGTTGGTACGTCCTATCATGAACAACTATTCTGAGTCCTTATACCGCAACAGTAGCAACATCTCACCACTTTCTGCATGGTAGAACAATCTGATTTACCTTGAAATGTGTATGGAACGAATATGGCGAGCTCTATGGATAATTGTTTTATGAACGGCATAGTTGCCATTGGCTGTGAGTTTATTGGTTTTCGGCGCGCAATCTCAAACAAGCAATGGTCATGTTCATGCACTTGAGGGGGGGTCACTTCGGTCGGTACACTTCAGCGCTCGTTCGCGGACGGCGATGCAATAGTGAAGGCGCCGTTGTTGATGAGGGATACGCCATGCCGCCCTTGGCACACGGAGCTCCCTTTGGTGTGTTACATACACGTTACGTTTGACCGTGTCAACGTGCACACTCGATCGTGCCTTGACACGTTGTCAGTCCGCGCGCTTCGTAAGAAATTCGGTCTGTCCCCGTGAAAGGTTGGTGCGTCGAGTTGATTCGCGTGGAGCTCATGAACAACTGCGTGCGTCGGCCGGCTGCGGGAAAGCAAGGACGCGGCGGTACGTGAATCCGACATGTGACAGGTACTGTAGAGTATGGATGGGCACGAGAGCGACCGAGAAGACGCCTCGTGCGCTTCTTCTGTCTCGTCCGTCCATGCCTTGGCCATGGAGAATGCCTCCACTGTCTGTCGCAACGGCATCGTGTGTGCCGCCTGGGCAATGCTGGCGTGGTGGTTAGATGCCCACGAAACGGGGGAGTTGCAGGAAAAGGGGAGCAAAAATCCCCTCCATGTCACGACGACATTCACAATCGTTCTTCTCGCAACAGAACTAAAGTCCCTCAACCATATCCTTTCGTGAAGGTCTCCGCACTCCGCCTCCTGGACCAACTTGATGCGTAAAAAACGATTTCAGTTTGTTTTTATTGGTGTTTTGTATCGAGTCCGATACGACAATATTCCATCTGACTGCGTTCTGATTGGTTCGTTTACAACTTTGCGAAACTTGGAATTTTGGCCCGCAAGCCACAAATGAGGGAGTGCCAGTGGCATGGAGGGTATGGCGCATGTGACGAAGGATCTTTCCATGACTTGGACAACGACACCGAGTTCAAACCATGCCATACTCAGCACTGTAGTAGTCGCAGTCGTCCTTGGTGTAATCGGTGGGCAAACAGCAGCACTTGCTGCTGTTGCCGAATCGTTGGACTCGGTCGACGTGAGCCCGACCGAGTCGGCTTGGTCATGGACGTGTTTACGATCTTGGGGAGCACGACGTCCTTGGCAACGTTGCACATGCCTTTGCCGCTCGCGCCGCATTGACGAGGATGTGGCTAACTTATCCATCGACACCCCACGAGTTGCAGAGCTTGTGCGCCGTCGTCGAGGGCTGAATCCGACCTGGAGCACTGCGCGATCACACCTGAGCAGTAATGCACACGGAGTTGTCCGCTTCGACCAGCACTGACGGAAGCTACGTGTTGAGTGCCGCGTCCAGCACCGCCGCACCCTTCATGCGAAATGTCGCGCCGATGGTGGGCTTCTTCTTGGAGAACGAGTTGCTGTTGCACGTGCCGGTTTGGCTCGTGGTGCCAGACGTGTACGGGGGGTTGCGCTCCAAGCAGATTCCAGTCGTCAATACGTACGGCCACACGTGAAGGTCCAAACTCTTGGAGCTACAAGCTCACGTCGGCGGTCAGCACGGAGCTCTCATCCGCTGATAGCGTGCTCACAGCGGACATGGTAGTGGAGGGGGTTGATTGTAAATCCCATGACCCTGTCTCCCGAATGGCACGATACTTTCGAATCCTGTGACTCGGAATCCAGACCGGCGGTATCATCACATCGAGAGTCTTGACGAAGTACATGGGCAGCATCTCGACGTCAACAAGGGAGTGCCAACGCAACATCTTCGAGATCGACACACGGAATCGACGCCCATGCGGTCGGCGGAGGCCTCCTGCTAGACTTGCTCTCCGGTTGTAAGATGGAATTCCATAATATCAACCCTCCGCAAAGTCGAAGATAGATTTTTTCCCCAGCATCAATGATGCTAGGCATTCAAACACTTCCTCCGTCAGACAAGTCCAAGTAGTAGTATTGCGCAAGAGCTCTCGCCCCTCGGACATGAAGCATCGATCTGCTGGTAGAATTAGTCCATCTTGGTGATAACAAACCTCCGTCGCACGAACCGTCGCGCCAAACATCTAACGTTAGCACCTCTTTTCGCCGATCCAGTTACTTTTGATGTAGAAACCTGTGTAAAGGCATTACCTGTAAGACCCTTTCGTGTAGTATGGGCTATTGTGGGAACAATTTATAGCTTCACTCTGTCAAAACCAATGAACTGTAATATTATAACAGAGCCAATACATTCAAAATTAGAAGCGATGAGTTGACAATTGCGATTTGAATTGAATTTGTTGTGTGCTGGGGTCATTTTCAAAATAGACTGAATACTGTATTGCAATCATTTACGGGCAGAGGTAGTAAAATGTCCAGTTCAGACAAAACGAGCTGGAGCCGTCATGCCAAACCACCGACCAAAGCAGAATCGACTTCTTGGGAGGCACTCCGCCCTCGGTTCCCCTTGGTACGCTGTCGGAGTGAAACCACATGCTGCCGACGACGGCGGGAGCTCTATAAGATCGTTGCACTGCTTCCTGCACTTGCTTTCTTGAAGGCTCGCAAGGGCAGGTTCGGAAAGGTGCCCAGGAGAACCAATGGACCAAATCGAGGACGGCGCGGCCATAGTACCCCTTCTCCGTCCGCACTCAGCTGCCTTAGAGGGCAACTTCGTCGCTGTACGAACTATCTGTCGATTGCTTCATCCTTTTACAACGTTAGTTCTGTCGAACGAAGGAGTTCGCGCAAGCGAGACCTGTCACGCATCGTGGACGGTGCTGTTTCGCTATAGATCTGTCTGCAGTCCACAAGCGATTGCAAGGGCGTCGAGGAGTTCACTTCGTTCCAGAGTCGTGCCTTCAACGACTCAGCTGCGTGACAGTGTCCACGAGACCTCTGGCAACAAATCGCGTACCGGGTCGCCTGGATGTTTCACGACCTGGCGAGATCGATGTCATCCACCGAAGCGTGAATCATCTCGCAGAATGCCCACCCACTCAACCTGCTCTACCGCGTTGACCCCATTGTGGCCGGTGGATCGGGCGAGTCGAGCCCCATCCGTGGCATGGACCGTGCGATGACAGGTGCGATATTATACTTCTCACCAGTACAATTTCCATCAATCCATTGGTGTGAACAAGGAAAGGGTATTGCTCAGAATTGGTGAGAACTTTACATATGCAAAAATATCCAGTTCTATGGGGCATATGCGATGTGGGTGCGGTCGCGCTAAGGCCAAGCATGGACGATCTGGGCACGCGGAGGGCTCGGCAGGCCCGCACGCACACCCACATCAGGGCGATAGGAAGGCTAACATCACGGATACATCGATCAGTCCTCGCCGGGTACTCCCTCTCAGAGTTTCCATAGTATTTCTCTCTAGGCTTGGTCGTGCTTGCTCGGGAAGAAAGTGCCAACTTTTCGAGGCAGTCGTCAAATCGAACTCATTTTTGGCAGTATTTTATATTCGACCTGACTTTTCCATACATCAGAGTGATATTTAATTAAATGTCGGTCGCCGCTTCGCGTGATTTTTTATAGTGCCATTTGTTTTTAAATACATTAAATTTGATTGACTATCAGTAACCTGGTCGACAGGATTTTATTGCGCGAGCCAGGTCGCGACATTGCGTTCAGAACATGCCGGGGCAATTCTCATTCCAGAACCCACCACCTCCGGTATGAAGCCCTTCCTGAGTGCCGCGCTCGCCGCCGCCTTCATCGCGGCAGTCGACGGCCTAAAGCTCACAGGAGTCTTGTACCAAAGGTACGAGAACGATGAGTTACCGTTGGTGTTTTCGTCGTCGACGAACAACAACCTCCCTATTTCGTACGCGCCTGGTGCGACTGCCGCACCAACCCCAGCTCCATCGACTTCTGCGGCCGCACCAGCCACTACCTCGGTTTCTTCGTCTACCAACGCGCCCTCCAGCACCGGTGCATCTTCTTCTACATCGACTCCTGCGTCCACGTCTGCTCCTGTGTCCACGTCAGCTTCTGCGTCCACGTCAGCACCTGCACCCACGTCACCGTCCAGCAATGGAATTCAAAGTGATGTCGCGACCAAGAAGCAGCCGGTCGATCTGTTTGCGATTCTGCGTCAACAAGCCAAGGAAGCGCAAGATCAAAACGCCAACACTGGTACGGACAACTCGCTTCGCAACCTCGACGCATTCGACACGATCGTCGTGATCGACGATGACGCGCGACCGTCAACGGGTGGCGGCCGCCGTCTCGCGGAAAGCGACGCCGCCGCGGTGAGCCTCCTTATGTGTAACGCCAAGGCGAACAGCATTGTGTCATACAAGTCGGCCAAGTCCCAAACCACGACCACCACCACAACTGAGAGCGGCTCCAAGATCCCCGACGCCGAAGGCAAGTGCTACGACTACACAGTCAAGGTTGAAACCGTGTCGGTCACGGCGGGGTGCAACGAGCAGAACGTTGGCCCCAACGGCTGCGACAACATCTATTACCCTGGCTGTGGTGGGTTGAGTGTCGACCCCAAGACGAAGCAGGTATTCGTGGCCCGCACCGGTGGTCGCACCATTGGCCAGATCAACTACGTCGGCCAAGAGGGCGGCGAATGCAATGGCCGTGTCCTCGACTGGCTCATTCGGTACCGCGGTCGCAAGTTCAACGGTCCGACCGACATCACGTTCACCCAGAACGGCAACCTGTACTTCACCGATAGTCCGTTCGCCCTCGCGTCGTCAGCAGAAGAACTGCTTTCGACCAACTTGACCGTGCTCGACTCGAAGCGCGAACTACCGTTCAACGGCATCTTCCTTCGAACGAGCTCGACGACCGAGATTCTCGATGCGAACTTGACCCGTCCTCGCGGCATTGCGTTCTCGCCGGAAGAAGATGTGCTGTACGCCAACAACGCCGACGCCCTCGCTCCGTACGTAAAGGCGTACAAACTGCTCCCCAATGGTACCATCGAGTGCGCGCGGCGCTTCTTCGATTTCTCCAACAACACGTACAACGTCGACGGGACCTCGACGATCGCGAATGTTACATGTCTTCGCAAATTCCCTTCCTCGATCAAGGTGGACGCCGAAGGGTTTGTGTACGTGGCGATGTGCAACAACATTTACGTCTTCGACGCCGCGGGTGTGCTGCTTGGTCGTTTGGAGGCGGATGCAGAAGTCCACACCCTCACTTTTGGCAAGGGCATCATCTACGTGTCGTCGCAGAACAGCGTGTTCGCCCTTCGCGTGGATCCGGAGTTCGACAACTCGCAAGCGACCGTCCCAAACACCCAGAATTCGTGTGCTGCCCCCGCCACATCGCTGTCGTCCAGCCAATCCAAGTCGGCGTCCAGCATGCCGTACGTCGGCGGTGCCCTTGCAGTCGCCGCTGTCGCAGCTCTCGCAATCTTCGCCACCAAGAAGACGTTGAAGGATTCGTCTTTACATGGGTTTTCCACCATGGTCGTCACCCCGCCTTCCTCGACCGTCAAGAGCCATTGTTTCTAAACACGATTGTCTCTTTCTGGACCATGCTTTGTCGCGTTGCCCCAGCCACCCGTGTCGAACACACGCCACGACGTAGCATCGACAGTCCCTTCGCATGCGAGGAAACCAAAAGTTACGTTTGATTCACAACGAATGGGGCTCACAACGTGATGCGCGCGCCTTCCATGAACTCGGCCGAGTCACCAAAGCCGCCCTCAAGTGGACAGCACAGGCGACGGTGTCCGCGGAGGACTCCAAGAGTACGCCGCGCTTGGGAAAACGTGTCCCTGACTACGAATGTGATTTGCTACGGCGGGCATTGGAGGTGTACCGCGTGGCATTGGATGGTGGAAGGCGTCGGATGGAAAAAATATTGAAGAGAAAATTTCAAACTGAAAAGCACCATAATTTGGCCTGTTTATTGTTGTTGATACTGACCATGTGTCGCCCCAGACCATCGCCAAGATCGGACAATCCGCATTTGGTCCGACAAAGGTCACGATGTAAAGTAGATGTCCTTCAAAAACATGCACCTGTACTTGCCACAATGTCCCCACTACATTTCGATGCATGGAAGCTCTGCGTGCACTGAACCTCGAATTTTGGGGAGGTCATTGCGAAAGCATCGGGGATTTCCACTGAAGAGCCATGCCTCTCCCTTGAGCTATGGAGCGGTTCTTTGACGACGTAATGTTCTGCCAAGTGACCGATCGTGCCTTTATGGCAGAGGAAATTTTTGACGTCCACCGCGTACCAAAACGCCATTAAAGTGGAAACGACATGAAAAGTTGAAATTTTCGCCCCAAATGGAATATTTAGGGGAATTCCCAGACATTTTCAGACTCCCATGCCTCGGCACTCGAACGTGCCGCTGGCACCCCCGCAGCGTCGAAGGCGCCTTCGTGACTTTTCGCCCTCCAAAGCGCTGTAAAGGCGAGATGTGGGTGCTCCAGGTCGCACCAACCGCCGCCGGCCTCCACGTTACTGCCTCATATGTTTCATTCCGAACGCGTTCGAGGGGGAGTTGGCACGGTCGAACCGAGGACGATCGCCGGCAACGGTCCAGAGCGGCGCGCTCGAATCGCCAGATCCCGTTGCCACGATCTAGTATCTACTAGTAGTACCCATGAGGAACGACCTTTCTCGTACCAGAGAGTCCAGTGCGTCAAAATATATGCAAACAGATTATACGAAAAACAAGACTCTTATGCAACCATACACACTTTGGTCTTATTTTCATGTTGTTGAATTCTAGAAATTGTAAATTCATATACGTACCTTCACGACAACGTTTAAAACGTGCCTCTTCAGCACATTTTGGTCAAGTGGACCAGCCAGTGTCGAATTTGCTGCGTCATCGGGAAGAGCCTCCCCGCCATGTCGTCGATCTCGCAGTGCCTCGCGCGCCACTGGACGTCAAACCCGCCCGTGAAAACCCCCGAGCAAATTGACGCCGAGCAGTACTTGATCTGCGTGCCGTGGTTCGGCAACCGGTACTTCACGGCCAAGCTGATCCCGTTCAACCGATGGTTCCTCTTCGTCGCGTCTTTTCTTTGCCAGTTCTGCTGCGGGTCGCTCTATTCGTGGTCGATCTACAACACTCCAATCGACACGTACATTTACAAGAACGCGTCCGCCGGGAATGCTGTGTACACGTTCTACATTGCATGTGGTCTCCTCGGCACAACCGCGGCGCTCCTTGGCCCGTGGCTCGAACGCAACGGTCCCCGTGCTGGCATGTTTCTCGGGACGTCATGCTTTCTCATCGGGTACATCATCGCGGCCATCTCGCTCACCAATGAATCCATGGTTGGCGTGTACCTTGGGTACGGTCTCGTAACTGGGTTCGGTCTCGGCATCAACTACATCTCGCCCGTGTCGGCGTTGCAAAAGTGGTTCCCTGACATGCGCGGGACCGCCGCAGGGTTCGCCGTCGGCGGTTTTGGCGCCGGCTCCATCGTGTGGGGCAAGGTCTACTTACCTGCCATCAAGGCGTTCGGCCTTCCTGGGTCGTTCATCTTTTTGGGTGTGGTTATGTCCGCCGTCATGTTCTTCTGCGCGCTGTGCATGCGCACGCCGCCACCGGGATTTAGCGTTGGCGGGATTAACATCCACGGCGTGATCCATGTTGAAGGGGAAGAGGCTCACTCCGCGGAGGCCGAGACAGGCAAGGCCGATATTCAATCGCCGGTCGTGGCCAAGGACGTCGATGGCAGCGACGCTGTCCAGTACGAAGTTGTCATCGAAGCCACAGCGAACGTGCATGAGGCCCACGTCAAGCACCAAGACGGGTACAAGAACGTCAAGAACATGAGCATGATTGACTGCCTTCTCTCGGCCGACTTCTTCTTCATGTACTTGATGCTGTTCGGGAACATCGTGTTCGGCCTCGTCGTCCTGTCGCGGCTGTCACCCATGGCCACGGGCGTGTTCAAGCAATCGCCGGACGAAGGCGCGACCGTCGTCTCGATCAACGGCGCGTTCAATTGCTGCGGCCGCCTCTTCGTTCCGATGGTGTCCGACTTTCTCGTTCGCTTCTTCCACCTGAACCCGCCGTTTGCGCGCAAGTGCATCTTCTTCACGACCTTGACGACTCAAGTCGTGATCCTTCTCACGCTGCCCACGATCATGCGCAACCAAAGCTACGACTGGTTCCGTTTCGAGATTTGGCTCCTCACGTTGTGCTACGGCGGTGGCTTCGGGACCATCCCGGCCTTCTTGACCGACATGTTTGGTGCCTATAACATTGGCGCCCTCCACGGATTCATCCTGACGGCGTGGTCGATTGCCGGCGTCGGCGGCGGCCTCGGCTTCACCTTCAACTTTAACCACTTGGTCAACGTCGACAAGGTCCCGCTCGTCGAAGCGTACATCCAAAACATAAACTGGATCGTTATCACGACCATCGTTGGTGTCGTCGCCCTTTTCGGCGTGCGCACCAACCCGATCGACCGCTTCGCCCCGGGCTATCAATACAGCATATGCGGCAAGCCCATCATTCGCCTCCGGTAAAGAACACCGCCAACTTAGCAGTGCTGCACTCGTCGGGCCATGTTCTCCGTTCAAGAGTGGCTACAGTCAGCGACTGTCGACCATTATTTTCATGAATACTAGCTTATCTTTGACGCGTCGACAAGTTGGACAGGCATCGGGAATTCTAGACGAAACGAGCGGTTCCGGTTGTCAGATAGATCCAACGATCCTTGGAGGGGCCATTTGTGGCGAAGTGGTTGATTGAGATCGCAGACTCCGAGAGACATCGACGGTTGATGACTTAGCTGACAGCCACAGCGCTGGAACAACACATCCACCGGGCACGGCCACGACAATCTCTAACGGGGCGTTGGACGGGCTGGCTGGTGCTTTGTTAAGATGCACAAGCGAGTTGTCATGCGCATGAAATGGAGAGCACGCACGCAGGTGGACGCACATGGCCATCGCGCGGCCAAAACTGCATTCAGTCCATGGTGGTAGCTCCACCTACTTCCAAGCCTTCGTAAGGACTGAGCGCGAAGGTAACAGCTGCCCCCACGTTCGTTGTGCGAACGCTGCGTCAGAATGTTCGCGGGATGGCGCCAGGCCTGCACATCGAACAAGCGGCGGCCGCCTCGCCGTCACCAGGATGCGCAGGAGTGGGCTTTCTCCTTCATTGGTGCGTTGCGCACACATTCCTGATTATCACCATTCCCACACCGTGAATATAAAGCCGATGGCGGGAAGGTTGGCAAGCACATCGGATGTTTGGACGCCGATAGACATCAGCGCGTTCGTCCGCGAGGGCTCCAGCGATGAAGAGCTCGATCAAGTCGCGCGGGAAGTTTCGCATGCGTTTGAAACGAAAGGGTTCCTTCTGATATCGGACCACGGCGTGGATGCTGGCATCGTGGCGGCTGTCGAGACGGCAGCGTTGGCATTCTTTGCATTGCCGGACGACGTGAAGAAAGAATGCTTTCTCAACCGAGCACCAGTGCCGCGGGGGTACTCTGCATGTGGGAAGGAGAACTTTGCCATCTTGAGTTTGAAAAACCAACGGAAACCCAACGACTTGGTAGAGAAGTTCCGCATGGGACCACTTCAAGTCGACGCGACCGACGACTACTTCACCGCGTCGAAAGACGCTCAAATGATGTTTTACCCCAACAAGTGGCCATCTCCCGATGACATGCTCCTGCAAGACGCCATGGAGCGATACTACCTCGCCATGGACACACTCAGCGCGGTGCTGCTTCGCATCTTTGCACGTTGCCTCGACCTTCCCCAAAACTTTTTCGCCGCCAAAATGACCCGCCACACAAGCATCTTTAGCGTCAACTACTACCCCGCGATGGATCAAGTGCGTCAGCAGATTCAGCCGGGCCAACTCCGCCTCGCCCAGCACACCGACGTCGACCTGTTTACAATTGTTCGACCAGACATGGCCGACGCGTTCGGGTGCCTCCAGATCGAAGTCGCCAGCGACACCGGCTCGACATGGCTTTCCGTTCCCGCAGTGCCCGACACGTTCATTGTCAACCTCGGCGACTGCTTGAAATACTGGACGAATGACCGGTGGATGTCGACCAGCCATCGCGTCGTGAACCCGCCGGTGGATTCTCCGACCACGAGCCGCATCTCGATGGCGTATTTTGTCGGAGCCAACTACGACGCTACGCTCGACTGCTTGCCGACCTGTTGTGTGGACGGATGCCGCCACCACGGTGACTCGCTCAAGACGTACGTCGAGTGGCGCAAGGGCCGCGTGCGCCAGGCGATGGAGCAGCTCAAGTCGACACCCGTCTCCACCAAGAAACCCCACATGGCACGATAATGTACAGCTCTTCCGTCGCCGTGGACGTACCGCTTGTGGCCCATCCTTTGGACTCCTGGTTCGCCATGAGCTGACTTGTTGGGAGTCTATGCTGAGAGCGTTTTCGGCGGGGTGCAGCAAGCGCTGGATCGCCAGGGTTGTTCCTGCAGAGCACAAAGTCACTCCATAGCTGTTCCTCCTCCGCCAAAGACTTCAGTCACTTTAGCTCTAACGTGGCAGCAAATGGAAAATATTCGTAGGAACAGCCAGGACGGGGCCAGGTCCATGGGGTAGCCGCGACGTGATGGCGCGACGAAAGAGATCGCTGATGCGACTGCAGAGACCGACGGTGACCATGTTCATGTTGGTCTTATACTGCATGTGGCGGCCACCGGAGTGTGACGAGGATGGGCTGGTGCAAACTCGGGATGTACTGACGATCGAGGGCAAACGCAGCATGCTTTGCTGTCACGTCATTGTCAAAATCGGTTTCCACAGTAACGTGAAAAAAGTCTTTTGCGAGCGCAACAAAGCGATCGAGTGAACCACCGCGCGACGGCTGAAGGAGGTATATGGCGGTGTCACTGCAAGGCTTGGTGACGTGGCGCAGGGTATGCACCAAGTCCAAATGAAACGACTCGAAGAAGAGGCAGTCGCTGGCGATCACAACATCGAATTGACGTGCCGGATCGACAACTGGCGGCATCGTTCGACTCCACGTTAAGAGCTCCGCCGTCGCAATGTGTGGTCGGAGGTTGCCGTGGGCCACGTTGACGTCGAGATTGACGTGGAGGTTGTCCACACACGATGTGTTGCCATCGGTCAGTACAATGGACGATAAGGTCGATGCAGGTAATTGAGAGCCCAATGCTAGCCCTGCGATACCGCACATGCCTGCGCCGAGCTCGAGGAAGCGAAGCGGCGGTCCATGATACTGTTCAAACTTGGCGAGAAGGATGCGCCACAGCAGGTCTTCACATGGCCACGTGCGGATGTTGCCTGTGTTGTCAACATCTTGGATGGCTAGTTCATGGATCGAAATGTTGCCGTCTGGCTTGCGGGTGTGCAACGAGAGGTGGTATGGAGGTTGAGGCAACGGGTACCTTCGCCATTCGTAGTCACTTCGACGTGGAGCGAGGTCGGGTAGCACCAGCGATTCAACGGGGTGGAAAGCGAACATGGACATTGCCGACGGAAGTTGAGATGCAGACGACGAAGAGTCATCGACGTGCTTTCGAATGGCAGCGCGGAGACGCGCCCATCGCGCTTTTGCCGGCGGTGGGTCGGCCGACATGTCCTGGTTCATCGGACGAGATATCCAAAAACGGTGAAATTCCAGACACACTTTTGCCAAAAACCATTGAAAATTTTTAGCATTGGGTTAAATACATTGTTGCGCTATACTGTATAGGTTAAAAGATACACTCCGAGGAACAAATTGTTAGCACAGAAAAACGTGATGAGTTGAAGTGGATTGAATAGTTAAACGCATTTTTCCCGTATATGTCGTACCCCGGGGCACGATGTTGATCAATTTTACAATTTTAGATCGCGCGCCAAATGAGCAACATGAAGACCGGCGCATCATTACCTGCCCTTGCAAGGACGACGAATTCTCCACCAGCGGTACGCGCGTGCATGCGCGCATCAAGTTAGGTAATCTCTTTTCATTTGTCATGTGTAGGGAGTGGCAGCGCACGGCAGAGCTATCGATGACGACGACGATTTCACCATTGCCGTGACAAACCAGACTCGCCATGATCGATCGAAATGGACTCAGCTGTACAAGAAAAGCATCAACGACACATTTGTGCATGAGGTATGGGTTGATTCTTCTGGTGATCAAGGATTTTCATGCGTTCAAGAAGAATATCGGGCCATTACTGCAGAGGTTCGAAACGATCGGTACATGACACAAGAGATTGGCATACGATGAGATATGCCCCTTCAGATCCATTTCGTCGATCGAGGAAGCGCTTCACCGTCGGCGAGAATCTCCTACCGAAGTTGCAAAAGGAGAATCGGTTGCGTCGCGATGCCGTGCTCGCCTTGTCTCGGCCCCGCACTCACGGGCTGGAATTGTCCTGTGCGTGCCCCTTGGTTCCACACGTGACAGTGTTGCTCACTCGTTCAAATCTCAGTCATTAAAGAAGAAGGCGTCAGCGCAACCAAACTTGCCATTGCAAGGATTCCATTTGACAGAGACAAGTGGTCGCACAACGCCAGGTATGGCCATCGTTCGCTCGATATCGTTTCACCTATCCTTTGCGCAGATGCGAATACTGCTGCAAAGATGGCGGGGACTTGGCTTGCTCGTTGTACGTGCTGTGCTAACTTGCGTCCAACCTCACGGCGAGTGTAGATGCAATGTGCTTGCCCACACGACTTGTTACCTCAGTATACAGTTGTCGATTCCTCCTACAGGTCGTCATGTGCATGGTTAGCTGCGTGGAAAGAGATCAAGCAGCGGTATCCCACGAGTTTCAATAACGACTCCAAGTGGATATGCATCGCGTGCGAAGAGGACCTTCAAATGGTACGACGATGTCACATGGAGCCGCACTCAGGCACATGTGAAGGAGTATGACCAAGCCATCGCAGCCAAGCGGCACAGCGCCCTCAAGAGGAAAGAAACGTCCTGTGCCCTACTCATCTCAGGATACACCCGCATGGTGAAGGAAGCGAGACTGTTTACTCGAAAGCGCGAATGCGCCATTCGCATCCAAGCTCGCATTCGAGGTGGTGCACGGATTACCGTCACATGCATGACGAACGTGACTAGGGAAACTCGCCCGCAATGCATTTAACGAGATGCAGCGACTGCGAATTCGGCCGTACGTTGTGGAGCTGGTGCGGTTGCACGGGCTGGGGTTTGTTCACGGATCTCCCCCTTTGTCCTGTTTGACCCGTCGATAGCGGCAGCTGTGACGGCGACGCCACCGGGAGCGTGTGCCAGGACGATGATGGCGAAACACGTCTGCAGAACGGGTTTTTGTGCAACCCGTATATCGTGTTTCACATTGTCGAAGACCATGACGACGAAGCGCAGCGGTTTTGCTTTGAAAGCGAGATTCAGCGCGGATCGGACGATGTCACGTGGAACGAAGAGATTTTTGTGCCTGGCGTGAATGGCAACGTCACCATGTGCTTCACCGTGCTGAGCAAGAACGGCCCGAACAACTTTTTCTTGGGCCAAGGAGCGGTGCGACTGAACGGCACGGAAATTTGGCGCTACGGGGCCAACTTGGAGCTAAAGCTCAAATCCGAACTGGAGGTCGCGCATGTCCACGGCGTTGTGTTGACCCTGTTGGGCGTAGATAATTCCGCGCATTGGACACCACCAGCTCATGCGCATCCAAGACATCGGGTCGGTCGACAAAGAGCTCACGTTATCGATTCGAATTCGCCACTTTAGCGAGATCGGGTCGTACTGCGGATACATGCAATCGATCAACACGGTCGACAGTGTGAAAGGCAACAGTCGGTGGTGCGTCTTGGCCGACGGCACGTTCCGCATCTACCGGTGCGACTATTGCACAACGCATTGCCGTTGCTTGTGATCTCAACACCACTGTAGCCACTATGGGCTGACTTTGGCATTTGAAACCCTCAAGATGATGCACGCGAGCGAAGTTCAGCTCTTGCAAGGCTACAACCATCATCACAAGACTCTGACGAAGAAGCCCACGATCGTTTTCATTCAACACGAGCAGCGCACGTATCTCTTGACGGCCGAATGCAACAAAACGAACACCGTGTGGGTCAAGAAGCTCCAGATGGCGATGAAGCACAAGTACTAGGTGGAAGGTTGGGCGTTGGCTAGCTGTACTCCACGGCCATCTACAAAATCCAGTGGACATGCAGCACCACCCATTTCAACCGTTGCGAGATACCATTTTTTGGTGCAGTGCCGACTGGCGGCATGCCTCCGCGACGATCGTAGCATTTCGAGCGGCCTTCCACGTGACTTTTGGGACCTCGTTCGCGAGTACAACCTGAGCAAAATGACTGATCTCGATCTCGTATGCGTCGCGGAAGCGCTGGGGAAACGAGTGCAAGAAGGGATCTTCGTGGACTCCCGCTGCCGAGGAATGGCGCAGCGCAGTCTTGTGCAAGTTCTGTACCTCGAGCATGCCTTGTCGCCCAAACACTTCGATGCGCTGGTCGTAGCCGTAGCTGGCGTGGCGCGCCAGATCCATGGTGCAGACGACGCCCGATGGAAACTGCAGCCACACCGATGCTTTATCCATGACCTAAACACGTAAGAGACCACTTCGATAGAACTCGAGAAGGGGAGAAGTACATTGACTGCACGAAGGGCGGGATCGAGGCTGGTGCCAAAGGCCAGCACCAGCGTCGGGTACTCCTTCAGCACGTCGCAAACAAAGTCGATGTCGTGGACGGCAAGGTCGTGAAATGGGTCACCGCCAGACTTGAGGAACTCGATGGGTGGGCAAGGATGATCCCGGAATACTGTTTGAATCGACTGAACAGCGCCTATCGAGTTTGAAGTGATGGCGTCTCGAAGGGCTACATAGTGCGGGTCGAAGCGGCGCTGGAAGGAACAGAAGAGAGGCACGGATGTATCTTTGCAAACTAACACAGAGTGATTGAATCAAAGCAGGAGGTGCCATGACACGATGAGCACCTTGATATGCAGTATCGAGGTCGGCCAGGGTGCCTGCCACAGGTTTCTCGACAGCAATTGCTTTCCCGGCTTTGGCTGCCTGACGGATGAGGTCCAGATGCGTGAATGTTGGAGTAGAGATCCACACGGCAGACACCTATGCGTCATGGTGATGTCTGTGGCTTGAACTGTGAAAGCACCTTCGAATCCCTGAGTGCTTCCTCCAGTGTCTTGACTCCAGTTGCATTGAATTGCGCGGCCAATGTCTGTGCTTGCTCTAGGTTCTCGTCAATCACGTACGACACTTTCATCTTCGGGCTCGATTGGAGTCCTGCCAGGCGGATCTGCCCCATCCGTCCCGCGCCGACGACCGCGACGATCACAACCCCTGCCATGTTGAAATCTTTGACGTGGATCTAAATCATCCGGACGAAAAGCTGCTGGCAACAAAAAATGGGAGAAAATTCGTCATCTTTTCGGGCAACAATTAATTGCCTCGTTGGACAACGAGACACTGCAAAAATGGCAAGAAATATATGGTTGCAGCACCTCTCGGCGTCAACATCACCACAGCAATACGCTGGACGACGTCACTATGCATAGAACCTGGGAGCGTTAAAGTGCAGTCGTCACGACAGTGCGTGCGCTCAAGACCTTACGTATTGAAAGACCAAGGTCCCGCGATGAGGCAGCTCACAGCATGCCACCATGTCTGCAGCAGGTCGACAAGCTCGAGAAAATCATGCACGTGGCAATCCGATTGAGCTAACCAGCGAGAGAGAGCATCTAGGATGGAGGTGGTCAATGCCACTACATTCGCCCTCGTGGATTAAACTGCATCCGGCGCGAAGTTTTTTCGTGCCCGCGCGTTGACTGCGCTACGAACGACCTGAAGCCCCATGGAGTTTGCGAGGGAGGATTGGAAGCCCACGTATACTAATGTTTGATTGGATAAAAAACCCATTTATGCACCAATTATTCGCGACCATGCATCGATTGCTTGACCGGCAAAGTTCAAAAATGTCGACGGCACCGCCACGTAAAGCGCGCGGCCATCGGCAAAAAGGCGCTGGAACTGTCGCCGTGTCGCAAGGCGAGGTAGGCCGTGATGTAGACGTTTACAAGACACCTCATCTGTATGGCTTGCAGCAAGTTCGCCAAGGTGTCCTCTGCAAAGAATGGCAACGAACACCTGTACAACTGCTCCACGAGTACTGTCGCAACGTGAAGCGTCAACCCCCGCGATACCATGATGTGCACACGGACTCAGATCATGTATTCCGCGTGCGCTGTGTCTTGCCAGACGCCAAGACGAAAGACAAGGACCTGATCTTCTGTCCTGTACGACTTTCGTTTCGCCGCTCCGTCTTACCTTCCACCCCCTCAGGCTCAATCTGTTGATACAACACTTGACGACGCAAAGCACTGCGCAGCTCTCCTCGCGCTACTCTATCTTGAACCAACTCGGCCGCACGAACGAAAGCTTCCGGATCCTTATCGGGACATGTGGCTCGTTCTCCAAGACGAACAAAAACAGCCAGCCACGAAGCCTGCCAAAAGGACGAACGCATTATCTGTTGCGCCTGCTCCTGCGCCAACTGCAGACGAAGCGGATTCCGCTCGTACGTTGCATCATCTGATGTGACCAAGGTGGCTGACTCGTGAGTCAGAGGGCAAAGTGGTCGTGCTGACATCCGATCGAGCATTCGCATCCAAAGCAGAGTACTCCCAGTCCAAGGTCTTGACAGCAACTCCTTCAAGAGAATGATGTCAATGTAGTTGAGTGAGCGAGAAGAGCGCAATCGACGCCAGCGCGCTCGGGAGAATCGCGAACGCGCTAACATCCCCGTCCAGGTCCACCGGAGTCCATCGAACTATTTCCTGAAGAATGTGCAGGTCTTTATGAGCCAAAAAGCCCGCGAACTGGTCGAAAGCGTGCTGGATGATGTCGATAAGTCCCTCGAGCGTGTTGGCCATGTATCAATTGCAATCCCTGGGATCATTTCGCTTACATTAGCGGTGTAGGACAACCCTGAACGCCTCGCTGAGATCCAGGCGACGTTAACATCGATGGCATTCAAGCCCATGCACATTCAAGCGGTATTGGATCAATGTCCTGACTTGACGGATGACACGGCTGTACTGGACTGGCTGTGTCTACATGTCCCCGAGAATGAGCTACCAAAGTACAAATTAAGGGCTGGACTGAGGTCGCTGATATTTTGATGTTTATTTAGAGGATTCAACCCGAACGGTACGCAGCTCGAAGTCGTTGGTTACGGTGTCGTGTCCAAGGCAGCCAAGGCGTTGGAGGAGTCGGCCGGCTTTGATAGTGCCTTGCACAGCTCAATATTTGACACATTGGGATCGAGTGGCTACAGTCGCAACGATTGCTTGAAAGCTCTGGACGTCGTGAATGCAAATCACCCTGGTGCCTCCATCGGTAGGAGTCGAAGCAATTGCATGTTTTTAACTCTGATCCATGACATAGATATTGTCGAGCACGAAATGAAGCTGGAGCTGAGCCGTCAACTGCGCCGGGCTGTGTCCATTCCACTGAATGAAACTATCGAAAACCGACCAGCCGACGAACTGGACGAGGCCCTCGACGAGGAGCTCATGGTGATGGAATCCATTTACGATGACAAGTGTACCATGACCGTCTTGTCGCCAACAAAGAGTACACGAACGATTCGATGTGACGATCGTCCCAAACGAGCACGTTTCTAGCCCGCATGATTACGATTCAACTCATGGACGACAAGATCGAGCTTGTGTTTTACCTGCCGCCTGGGTCGCAGTATCCCTACGAGCTGCCTCATTTGTTCCTGCGTCGACTTGACTTGGACGATGTCGACGTGTTGGCGATCACGGGCCACCTCCTTGGTACTCTCTAGAGTTCCTATGTAGTTGGAGGGACTCAACGCACTCTAGACATGGCGTCTAAGCTGTGCGGAGGACCCACGATGTACGAACTGTCGTCGGCTGTGCAGGGTTTGGTACTCAAACCTCGCATGACGAAGCCTATCGAGTTGTTCCGCGAAGATGGCATTGCATCGACGGGCAGATCAGCAGTCGGTCGACACTCTCTCAAGTCTTCATTATAACCACGCACCTAGAAATCCACGGCAAAATCCTCAACGAAGAAAGCCAAGTCAAAGCCTCGAAAGGTCAACCGCAAAAACAATTCAACGGACGCCACGGCTATCCATGCGCTCTTGTACGAAAAATTCCAGCAAAAGCTACAGAACGGTACAGTTCCAATGAGTCTAGCATGCCTGACCAGCGTGAGTGGTATGCAGACAAGTACAAGACGATGCTGGCAGCGCGCTCCAAGTTGCCAGCGTTTCAAGAACGTGACACGATAGTTTCGTTGCTGCAATCGAATCAAGTAAATCAATCGTTTCGACACGCTATACGAGCTCATGGCGTGCAGGTGGTGCTCATCAGCGGGGCAACTGGTTGTGGCAAAACCACCCAAGTGCCACAGTTTCTGCTGGACCACTTCATTCCAAAGCAAGAGATCTGCAACATCATTTGCACGCAGCCTAGACGGTAATTTTCCATGCAGTGTCGCGTTTCCACGTTGGCCCGTGGATGATCACGCTTGGAATGATAGCCTAGCTGCGATTGGAGTAGCGACTCGTGTCGCACAGGAGCGATGCGAATCGATTGGCGAGTCCGTGGGGTACGCCATTCGCATGGAGACAAGGCGGAGCCAGGAAACGCGTCTGCTGTTCTGCACGACGGTGCTGCACCCTTCTTGAAGACGACATTGTGAACGACATGACAGGGGCTGTTGCTGCGTCGGTTGCTGGAAGACCCGTTGCTGGAAGGAGTCAGTCACGTCATTGTGGACGAAGTTCACGAACGCAATGTTGACACGGACTTTTTGCTGTCGATTCTAAGGTAAGTTTGTGTTTGGAGCGCGTCGAATTGAACTGTCGGAGTAGAGACGTACTGCGCCAACGGTCCGACCTTCGTTTGCTCCTCATGAGTGCCACCATGAACACGTCCCTGTTTGTCGAGTACTTCGGGTACGCCTCGTTCGCGTTCAGAGCCGTGGCTTCACGTCACAAGTAGAGCCACAACGCCGGTCCTCTCTATTCCTGGCTTTACATATCCCGTGACGTGCCACTACATCAAGCACGTGCTGGACGTGACTGAAACGATGGAAAAACAGTCGGACGATGCCATCAACTATCGGCTTGTCGTACGTCCAGGATCCCATGGGTTCACTTTGAAAACGGATCGAGCTGCAGGCATCTCTCGTGGAATACTTGGTCGGCACGAATGACAATGGCGGCGCGGGCGAAGGCGCGATCCTCATTTTTATGCCGGGTGTGCAAGAGATCAAAATGACCATCCGCGAGCTGCAGCAGTCGAAAGTGGCCTCATCACTCCTGGCCTACCCTTTGCATGGGGCCCTTCCTGGCCACGAGCAATGTACTGTTCGACATATCTCCAACATTCGTTGACTCATCCGGCCACCAGCTCGAGTGTTTGATTCCGCTCCAAAGTTCAAGACCAAGGTCATTGTCAGCACCAACGTGGCGGAAACGTCCATCACGATCGACGATATCGTGGTATGGCCATGCGGTCATTGGAAGAATACTTGGTTCATGTGAAGTGGTAGGTCGTGATTGATGCAGGCAAAGCGAAGGAAATGGCTTATGATGCCATCAATCGCCGCTCCATCTTGGCAGAACAGTGGGTGTCCCAAGCAGCGGCGGATCAACGCAAAGGTAGATCGTCGAAGAGCATGTCGATTCCTCCACAAGGGGCATAGGTCGTGCGGGGCGTGTGCGGCCGGGTGTGTGCTATCGACTCTTTTCCAACAAGCAATTCCAGAAGATGGCGCTCCAGCCGACACCTGAAATCCACCGCGTCAGTCTTGAACCGCTCTGTTTGCAGATCCAGGCGCTGGAGTTAGGCCCTGTCGAAACTTTTCTCGCCAACGTAAGCTGTCCCTTCATCCATCGACATTGTTTCGTATACTATACTAGGCGATTGAGCCGCCGTCGTCGGAAGCAATCGAGTCAGCCATCGAAGGATTGATCGAAATGGGTGCAATGTCCAAAGATGCCGACGAACAAGTACAGCTCACTCCATTGGGCGCCCACTTAGCCCGGTACTTTGGTTGCCCAGTCACACAACATTCCCTAACACATGCTAGATTGCCCATGGATGCTCGAATGGGCAAAGTCGTCGTGTTTGGCTGTATCTTGCGTTGTATCGATCCCATTGTTACGATTGCAGGTAATCCGTTTGCCAACTCGATTCAGTGACGTCACCCAGGTCGTTCTAGCGGCATTGAGCTCCAAGTCGCCGTTTGTGTCTTCGCCAGACGACCGCAGCAAGGGCGATGCGTTGAAGCGCCAGTGGAGCGAGCAAGTCCCGACGTCGGATCAATTTTTGCTTTGGAACGTCGTCAAGGCGTTTTCAAGTCTCAGCAAGAACGTGCGACGAGCGTACGTCCGCGAGATCATAGAGTGGATTTATGTCTAAATGGCTCTGTGTGTAGGTATTGCAAAGACAATTGCTTGTCGTACGAGACCATGATGACCATCCTGGAATTGCGCCAGCAGTACCTAGAGCACTGCCAAGTGCTGGGGTTCTACGACCCAGCCAATGCCGCTCCGTTCAACCAGCATTCGACCAACCCGAAAGTGATTAAAGCGGCACTCACGGCAGGTCTCTACGGCAACGTGCTTCAAGTCGTGTACCCCGAACAAAAGTATTACGAGTCCGCCAACGGCGTGTTGGCCGCGGCCCACGATGCCAAAGCGATTCAATTCTTCATTCGTAAGCTGGACAAGACAAAGGAGCGGGTGTTCCTCCACCCGACCTCCCTCAACTTTACTCGGGTGCAATTTATCTCGTCAAATGTTCGACTGACGAGGTATGGTAGACTCAATTCGAATCGCCGTGGCTCGTGTACAATGAACTCGTCCAAACATCCAAGATCTTTGTTCGGGAATGCACCATGGTCGCGCCGTACGCGTTGCTCCTGTTTGGAGGGCAGTTGACTGTCCAGCACGAAAAGGTCAGTGAATTGAACAAGGCACTTCGAGCCTCATGATATTTCAAGGGTCTTCTTCTCGTCGACAACTGGATTAAGTTTCACGCAGTGGCTCGCATCGGTGTGCTCGTCAAGGCATTGCGCCACCAACTGGACCATCTTTTGGCTGTCAAGGTGACGAATCCGACATTGGATCTCTCGTCCAGGTACAATATTGCAAGACCAAGCGTATTCTGGTGACTCGTTTTAATTGAGTTTGAATCGTAGCCATCTCATCGACGCCATTTGCGACCTCTTGATCACGGAAGGAATGTAATATTGCATGCAGCAGTGTCATTGGAGAGTTGAAGGTGCACATCGCACGGTCGACATCAGTCCGAGTCCCCTTCGTGATACGTGCCAGCCAAGATCTTGTCTTCTTTCACTCTAGACAAGCCAAGATGTGATGGCTCAATCACTACATCGTCGTACTTTTGGTTGTTGGCACTCGAGTTGTCGTTCGAGAGGTTGTCGTTCGCAGACATGACTTCGATCGTTCGTTTCGTGGGTTTGGCCACCACAGGGCGGTACGATGGCGTCGGTGCAACGTACAGCGGGTCCTACATCATCATCGCATGATGAGCTATCAAGAAGATCGAGGGATTGCCCACCACGGAGGCCGCCGACTCGACGCGGGGAGGGGCCAAATATGGGTTGGGCAAGTCGGACCGGTTTACATGGGGCTTCCACACAGGCTCAACGAACACAGTAGCTAATGCGAGTGTAAAGAACGACTTCATGTCAAGGAACATACGTGCTGCAACGACGTTGCCTTGGCCCTCAGCCAAGTTGTGGAGCGACGTTTGCACCTGCGACAATCATGTCATGAAGATCGCTTGGCGTGCTCTTACTTCGCTCTTTTGATGCAGGAGATCGAGGCGTATCCGCTTCGGGTCGAGCTCCTTGGACACGACGACATGGCTCTGCTGCGAGTACGAATGTTTGAACGGCAGGGGCGGTGCGAATGATGGAGCGTACGCAGGCTTGTCCGAGTCCCGTTGACCAATCTATGATGGGAAGGCAAATAGTTGGGGCGGAGTGAGTCGGAGACCTGTCTACCTCTTCAAAGGAATCGTCAGACTTGCGCTTCTTGGACGGCGCGGGAAACTTGGGAACCTCTCGAGGAAACGCGAGCTTCCCTTCGTATCGATGTTGGGACTCCTGGAAGGCCTTGATCATATCGTCCAACCCAACAGGGTACGGAACCATGTCCTTCAATGCCAACGACACGTCTGTGCCCCGTGGCTTTGCACGACCAGCGACTTCGGCCAGCTCCTGCGCGGCCTTCCCAATTTTTTGGATATACGCGGCCATGATGTCTACCAATGCAGTCGTAGCACTCGGCTGGACATACTCAAAGCCAGCGCCTTTCGCTAAGATGTTCGTCACGGCCATTTGGCTTATGGCGTGCGCGAATTGCCGCGCGGACTTGCCGGTTCCGTCGTGCAGTTCGTCGGCCATGTTCCCAACTCTGTGTGGTGCGACACTTATGCGTTATCCGGATATATCCGGAATAATTCAAACGAGAGCGATCAAGGCACATGGACAACCTGGTGCTAGGAGACTGCGGTGGGATGATGGCATTACGCTGTCGCTACAACCCGATCCAGTACGAGCGGCCGTTGGGGTTATGGATCGGCCCCCACGTATCGTTGACAGCCACCGCCCATTCGTACCAGACCTTCCCTCCTCCCACTTGACGCCAGAAACACACCTCGATCTTGTCGTGCTGACGAACCAAGAGAGGTGTCCGCAGAGGGAAGAAGATGGGAAACCACGAGAACATCCCAGGGCTCAAGTCCAACGTCTCCGGGTTGATGCTAATGCACGTATCGGCGTACAGGACGCTGTCAAAGTATCCCGCCAGGCCATGGACAACACCGTCTTCGATCGCGTTAAACGTCATCTGGTGGTACCTAATCCGCCAAGTTGGGTTCCCGAATTGCGTTCACCAGGTCGGTGCATACCGCTTATTGTCGATGACAGCATTCAAGTTGGGGTGCTCAAAAGTAAAGCAAGGCTGGGGACGGGCGAAAGAAAAGATTTGATGGAGTCGCACGACGTAGGGAGTCTCGTAGCCCTTGAGGACGTTCGCATCGGCGCCTTTCACTTCGTTCCAAAGTTTGGACGACGAAATCGGGCTCACAAAAGACGTGTACTTGCACGGAATGCTGACTCCGCCCTCTGAATCACGTCAGCACTCTGTTCACGTCATGCGGAACGGATACCTCGCAGGAACGACTGCGCCCCGTCCAAACACTCGGGTGACAGTTCATTGTCGCCGAAGGATCCGAGCAGCTCGCTCACCATGATGTCAGCAGGTTCGGGTGCCTTCCACACGCGCATGTCGGACGATACAATCGTGACGTTATCCCATTTTTCCGATACTTTCATGTTGCGCAACCTGCGCACACGATGGAATGTCACGATGACGAGGTCAAACGGGGCACACGACATACGTGATCACTGCGTTCGGGTTCTTCTCAACGGCAAACATCCGAATCGTCCGTGCTGCTTTCTTTGCGGCTCTCAATGCGCACCGCACCAGCGGCCCTCGTCCGGCACCAACCTGAAGAAAGCATAATGTTGTGTCGGAAATGTCATCGTGACATACCACCATGACAACCGATTCCTTGGCTTCTGGCGTGTCAGCCAACGCTTGAGTGATGGCCACTTCGTAGCGCTCGTATTTGACGGGATCTTGCTCGAATGTTTCGTACGTTTGAGACTCCAAGTTGTCCATGAGCGGTTGCAGCGGCGCTTGGAGGTAGTCGAGGTACGGCGCCTCGAAGGCGGCCTTGGCGTCAGGGCTATGGATGCTTGGTGAGGAAGAGATCGATACACTAGCGAACGTTACCACGATGATCGAGTCGAGTAGAGATGGTCCAAGTACTGAACGTAGGGTAGGTAGCGACCGTGGTGGTATGGTCGGCCCTTGAGAAAGTATCGAATACGAGCATGCTGGGTGGGGTGTGAAGAAAAGGCCAGGTACGGCACAAGCACGTGCCTGAAAGAGTTGGAGAAAGAACCTCTGGTGCTGCTTCGACAAGGTCGGGTACCCGCTCTTGTTGGTCAGGAAGATGTTTGTCGGTATGTACACAGCCTAGAGATGGGCAGGTGTCGTCGTGTGCGCTGTTGTGTTGCCACGTACGGCAATGGGTTCTCCCAGCCAACGAGCGAGGACGGTGCGGTCGGGTAGGTCGGCTGTCACTTCGAGCGCAACCAAGATCCTGGGATTGAAGTCGCTCATCGTGCGCAAAGCATTCCATGCCTATGCCAACTCCATGACATTTCTTCATCCAAGTGGATGGACCAGATGTGATCCCATGTCAAGGAAAATCGAACGCACAAACCTTCCACGAGTCGTTGCCTTCGTCCGAGGGCTGCATGGGGACGTACAGAGGCACGAGGACCCAGAACTACGACGTGGCGTTGTATCACACACACCTGACGCGGTTGAAATAACGTACAAGCAGACCACTTTGCGCTTGCGATGCAGCTTGGTTGAGAATGCGCGCGTAGTTGGTGTTCGACCGCGCAGAATGCAGTGCAGGGGTGACCACGGCAGTCAGCGACAAGTGGGATGCCCATGCAAGTTCTTGTTTGAACACAGCTTCGGCAGTCCATCGCACATGATCACAGATCGAGTCCAGGTCAATCCACTTGGACACGTTTCCGATCACAGACGACGTCCATCCTCGCGAGTCCAGGACCAAATCCGACCGCGTTTGCGGACCGTCGCGGGAGTCCGACACACCGTTCGCGTCGCGGCGAAAGCGTGGATGGAACAGAGGCGCTGCGATAAGGGTGATGCGCTCTTCGTAGAGCTACGAGAGATATAGGAAGACGAGCCCAGGAGAATAGCGAAGCCAGTCACCTTATCGAGCTTCGAAGGCAAGTCTTGGCAGAACGACGTCTCGAGCCCGACGATCAACGATGTGGTCATTGCGTTTGGGTGGTCAAGTTCCGCTGCCTCATGTCATCCGGACAGTGCTTCAGAAAAGGAAGTGCTTTTATTGGCTATAATGGCATGCATCATGATGCTTGATTGGTTCAATTATAAAAGTCTGAGTCCAATGAATGATACCATTGTTGAATAATTTCACGTTTTAAACCAATCCAAATAGCGACGGTTTCATCCAAAAACGAACACAACTCGATCGCTCGCGACGGCGGCGTGGCGACTGTGTCCAGGTAGTATGCATGCTCAGGGTGTTTTTGAGCGAGTGTCTCATGCACATTCAGTCCTCTGTAATCGCACGAATGGCCATGCCACACAGTCCGAATGAAGTTTACCTCAATGCCACACGCGTCGATCCAGGTTCAGTGGGGGACGACAGCCTCCATCGTTCTTATTAGCATCGACAAAGGCAAGTGCATCCATGTGGCGCCCAACGGAGTCGGCAGATGCCGACTGTTTAGTGCGTCATGTGGTCCAAACGGCGGTGGGTCGTGAAACTGTCGTGGAAACGGACGAGTGGGGCACCATCTTGGTGCGCATCAACGCGCCACCGCTCGACAAATGCCAGTCCCGTCATTCCTGCATCCGCCTGGGCGAGTGCACAGCAGCATGACGACCACAACCCATCTCACCCATGCTTCCACCAACAACCCGTCGATCCTGACCGAAGAAGACATGTGGACCATCGATACGATCTTGGGCACCGAAGACCTTCTCACCCTGGATGACGATATCCAGAAAGACTTGGACTTCTTGTCCGCATCCCCCGCAATCGCTCCATCTATCCTTCCGTTGACTATCCTCACCACCCCGGATGCGCTCATGAACCATGCGTTTGCGACAGAAGAATGCTTCTCACCGCAGCCTCGGCAGCGTCCTCGGTATTTTGTAGCGGGGAGCATGAAAACCTTCTCACAAATCTCTTTGTAGCCACTCGCTGGACATGATGACGCTGGAGACAATGCCTATGGACGTACTCACGTTTGTGGACCAGCCCAGCAAACGCAAGAGCTTGGTGTCGGCGATGGTACTGCCCGTCATGAAGGCGCACCCGTCGATTCCAATCCCTCCTCGGATCAACACGACTCACATGAGCAACCAGAATCCCCTAAGTCCGACAAAATCGCCCAAAAAGTGTAAGCAGTGTATGGCTCCAGGGTGCACCCGTCGGGCGCAGTCGAACAACCGGTGTAAATCTCATGGTGGCGGCGCGCGGTGCACCGTCGCTGGTTGCGGCAAGAGCTCTCAGGGCGGTGGTCTATGCCGTGCACACGGGGGTGGAAAGAAGTGCAAGTTTCCAGGGTGCACGAAGGGCACCCAGCGTCTCGGTCTTTGCTATCTCCACGGTGGTATACGCCGATGCACGTTCTCAGGGTGTGTCAAGAAAGATCGCGGGAACGGGTTCTGCATCAGTCATGGTGGCGGAAAGAAGTGCTCGGCTCCAAAGTGCACCATGCCGGTGACGAAAGGCACGACGTGCATGAAACACGCGCCGCCACCGCCGCCCGTCGTCAAGATGGAGCCCATGCCGCCAGTGGTGCCCATGGGGTCGTTCATCGGCCGCGCGATCGCAATGCCTTGATCGGTTACTTCACCAAAATCGTTTAAGTTATATACACACGACAGTTTCATTTCGAAACCGATCAGGTCCATTTCGGAGAAGGGTTGATGCATGGCGATGCATCTACTCGAGAGCGCCCACCGCATCGAAGAGCTTCTGAGCGACGACGACAGCGGCAGCGATGCCGAGGACAAGCGATCCAACACCGCAAAAAGGATCAGGTGCGTTCGAAGGATCGTCCAGTTCACGCACGTCACCGAGAGTGTTCCCAGCGCCAACTTCAACGGCATCAATCGACACAAACAAGAAATGCAAGTGCTCGTAGCATTCGTCTTCAACGGCCCTCGGAGCTAACGCGCGTCGTCTGCGTATAGGAGACCATCGATAGCTGCCTCGGCACCGCCGTACGACGTCCTCGTCCGCACTTCAGACGACGACCGATCGCGTTGCGTAGGTCCAAGGCCGCTGTCGAGAAGGTCTTCTTCGCCGACGTCAAGCCGTTTGTGCTCGATGGAAGCGACATGTATTTATTGCAGAGGCAGTCGATCATCCGCGCGACTTACGTGCTATTAGGGAACTACTGCCACAGGACACGAGTGTTCCTGCGTTCAAGCATGTCCATGCGCAAATGTCGGTCACGACGTGCTCCATCGAATCGTCATTTCATGCATCTTTCGTCAGATTCGGCCGCAACAACAACGCCAAGCCGACGGACCCTCCGCCCCTGCCAGCATTGGCCGCCGTTCTGCCCCCCGTGTCGCCAGTCGTCCTGTCTACACAGTCATCGAGCACTCGCCCCATGTCGAGCAGTTCCATGCGGCGGCACCAACCCAAGGGATCGTGGGAGGTGCCCGAGCCCCTCACTGCCACAGGTGCGCGCTGCCCTTCGCCTATCACAACATGTCCATCGTGTTCGATCGCGTGTAGCGGATGAAGTGACAACGATTGAGGACTTCAGCTGATAAGTAACAAACGTTTCCGAGTTCGTCCAGCTTCGCCAAGGCGGCAGCAGTTGGTGGCGACGTGCGATACTCGCATCATGCGCCTGGCACTGCCATTGAGTTGGCCGGCGACGCGGGAGTCACACGTGGAATCGCAAGGGGGTTATCAAACACTGAATAAGTTACTTGGAACAGTCACGACATGAACAACGAAGTAGCACACGAGGACGCAGCTAATGACGACGAAGGGAGCGGAGGATTTGCGCAGAAAAGGTACGACGGCGACACTGGATGGGGAACGTAGTTCCCAAACGAGTCGGGCAGGGAAGTCTACAGACAACCGTCATGCCAGACAATGTGGCGCACGTGACGTACCAACGGCATGGCGTTCGGATCGTGGAGAAAGGTCGATGACACGAGGTCCATGTCGTCGTTGGTCCATCCAGAGGACGTCGACGAAGTCGAGGACGACGAGGTTGGACAGTTCTTGTAGTAGATGTCGTTGTCGTGCTGGTTGTTTTCCATCATGTCGTCGTCGAGGGGGAATTCGGCGTACAGGGGAGGCGAAGTCGGCGCCGAGTCTTCCGGGGACATGCTCATCATGACGTCGTTCTTGGCGCAGTCATCGACGAGGGACTGCAACACACTCAAGTCGGTGGCGGCGTTGTTGTTGGACGACATGTCGGCTTCATCCTTTGTGTTTCCCGTGCCTTCCCAATCCAGCGAGTTCAACATGCTCATGCACTCTTTTCCGCGGTACGGCTCCGCTGACTGTACGTTTCCATGAGCATGAAAACCATGGATCGCCCAAGGGTACCTGCGGGAGGTATGTACAATGCGGGGATAAATGGAGCACCTCCACGGCGGGCACAAATCCCCGAGGGGTAGTGAACACACCTCGCTCCGGAGTCTCTGGTGGAGATGACATCGACTGCGACCGCTTGGTTTTGCCTACAGCGCAAGCATACATGAGGACCGCGGTTGTCGCAGGCAAGTGTGCCGCACCTTTGAGAGACTTGGATTTGGAAGCGCGAGCACTGTGCGGAGTCACCATCGTGGACTTCTTGCGCGGCCAACGCGGGGTGTCACAATGTTGGATGCACCCATCCGACGGCATCGAGTTGGATCGCATGCGAAGCTTCTCCATGCCGTGGAACAGATCGAGTGCTGCATGGCAAAGGTCAATTCGACACGCATTCCGCTTCCATGACCTACATTCGTGAACAAACCCTGCTGGCGCCGAGCTGTATGCGGACATGTCGAGCATGAAGTTGACGGCGGGACGGATGGCGACGTTGTTGCAGTTGAAATAGGTCGAAACGACTATTGAGATCGGAGGGGTATGTGAGTGTGGCGTCCAGGGGCGGAGGCGAACCTCGGTCGCGATGGGACAGCGTGAGACTGCGATGCTTGAGACGCATGTGCTGCGTGAGACTTCCTTCCGAGCCGTATGCTTTCTTGCATCCTGCGTAGGAGCAGACGTACTTGCGGTCAATTTGGGCGGCGGTGCGGCGCCTGCGCTTTTTTTTCTCGCACGACATTTCTTCGTCACCTGCGGGTCCGTTCAGAAGAAACAATCTGTGGAAACAACGCGTTCACACACCGAGATGTAGGCCATCATCGTCGTGCACGCTGCAAGATGTAGGTGTGGGGGGTTCGTCGTCGCGACTCATCAGGGTGGAGCATTCGCTCGTCGCCGTGTCGGTGTCGATTTGGATTTGGAGCTGCGACCGCCATCATCGAGTCAGTTTCGCCGAGTTGCAGCTGTCTCGACTCCTACCTTTTGGTGAACCTTGAAGCGCGCGAGCTTCTCCGTGGCCGCCACCACATGCATGTTGTCTACGAGGTAGACTTGGCCGCTCATGATGGGATGTGTCGCGGCAGTCGATTGCAGAAGCGGGCGACTCGGCACTCTTGCCTTCGCCGATATCTTTCAAGTGTACCGTAGTATTCGGTCGCACCCCCCGAAAACCAACTTTTTCGAGAAAAACACGGAAAATTGACCCCAAAATACATGAAATGTCGACGAATTTCGAAAAATTGGGCCAAAATAACCCCCACGCCAGAAACGTCTGTGTATCGCATAGGTTGCATTTTTATAAGTTTTCACACAAATACCAAGTGAATACAATCAACTCGCCGGGGAATCGTGACCCATACAAATTCCAAGATATTCCAACGGCCCGACACCTTGCTACTTCAACCCGTGTTATCTGCCATCAATCTGATCGTGCTGTGCTGCCAGCGGTACTTTCTTGCCACGGGCAGCGACCTTCGCGGCTCGGCCCATGATACTTCGAGCTGGACGTGTTCGACCTTACTGGCCTGACGAAAAGAGAGGATAGCCCGCATAGCTGCCAGGGAGAGCCGCGCGATCCTGTGCCCGCTGCCACCATGGGGTGGAGGCCCAGCATGACGCGTCCGTACGCATACAGGGTGGGACCGGCAACAGGTGCCCGCGCTGAATGGTTCCAACAGCCGTGGGTGCGTGCGGTGATGGGAAGCAGGCGTCTGTGTCTTCGCACGAGCTGCTCCGCCTGGCGCAAGCGGAGCAAGCGGGAGCCTCGAGTAGCTTGGCATGGCGTGTGCGATGAGGAACGATTATCCGGATGTGTCTGGATAAGGAACTGGGAGCGAAGATTCCAACATGGCCACAGTGCAAGATGGCGTCGTGGGTGCGATGGAGGAACGCGTCGCGGACTTGTCGAGAGAGCTCCTGGCAAGGGACGAGCTGATCGTGCACCTGCAAGCGGAGAAGAGGGAGTTGCAGAGGTGGGCGGAGCGACTGCACCATCAACTCCACTCGACAGAGAACGTCACGTTCGCCGAAGCAAACAACAACGAAGTCGCCAACCTCGAGAGGGAGGTGACAGCCGCGCATGACAAACTCAAGACGTTGTCAGCACAGGTTTTGACGCAGAAGGATGAGATTTCCCGGCTGTATCGCCAAGTTTACGAGAAGGAAGGAGAAAATCAAGAGTTAGTGAGCCAGCTCCAGACACTGCGAAATGCACTCGCTGAGTTGCAGTGCCAAGCAGCGCCCGAACCACCGTCGGTCGAGCCCCAGAAGAGGTCTCCCAACGAATGGGTCGAAGACACGGCAAGGTACCCAAAGCCCCACTTTCCCATCGACTCGAAGGAAGTGCTCTACTTGGTCGGGCAATGGACCCAGAATCCGTCGAAAATCAAGTCGCTCATGACGTGGCTTGTGCACATGAGCAGTCTCGATGATACCGAATCAGATGGACCGTTCGACGGAAGAGGCAATGCTCCATCTCCGACGTTGCCTCTCGCCATCGAGCTTCCGCGCCTGCCCAACGAAGTCCGCGACGGATTCCTCACACTGGTTGTGCCTCTGTTGCGGCATCAGATGACTCGCGCCGTGCACGTGCACACCCGGCCGTACGACGCCAACCACACGGACCTTCGCATACGCGTGTCGCCAAAGGGATCGACGTAGCATTGAGCTTTAGCTTTTTCATCTTTGTGCACTATCGAACGACTAACTCTGCCAGAGCTGCAGACGGTCGCTTATGACGCGTCCAGGCCAGGACTAGGAGGGGGCTTATCCATGAGGTCACGGCTCCATGAAGGGGGCTCGAAGACAGGCACTTACTGCTGAAACGACGTCGAGAGCTGGGCCGAGTCAAAGTTGAGGTGGATCGTCGAAATCTTGCCGTCGGTCAGCTCCACAATGTCACACGACTCCTCCAGCACAACTTCACTGTTGTGGACTATACGGAGGGTGACGGCCGTCATGACGACGACGGTGCTTTCGTCCTCGTCTGCCACGACGCGCAGCACGCGGCCCTTGAGTCGCTCCACCGTTTCTTCTCGGACTTTGCAAAACTGGAGAAAGCCTTGGAAGCCGTGGTATTCGCCCCAGTACGGCACAGTCGACGGCAGGTTGGAGCTCAGGACGACGTTGGGATGCACGTACTGCCCATGCACGCCCCGGTCATGTTGACCGAAATGACAAGATCGAAGGACAGGATAACGTACCTGGCAGAGGGCATCGCCAGTGAGGAGCGGCGGCGATCGACTCGGGTCATTAAACTCCAAGTCGTCTCCAAATAACAACGCGTACAGACCCAACACAATAGCTCTCATCTGTTTGGACGACAGGCGGCCTTCGCCTCCCGTCGGAAACAGGATCTACAGCAGCATCACCGATCGGTGAGACTTGCAGTGTCGAGGGACCAACCGCACGGACCTCGTGGGCAGATTTGGGCGAGAACGGAATGCCTGTGATGGCCGAGAGGAGCTCTTGCAGCCACGTGACTTTGGTCTCTTTCGAATCGACCAACACCCAAAAGATGCCGTGGCCTTGCGTGTTGAAATGGAACGCGTGCACTTCGTGCTTGCCCGTCACGCGGATCGGAATCCCTTCAGAGACACTGGTCGGCACCACAACACCCTTGACAAGCGTTCGATGCTTGGCTTGCGTCTCTGAAATGTAATAACTCAACGTCGACACGTCCGGGCCGCGCTCCAGCACAAAGTAGTATCTGCGCCACGTGTCATCGCCCAGGAAAGGATTCGTTGCCGTACCGCTCCCACACGTGCCGCTTGCCCACACCAGGCATCCCGCTCTTGAACATGTAGCCACTCGTTGTCACAACATTGTCTTTGGTCGTGACGTGGACGCCGCCGTCATGCACGGCACACTTGGTCACGTCGTCTCCGAGTGACGTGTCGAGCACAAGCAGCGACTGGTTGTCGGGAGAGCCTTTCTTCGGCAACATGCTGATCTCAAATGTCAAAGGGGACCTTGTCAAATGAACGAAACAGTACCTCGGGCGCTTGGGACCACTCGATTCGCTTGGGGACGACGGCATCGATTGGCTTGGCGTCGTGGGCGTCATGCGTTGCTTGAGTTTGCTCAGCATGCTGTTGCCAAATCCAAATAACGTGGACGATGACCCTGCGCCAAGACAGTCCATGGGCGCGCGACAACTCGATGAAAGGCGCATACCGTTGTTGATATTGGGCTTGGTCGACGGGTTTGGTGTAGCTGTCGTTTCAGGCGGGGCAGTCGTCGTCAAGTTCATGATGTTGATTAGAGATCGTCGCGACGATGTCTTGACCGTGTTGACGTTGCGCATGACCGACGCGGCGGGGGACGAGAGGACGCTGCGGAGGTACGCCGACTTGGGCAGCGAGAGTCGACGGGCAGGCTTGGGGGTACCCGATTCCTTCGACTGGTCTTCCGTCGGTGGATCAGTCGGGTGGTCGCCGACTTCGCAACTTGCCGCAGAAGATTGCTCGGTCGTTTCGTGGACTGGCGCGGTCGACGCCGCAGCGTCAACAGCATCCGATAACCCGAGGTTGCGTTTGGTTTCGCAGTTGAGCGCATGCCACGCCGCGTGCGCAATGGCCCGTTCAACTACGACGGCTTGGCTGGGCGAAGGGCATTCGCTCACGAGCATGACCAGCATCGTGTCGTTGAGGACTTTGAAGTACGCTTTGCTGCGGTGCTGCTTCTTATAGACGTCGACAATCGTTTGGAGGAGATCGATGGATTCGCCGAAAATGCCTCGCACGAGGACACACGATCCAGACCTTGTCTGTGACTTGTCCGTGATGACAAACAGCAGCGCCGACACGACGTGGATGAGGAGCATGTCTGCGTCAGGCTTGGCTTGAAGGAGATTCAAGTACTTGGGTAACACGCCAGCTTGCACCAACAGCGAGTCGACTTCGGGGTCTTGGAGAGTCACCAGCCTACGTGACGAGGTCAGATCGCATCCCAAGAGATTCGGTCGTCGCACCGGTACAAGTGCTTGGCGATAGCGATGTCGACGGAAGTTGGGACATTCGTTTGAGTGAAGAAGTGGTTTACATATGCCGTCGTGGTGGCCCTCGCGAGCTTCTTCATGTTCGGCCACAGACTTGTCTCGGCTTCCTTCAACCCAGAGAGCTCGTACATGACAGCAGGGTTGCCGTTGGCCGGCGGGGCCACGTGACCACCGTCTTCGTCATCTTCCAGATCGTCCGAGCCGTCGGACTGCGCTTTTTTCGGATTCAGTTCCGCCGCGCGCTTGTAGCGACAGTAGATCCGCAGCAGTTCCGACACGACGTGGATGTTGAGCACTAGGCAGACCAAGGATGAGGCTCCGACTGGCCTGCCGCTTTTTCTTACTGCACGGAGCGACAATGGTCGATGGCCACACTGGCACTTGGGCAAGCTGTTCAATGGAACCGGCAAATAGTTGATCCATCAGCTTCGGTTCCTTCCCGAATTCCTCGAGAAGCATGAACTGAAGAAAGTTGTGGTAGCCTTCCGTCACTGCTTCGATGCCTCGGATTGTGCCAAATTGATCGCGCTACAAACACATTCGCTGCATGAGCCATCCGATCGCGCGAGTAGGAAAAGCCGTTGGTCTACGTACGACAAAGTACTTTGCAAGAAACTGGTTGTCCTCGCGACGTAGGAACGAACCGAGGCGGTCGGCTTGGTTTGCCTGCAGCATTTCCACCAGCAGACGGCACGCATTTTCCCTAGCGGCAAGGAGGTTGCCCACGGCAGGGGATGCTAAGTCCACGGGAAGGGTTGCGGCTTGGATCAAGAGCGGCGCGACAGCTTCCATGGCATCGTGCACACCAGTGAGGGGATGGATGCTCTCGTACGATTGCAATAGCTAGACCAAACCGTGCATGAGTACGAGATGGCAGTTTGGAGAGGACAAGTACCTTGAGCAAGAGATGCTTGATCGTCGGCATGTACAAGTGCTTGAGAAGCGCGGGAACGTAAGCTTCAAGCACGACCTGGACGTAGCCATCTTCGAGGCAGTATGCGTCATGCAATCGAATAAACGCCTTGCAGTAGAACGCGGCTTGGACTTCGTCGATTGTGTCGTTTTCCGTGAAATAGATGAAGAAGAGGCGCCACAACTCGAGCTCATCTTGCGTTTGGCAGCCAAACGTGAGCTCCTCGTTGACGGCGGCCGACCCCGACGAGCTCGACGACATGCGAAACGACTCGTACAGGTCGTCCTCTCCCGTGTACACCCGCATGATGATTTCAGAACACACAAACACGTGCTTGTAGTACCCATACTCCTCGTCCACCTTCGCGGACACGAATGCCTGGAGCGGAGCCTTTTCGTGTGAGACAGTAGTCACCTTGGGTGTCAGCGGTGGAGGTATCGAATCTAGAACGGAACATGATCACATCATGGGGGATGGAAGATCCAATTGTGTATACCTTCACCTGCAGGACTTTGGCTGACCTCGTCCTCGTCGGCAAGCGGGTCGGACGATGCCCCAGAGCCGTCGTCGACTACATCATGAATGCACTGAATGGAAGCGGAACGATGAAGAATAGAGGTACGCGAGGTGGTCGAAGTTTGTGCACTCGTTTCGTAAGGCTCCTCCGCAGCAGCAGGTTCGTCTGTGCACAGCAACTCAGAAGGACGTGACGGCGCGACGACGGTACCAAGGGGTTCCTTGATCGAGGGCTCAGCGATGATGGACGGAGCAAGCACCACGCCATTCGAGGGGGTGTGAATGAGCACAGGGGTCGAGAACACTCGCAGTACTTCCTTCACGACGTCGTACTGAAGTAGCCACGTTCGCAGGCCGCTGTCCGTTTCTTCCAGCGTGTCAAAGATAATCTCAACCTCGAGGTTCAGGAGGTGTTGGAAAGCCTTGCGCTTATCCTCCATCGCAATCAGTGTCATCACTTCGCTTTGAAATTCGCTGGGCGCTTCGCCTTCGCAGTCCGAATGGCTGCTTGTGGTGCTGTTGCGTCTGTTTCGACCGTTCTTGTCCATGAATCGCGACAAGCTGCCCGATCGACCCGAGCGGTTGGACGCAGAGCTGCTACTGTCTACATCTTCCATGACCTACACACAGACATGGTCAACACCCGTCCGAGTCCGCGGCGGGGTGACCTCTTGCCGTCGTGACGATGCAAGTGGCAGAAGCAATGTGCAAGAGGCCTGCTCGCGGTCGGCGCAATACCGTATCTGATCGAGCAGAATTTGATGTATACAAACATCAAGTGAAATTCCCTCTCGAATATGTCACCTCGTTGTGGTCGTATGGCGGAATACTTGCCCTTCCATACAAAAGCAAGCTAAATGCAGCTTACATCATATGTCGTGTGGTCGTGAAAAGTGTCGGCGCATCTCCACCTTCTGGCGTCAATGAAAAACATCCTGGCTTCACTATACTGGGGATTGCTCGGGTAACAGCCGGACAATTCTGGAGATGGATTTGTGTTGAAAGGCCATCCTATGGCGCTGCAGTACATACTGCTGCATGCGTTGAGTAGCGGTCGGAGACGCCCCGAAATGGTGACGACCGAGCCGTGGGCTTGTCGAGAGGGTGTCGAGGAACGATCGGAGAGTGGGGCCCACAAGTGTTGCAACACACCCCGGTATTGGAATATACGGATACTCCTGGCATTATCCGGATATCCCCGGGGACTGACTACAGGCGAAATCGACGGACGGGTGGGTAGAAGGATGGCCGTCCCGAGGGGGGTGTCCAAAGCAAACGAAGATCTGTGGAGCAAGTTCATCCGTCTCGAGTCCAAGCACGGCGCGTACTACCAAGTCCAGTGCAAGGCCTGTGCGGAGCATGCTCACATGCACGGCACCGAGGCTGCCATCCTGCAAGGACGTATAGAACGCATGAAAACCCACTTGACCAAGTGTCTGCACACCCTACCTGCTCAATCGCTTGGGGACGACGACGTGAGACTCAAGCGAGTCAGGCAACATGCATCAAGCGAAGGATTCGACGGACGAAGGGACTTTGACGAGAAACGGTTCAAGGGCACCGATGGCGAGTACCGGTCCATGCTGGTGTCAAAGCACATTGACACAGAGCGCCTCCGCAAGCTGGAGGAAAACCGCGAACAACTTGAGCAGCAATTGCTGCTGGAAAAGATCAAGCGCGAGAAGATCAACGCAATAAAGGAGGATCAACAATGCAAAGTTGAGCTGCTGCTTTCGCGACAAACACTGCGGGAGAAGGGAGTGCCACAAGACGAGATTGACCTCCTTCTGCCACTCACGCATTCCCAGACCTCTGCGTCCACCTTTATTTGATAAAGTTATTCCGTTCCTTCCATGCATTCTTGGTCTTACGATTTGGGACCCATGGCTATGGTGATCCGTCGGGCCGATCGTGACATCGAGTAAATTGAGGATATTCAATTTCAAAAACGAAGGAGGCGAAGTTGATTGGATAAAATAATCAAAATATAAATTTTGATTGGCTTATTAATTGCTTTCCCTCCCATAATATGTCACTTTGATTGGCTCAAGCTATCGGATAGACCATTGCCAAATTCCAAAAAATTCAAACCTGCGGGACCTGGAGGGATGGATGCAGTGAGCAGCGCGAACGACGAGGTCTTTCGGCGACACAAGAACTACTTCGCGCAGTACATTGAGTCCGATGAATCGAACCTTCCAGACAAGATTCGATCCCTCGCGGAAACGGAGGGCGGTGCCAAGCGGCTCATGATCGACCTCAATGTCCTGCGTGTCTACGATGGTTTCTTCACGAATGGTTCGTCTTGCTGAACTCGATCGAAGCCTTCTCACTGACACGTACTGATAGGGAATGACGAGGCCAATATTGTGACCAGGTTACTGCAGCAGCCTTCCGAATACTTACCTCCTCTGGAGGATGCTGTCAGGGATGCCGTGGTAAATGCCCAGAACTCGTACAACCCGAAAGCAGCAGTAAATGTTGACGTGAGTCAAGTCGAAGTGGGCCTTGAAGGGGATTTCGGGGCTCACTTCATGACTCCCCGTGGTCTCGTTGCGTCATTTCTGTCCCAATGTGTCTGTGTTCATGGTATCGTAACCAAGTGCTCCGCCGTCCGCCCCAAAGTCGTCAAGTCGGTCCATTACTGCAAGGAAACCAACTCGATGATGTCTCGCGAGTACCGCGACCACACATCTCTCACAGGGGCTCCCACCACAAGCGTATATCCAACCAAAGACGAGAACGGAAACCTGCTCGAGACTGAGTTTGGTTTGTGCCAGTACAAGGACTATCAGGTAATCTCTGCACCCTGCTTCGCGCCATTGTCACCATTGATTTAGGTACTTACCATCCAAGAAACACCAGAGACCGCTCCCCTTGGGTACGAACTTTGACCCTTCCCCATCCTCATGCATAGTCGTTAGGCAGCTTCCGCGGTCGTGCGATGTGATGGTGGAAGCCGATCTAGTCGATAAATGCAAGCCCGGAGATCGCATCCACGTTATCGGTGTCTTTCGAGCGATTGCATCTCAAACTGTACGGCCCTTACACTCCTCGGCCCCCCATCTGAACGACCTTTCCAGGCGGCGTCCTCGTCAGGTGTGTTCAAGACCGTGCTGCTGGCCAACAACATCCAGGTTTTGGGCAAGGAAGTTCACGGGATAGTCATGACGACGGAGGACGTCATGCACGTGCGCGAGTTCGCCAAGCGAAGCGATGCCATGGAGATTTTGTCGCGGTCCATGGCTCCGTCGATCTTTGGCCATTCTGCCATTAAGCAAGCGCTGCTCCTTCAACTGCTCGGTGGCGTTGAGAAGAACTTGGAGAATGGAACGCATCTCCGTGGAGACATCAACGTGCTTATGGTGGGCGATCCATCCACGGCTAAGTCACAGCTGCTTCGATTCGTGCGGAACTTGGCGCCGTTGGCTGTCAGCACAACCGGTCGAGGCTCGAGTGGAGTGGGTCTCACTGCCGCAGTCACGCTCGACCCCGACACAAAGGAGAAACGACTAGAAGCTGGCGCGATGGTCTTGGCCGACCGAGGCATCGTGTGCATTGACGAATTTGACAAAATGGGCGAAGCTGACCGCGTCGCGATTCACGAAGTCATGGAGCAGCAAACCGTCACGATTGCCAAGGCTGGCATCCATGCCACGTTGAACGCCCGATGCAGTGTTCTGGCTGCGGCGAACCCGGTGTACGGCCAGTACCAGAAGAACAAGCGGCCACAGGAGAACATTGGGCTGCCCGACTCGCTCCTGAGTCGTTTCGATCTGCTCTTTGTTGTGCTGGACTCGCTCGATCGACATGCCGATCGGATGATCAGTGACCACGTCCTAAGGAACCACAGATATGTTGTCGCTGGGGAGGAAGGCCGACCGATCTCGTTCAACACGACCGAGATTTGGGCAGACAAAGAGACCACCACAACGGAAGCCACGTCAATCTTCCAGCCCTATGACCCGCTGCTGCACCCCAATTCGAACAAGGAAAGTGTTCTGACCGTGCCCTTCCTCAAGAAATTTATTCATTACGCCAAGACCCGACTTCCTCCCGTTTTGACCGAGCCAGCTCGCGACCTTATCTCGGAAGGATACGCCGCCCTTCGTAGCCAGCAAACCCAGCGAACGCTGCCAGTGACCGCACGTACGCTGGAAACCCTCATTCGTTTAGCGTCTGCCCATGCCAAAGCTCGGTTGAGCAAGTACATTGAGCTGGCAGATGCGACGCAAGCTCTCAACCTCATGAAGTACGCGCTGTACCATGAAGTGTCGTCCGAAGGTGGAGTGTCATCTGTGCCGGTGGTGGAAGAGGAGCCTGTCGACGAAGAAGAGGCAGCAGTCGAAGAAGCTGTTGATATGCCGCAGCCGCCACCTGCCAAGCGCACCAAGGTGTCCCAGGATGTCGAACCTGTGGAATCCAACGACAAGATGAACTTGCGAGAACGAGTGACGGCCTATTTGAGTCAAATCACAAGCGACGAGAGCGAGGAGTCAATGGGCCAGCAAATTCATGTCAAGGACTTGTTGGCCGCAGTCAACAAGGGCCTGCGCGGCGCCAAGAAGGCCAACAAGCAGCAACTCGGTGTCGTGCTCATGGCTCTGGAAGAAGAGAACAAGCTGATGTACCTGCGAGACGGCGACGACCCGTACATCGTTCTAGTCTAGAGAATGTGGTCGAAATCTGTATTAATGCATTTATTGTATCATGGCACTTCAGACGTCGAATGACGCTGCGGAGCGTTGAGTGGAGTGTCGATGCACACAGAATCGTTCAACGCCACAGTTGCAATCTCCATGTACGCTTCCATAGAAGTAATCGGCTGGAAGTGAGCCATTCCACCCGTCTGACTTCCATCTCCAGTCGGCATCTTTTTCTCAAAGGCGGCATCGCAGGTGAACCAACGGCGCCATGACGCGGCGGTGGCGCTGCATGTTTCGACTCTATAGCGAAGTCGACTGGGGTTTTGAAGACTAGCCAATCAACCGTCGTTACTGCCAAAGAGAGCGGTTTGATTGGCTCAAATGGGAATAGCCAATCAGGTCGATTAAAGAATAGAGCCCACCAATCACAGACTAGACCTACCCTCTGCCAGACACAGAATAGCGGGAGAGCCGCGCCACGTTGGCGGACATCTCGGGTCAGTACCAAAGAAGTCGCCCAAGGAGCATGTCATTCGTCCGTGCAATTGTCCGTCAGTTCAGCGGCGACTCCAGGTTGCCTGAAGTGAACACTGCATGAGTAAACCCTCTGTGTAGCATTGAGACCATAGACCAGAAGTTGGAAGCAGAACGTCTGCAACGGCTGGAACTACTCAAGGTGCAAAAAGAAGTTCGCCATGCAAATGCCATGTATCGTGGGGGAGGCAGCACGCTCCAAGATGATTTGTTGCGCCGATCGCATGCGACTGGCCAACGACATGAGCGGTACAGTTGTTGAATGAGGTGTTACCCAAAGGTTGCCTGAGCTGTCGCGTGACTAGAATGCGGCAGGACTCGAACGAATGGGAGACCCGATCGCGAGAAGGATCGTATGAAATGATATCTCGGAATGGGTCGTTTGACTTTTGCGAGGATGCTGAACCAGATGTGGAACCACACGGAGAACCTTGCTTTGTTGTCATCCACCCACCTGTCTTTGTCGATGCGGACCAGACTGCGGACGACCAAACGCGTACGGTGCGGGAAGACAAAGGTGTGGGGATCGATGCGACGGCTGCATTAGTACAGCCCTTTGTTGAAGATCTCATCGACGGAGCTGTGGCGCAGTGCGTTTTGACGAAGGCCGTCAAGGCTTGTGCGGTCGACTACACAAATACATGGCTTGCCGTTGGATCATCGAACCGTGCAATCCGGTCCACCCTCGCCATTCAACTTGTTCGGTCTAGCATAGACAGTGCCATGGCGACTGTGGCAAATCAGCATCGAGAGGCGACAGCGATGGCGGCAGAAGACGTGACAATGCGTCATAAGCAAGTCAAGGCTGCATCTCCAGTCAACGCCGACTTTGAAATCAAATGTCGGCACACTGCCTTGGCGACGGAAGCGCTCGCTGCATTCTACGCCGCCCGAGCGCAGAAGAAGCTCCTGCGATCCCAAGCCAACAGGTGCCGCCGTTGAGCGTCCTACGTTGTTAAATTGGTGGTGTAGAGGCGCCGAAGCTCGCAAGCTGCGCGAGATGTCTGCTCCCACAAGCAGTTGGGCCAAGGTGCTCCAGCTCATTGACGAGTACGTGTTGACCAATGCATGCACGAAATGGGCTACTTGATGACAGTGGAGCTAGCCCTACCGCGCACCCGTCGTACGGCTCGATGCAGGCCCCCGTCTCGCGGATGTTTAATGTGTTGCGCACGAGCGCGGCGTGAAATGTCATCTTGTCAATATTACACGTTGGATTGCCTTTCTGGAACGTTCGGCGAACGTTCGTCGCTGTACGAATGGCGCCGTGTCGGGGAATTGCCGGGCGAAAGGGTATTTGCCCATCAAACATGGAAAAAGTCTCGTGCAGCGCGTGGTCTGCAGCAGCAGACCATACAATCCTCGACGAACGATGGCACACCTGGTCTTCACGGGCCAGTGACGAGGAAAGTTCCGCCACGAATCGTGAGGACAGAACGTTCGCTCCATCGTCCGTTCGACGACTTCTCTAGGGCTCCATGACGCTGATGTCCTGCTAGGTTGATTTATCACACGATATCATTTCACGCTCGTGGTTTTCAATTCCATCGTCATGTTGTCGTCCCCTGGGCTACGTTGTCTTCCGTGGTGGGTGGCCCGTGTGCGTTTCCGATTTCCATCAGGATGCGACGTGCATCGAAGCATGCTCGACGTGGCCTTCCCACGAGGACCGTCGTCGCCAAGCCACGAAGTGTGCAAGTTGTCAACGACTGTAATGACACCCCATCGACGACGACCGGTTGAACAGGTTATATGTCGGGTATTTGGCTCGTCGGGTTGACGAACCGTCGACTTGCTGATGACACACTTCATCTGGGTCCGCGCTGCCAACGGCGATGTCGTTCGCATGCATTTGGCAAAGAGCATGGCGATCAGCACACCACGACACTCGCGACGCCGTCAACTGAGCCCCCTCGGCCAGTCTTCGAGTACTCACGTCAACTTTCCCACGGTCGCGATGACATCGCAAGAGGAAAACTACCTCGTCGCTCAAGCCACGCGCCAGCACGAAGCTCTCCTGGCCAAGCACCACGACAACCTGCACACGTTCAGGACGCTGGAGGCACTCGTGGACAAGGTCGAAGTGTGCCGCACGATCCAAACATGGTCAAACGTCATCCCTTTTCGCGCCAGGATCTGCATGGCGGCGACACTCGAGGAAGTGTACTCGCTCGTAGCCAACCTTACGGACGACGACATCGTCAGCACGGTGGCCCACTCGGACGAGCTCGCCGACATGAAGCTTCTCTACGACATCCCTGTCAATGAAGAAAAGCACGTCGCAGTCCGGTGGTTTGCCCTCAAGCAGCCAAAGCCACTGGCTATCCGCGACTTTTGCGTGCTCGAGGTGCGCTCTCATGCGCTGAAAATTGCTCATGACCAACGCTGTAGATGCAAGAAGAGCTCGTGGACTACGCCGGCCGGCGTGTGTTAGCTTTATCAACGCACTCGACCCACTTTGACTGGTGTCCCGACATGAAATCCACTTTGGGGTATATTCGCGGCGACATCCTGTCCTCCGGGTACGTCCATGGAGCATTTCCGCCAGTCCATCGCGCTCAAGAACAATGTGACTGTAGCCTCATCTGCACCGAATCGGACGAGCCTGGAATGGTCGAAATCCATTACTACGTTGACATGGACTACCGCGGCGGCGCCCTCCCGATGTGGCTCTACCGACTGCGCATGAGACATCATGTATCCGCACGTCTTTCGCACCTCTACACCCGCGTGCACGAGCTCCGGCTGGCCGAATGCATCTCGACGTCGTACGTGCCGCTCGTCCCAAAAAGTACGCGACGGCACTGCCGGGGCTGCACCAAGACATTCCACGTCCTCCGTCGAAAATGCCACTGCCGCAACTGCGGCGACGTTTTTTGCTGGAGCTGCACACACGTTTGGAAGCTCGAGCACTTCAAACAACCCCAGCGTGTCTGCCGGGGGTGCTCCGACCACGTCAATGTTCGAACGACAAGTCGGCGTGGCGCGACGTCCGGCGACGTGCCTCTCAAGTCGTGCAGATCACAGGACCTGCGGTCCATGCGGTCCAACTCCAAGTGGGATGCGTCCAAATGGGACCTGTCCAGCCGTTGGGGGCTCCTCGACACGGGACGGACGAGCGACGTGTCGTCGCCGGTCTTCCTCGTTTGCCCAGAGCCGTCCGAGTCTCTCACGTCCGCGATCCTCCAAGTCGAAACGATGCTCGAAGAATGAGGAAATACTCGTGAAATTAACTTAACCATGCCATGCGGTGGCGATCATCTGCGGGCTTCAGGACAGTCACGACTTCGGCCTTTGGCGGCGGGAACTCTCGAATGTACTTGAGCTTCTGCGGTCACATCCATCGTTGGCTACGTTTCGGAGTTGGGGGAGGAGGACTGTACCGAGGTGGCTTTCGTCGACGAGGAGGTGCTCGTGGTGCTCGAAGACGGCGCGTTGACGAGGAGGGCGCCGATCGCCGTGGATGGCCGCCGCCTGTGGCTTGGAATCTCGAGAACTCCCACCTACGTCCGAATGAGATGAAACGTGATGGAGGGCACGTGGTCCACCGAATCGCCGTGGGTTACGTATTGGTCGCGGGGCTGAGGTCGCGCGTTGGGTGTGTCTGCTCGCAGAGGCGACACACGAACCCGGACAGCAGGGCTCGCGGACTGCTTCTCTGGTAAGGGCCCACATTGAGATGGAATCCTTACCTTGAAGCGAACGGACACATTCTTGTCACTTGGGTGGGTCAAGGTCGGGGTGGTGCGGGTGTTGGTCGTGTCGCAAGTGAGTGTGCCGTTTTGCGGTGGATGGAGCGACGGATGGGGCGGTCGCAACTCCGTCGTGGACTTCGAATTGTGCAAAATATCGTCTTGCAATGCCGTAGCTGGATCGGGCATGTTCGGAAGGGTCAGCGATCTCAGCACGACCTTGTTTGGCCCATCCCAAACGACACTACTCGATGGGTCCGACGACGCTGCCACGACATTGCGGAGGTGATTCTATTCGTAGCACCTTTCATCAGGTCACCCCTTGGATAAGGTTCTGACCTGGAATCCGAGGCGGGACATGGCTGCCATGTTTTCCCGTCGATGGGGACCAAGAAACTTGGCATTTCCTTGGACAAGCGATACGCCAGGGTTGAGTTCGATCGTCTGGGCGAATGTTTCTCGCTGGAACTCCATCACGTGCGGCTGGTACGCGGCCGCCTTGTCCTGCTTCAGTTCCCCTTTCAGAGACGCTTTCTCGTAGAACCAGCTCGACTTGGTGACGGGGGCCGCTTTCTTGGGCGATTTCCCGTCTGCACCCGTCGCGTACCGACGTCGGAATCGAGCGGGTTTGTCGTCGGATTGGGGAAGGCGCGATGGGACGCTGTCTTTGTCTTTCGTGTTGGAAGGGCTCGAAAGGAGGAGGAGGAGGGGGTCTTGGCTTGACACAGACTCGTCTGGAATCGTCCGCACAGTGTCAAGGGTCGTGACGGGGGCGTCATCGATCGTCATGTCGGGGGCACCACCTTCATGATCCCCCACAACGGGTTCCGACACCACGGACGTCTCGGTAACGTCGTACTCGCGCTGCCCGAGCGCTCTTCGGAGCACGGATACTTTGCCCCACTTGGCTTTTTTCTGCTTACTCGACGCCAGCTCCGTCATGCACTTGATACGCCACGCTTTCGTCTCCTGCGCACGCGGTCATGACGGCCAAGAAGGAGCAAGACAGACAAACCTTGTCGAAATAGTCGACTTTGGCTGGAATTCGAAACACCATGGGTTGTTCTTGGAGATGCAACGCGTCAGATGACGTGGACCCTTTCTGCTCGCAGATGTGACGGACAATGCTTGCGCGGCGCAAGACGTACCCTCCTGGCGAGTGTGGGGCCCGTCCCTCCGGCGGCAGCGTTCCGTGGCGGCAAGGACTTTTCGGACATGGATCGAATGCTCGTGGCGCGTTGGATGGGGGCGCCGTTCGGGCATTCGTACAGGCGTTGGGGATGGGCACTGATTGCCTTCTTGGGCAGGGCTTGCACCGCGTGCCTGTCGACCGAGTCTGCGCTTGGCTCGTCTTCGGAAGGATCGACAACAACGACGGCGTCGTAGTCGATGTAGCACCCCATTCGAAGCGTGGCAATGATGCTGGACGCCATGGCTTCGATCCCAAAGTGCATCTGGAATCACTCGGTCACGGCAACGTGCTGATGGAGCCACCATGTACCTGTTTCGCGAGCCGGTCGCATTGTATGTGAAACAGGAACGTCTCGTCAAGCAGACACTCGATGGTGTCCAGGATCAACGCTTCCGTGTCTTCCATTGGCGGGACTCGATGAATGGGCGCAGCTGCGATTACCGACGCCACGACAGCCGCCGTCGCACTGAGCTGACTTTTCTTCTCCGCCTTCTTTGCATTCGACGGAGCCGCGGATGCCTTCCTCATCGCTGATTGCCGCCGACCCGACACGAAACGCGGCAGTTACGATTTCAGCACCAGTTTCGACGTGCAACACGTCCAATTGTGACCACACCGTCATGGAGCGATGGGGAACGCGAGCCGCGCCATGGCCAAGTTCCCTGCGTAGGGGCCAAGAGTCGCCATATTGTCGCTGGTGGGGTGCAGACCAGCGATGCCTGCTGTGTCGGGCGACCTGGGTGGTGCGTTGGATAGCACGATCATGAGAAAAAAGTATTTTCGTTAGGTTGAATCGAGCGAAATACTACATGTACTCCATGCGTCCACTCCGTGTTACAAGGGGTTGGAGGTAGCACCGTATATTGAGCTGGTTCAGAAGCGGTTGGCAATCGATTGCGTTGTTTGAATGCTTCATCCCATCATGCTCGTCCACAAAGCCCAAACCTCGTATCGTACGCTGCCCGTTGTGTCGGGGTTCATCGGAAGGAATGTCTGCCCTTGATGTGTCGGAATCCGCAGGGAGGAGTAGAGTCCACGAACGTTGGGACAACAAACCGATGCGCTCTCCAACTGACCTGTGAGCTAAAATCCCCCTTGCTGGTGACCGCGGCGCAAAGTTCATGGACCGCGGGATGAGGCGCATGGGGTTGGACATGATGGCAAGCCTCGTGGTTGACCAGAAAGCGTTGTGTTGCTGCCGATCACGTGATGATGGAGCTGTGTCACTTCGCTGGGGTGCTGGAATGGACTCCTCTTTTCAAGGCCTGTCACTCCGCAGTACGTAGCCCCACACCGGTTCATTCGTCCATACCAAATGCATGCGCCGCCGTCGACGGTCAAGAGCGGGCTTACATGCCACATGCGCGATTTATCGTGACGCGCTGTGTGTCGTGTGCATTCGTGATGGCCGCGACGAGCAAAGAGCGTTGGCAACGATAGTCCGAGAGCATTCAACCTATGAACAGAACGTTGGGAGAGCAGCTTGCTGTCCGTTGTCCTGATCGGAAACTCCATCACAGAATTTGTACAAAAGTGATCCCAACCTGATGGATTACCAGGCCCTGTCATCCGCCGAGATGACGTGTCGAACCGAGGAATGGAAGGATGGACGTCGTGGAAGCGGGTGATGCCAGCACCCGTCGGCAAGTTCGAGGGGAAGCCAGCGCTGCAACTCGGCACGAACAACGCGTGCCTGAAGATCGTCTCGGTCACCGGGAATGCCATGTTTGGTGTGCCCTCCGCCACCACAACCAGGTGAATCGAAAACACAAAGGCCGAGTGGCCGAGACTCTCGCTCAACCGCTCGAATCTTGCCGATGTCGTCATGAGAGAAAAGACCGTTGGAATGGCCTCCATGCCCATCTATTCTTCATCTCGACGTCACACAGTGTGGCCTGGAGCACCGCCGTCGTGCCGCGCTTCCTGTCGGGGGCGTCCGCAGTATGGATGGCAAGAAGTGGCAGCGTGGCGCACACTCGTCAACTGTCCATCGCGAGGGTCGTCTACATTAATCTATACTGGTACATGTTGTCTATGCAAACGCCTTTTCAAAGTGGGCAATCAACTGTTGGGCAATCCAGAACGAAAAGACGAGCTTGGGGCCGACCACGCCGAGCTTGGGCACCAATCCCTTGAACAACGCTCCAGGGCCTACACCATAAAGTCAGCCATGATGCTATGATGCTCGAGATAACGAGCAAGCAGCACCTTCGTTCTTGAGCAAGTTGCTGACCACTTGCGCACCGCTTTCGGGCGAGTCGAACGCACGCGACTGAATGCGGGTCTTGATCACATCGAGAGGTTGCGCCACTACAAGGTTACGACGTTAGCCGTCCACTTACAAAAAATTCCAACGCACCAATGATACTGGACGAAGCACCGGCGATGGATGCGACGAAGTTCTGGAAGAAGGTCGCGTCGTTGTAATTTTCCAACCCAAACAAGTATTCCTTGGCAGCGGCAGATCCACCGAACAAGGCGAACGAACCGGGGGCGTTGCGCGCGGCCGTCCAGCCGGCACCACGGTACAAGGCCAAGCCTTCCGTCTTGAAAATGTCCAAAACACCACGACCGGCGATGGCAGCAGGGTTGGTTTGGGCGCGAATCTTGAGCACGTCAAGAGGCAAAAGGGCAATTTCACCGATACCAATCAACGATCCGGCGGTCGCGTGCATGAACGTCTTGGCGTGCGAATCGCCGAACAGGTTCACGAACGTTTGCTTGTGGTGCTTGGTAATGTAATCCTTCACCACGGGTTGACCGCCGAATTTGTAAATGCGTTGCGAAATCTTGTACCCGGCAGCAAAGCCCACGCCAGGGAAGAGCGAGGCATAGCGCTGACCAAGCGGCTTGGTGGCTGCGTCACGAAAGATCACTTGGGTGAGGGTCAAGTCCTACATGGAATAGGATGTGTTATCACCCTAGCAAGGCAAAAATCGTTTTCCAAGAAGAGGCACGCACCGAGCTCTTGTTGGTCATGAGGCGCTTCGCGACCGTGTCCACAGGGTGAAAAATCGCGAGCTCGAGGACACCCGACGCGGTGGAGCCCAAGAGGCGCGCGGCCACTTGGCCCGCCGAGAAGTCGGCACCGGACTTGTTCTGAATGGCAACCATCGGAGAATTTGAAAATGGGCCGCATGTGACACAGACCATTCAACCAATTCCTTTCCACCAACGGTGGCCAGACTCGACAGTATACTGAAAGAAAGTCAAAATTCCTGGGCCACTCGACGTCGACATACATATACGAAGGTTTCGAAGGGGCGTGATCGGTTATCCGGATGATGGATGTCTACGACCACCATTTTCTTAGATATAACATGAACCATTGCCATGGCATCATCAGTGAGGTGGTCGTCGTGGGAGGGCAGAGAGACCACCAAGTTCGACCGATGGGGTCCATGGATGGAGGCGACGTTGAGTATACAATGGCGCATGGCGATGCAACAGTTGAAGTCTGCCGATGTGGCGGGCACAAAGAACCACCACGTCCTCGGCACGGTGTGGAAGGGGGCACTCATCATGATGGCAGACTGTGTGGAGGAGGGCAGACAGCCAGGTGACACAAGCTTCTCCTGAGGAGACCATCGCCACGACGGGGCCATACGACCGACGCAAGTTTGTGCTGAGGAGATTACCATTCCTGCTGAAGCATCCACTTGCCGTCCATGAAATTTTCGAGGCGGTGGCGACCAGTCCACGTAAGATGTCTGCTGTCTCAAAATCGCATGATAGTGCATATGGACTCGATGTTGGTCATCTGACCTCGGTTCCTGAACGAATGAGCGCCAGCGGTCTTACTTCAGACGACCGAGGAAGGCGTTGGTGGTGTGCACTCTCCACTTGAAATGAGTTGAATCGACATGTTCAAGAGAATCTAGGAATGCGGCAATTTGCAAGCAGCAGGAGCAAGAGCTCGGTCGGTGCCTGTGCAATCCACCCTCAGGACGTGTCCGTCGCAACGTAGGAATGCAATATGGCTATTTTGTCCAATTGTACGCCAGGAGTTGTCGTGCGATCCACAAAATCGCCGGAAAAAACCATATTGACCAATGAAAAGAGTTCGGAGGGTAGAGTAAAAAAGGCACTTCCACCACCAAGAC